AACGCGTACGTCATTTGGCTGGCATTATAGTGCCATAATCGATGCCGGTGGGTTGCGTGTCGTAAGATCGATAGAAAATTCGTAACAATGAATTTCATATTGCTTTTAAAGGGCCCAAGAAGACGGAAAATCAACCCTTTCTTCGCCTAGGTATCGACAGCTACAAGATACACCAAATGGCACCTGATTTTTTAGAGTTTGTGCTTTAAAGCAGGCCCTAGAGCTAAAAACAAATCAAATTTTACGTGTTTCGGAGTGCAGCAAACCGTCGAGAGTCGACTCGAGACCTAGTCGAACAGAGGTCGATTCTCACAAATTCTTAGATGTGGAAGGGACTGTCAAATCACTATAAGCTTAAATTATAAAGATTATGGCAGAAAGTGTTCCGTACTTTCCAAAGAACGATGCGCAACGCGCATTTCCCTTTTCAGCCCCTTTAAATACCGGAAAGGACAGTGGTCTCTGTTTCGATGAGCTCGAGATCGTGCTCGTTTGTTACCGAGAAATGCGACCGGCCAGGGATGCCAGAACTAAAAACCTGAAAGCTCATTTTTCGAGCTTGTATGAGCTGGTGCAAATTAGCAAGGCCGCATGGAAAATAAATTCTGAGAACGCTACAAAAATTTCAGATAGGCATATGTTGCGGCGCAAACTTGCTCTCAGGCTTCGCTTTTGGTTTAGAAAAGGCAACAAGCCAGAGGAAGGCGAGATAAAACTAAAAAAAGCTAATATGCCAGAAGAAGGCGAGATAAAACTAAAAAAGCTAATATACTAAAAACGGCTGATTAAAATAACGCTAAAAATGATCAAAAGAGCCAGAAAAAGCAGTAAAATTCTCGCAAAAATTTGATAGATAAGAATTTTGAGTCCTATAGCTTGTGAAGGACTTTTTAAGGTTGTAAAGATGTGTAAAAACATACAAGCCGCTATGGTAAACTTTCAAGACCACTTTTTAAAAAAACGTAACAAGTAAAAACCGGAAAAATTGCGAAAAAAGGACAACCAGACGCCCATGAAAAACTTTCATCGTTTTAAGCACCGTTTCCTACAACCACTAAAGTGCTCTCCAAAATCCACGCCCAAAAAAGCGGCAGCAAACAAACCACGAGGAACCCCGGCTTTTACAGCATAACCGGAACCAGTTCCTTTATGTCCTTTCCCCCCAAGGGCAGCGGGCATCCCCCCTAGAATAGTACTCGAAATGCCTGATCCGGATCGGCCGGGCGAATTTTTCGCTGAAATGCAATTTTGTCGAGGCCATAGCCCACTATAGGACACTTGTCCACACGTTTCAAGCGCATCTCCACGCAACACTCTCGATTACAGGTATTGTCTATCGAGGAATTGACCTTGGGGAGGGCTGGTAGATCAGGTTGGATGGGAAATGGGAGCGGAACTAGTTCCGGGGATGTACTTCCCACGGAAATTTTTGGATAGCGGAGCTTTAAAGGGATTGGTAAGCCAAAAATATGGATTTTTGCTACAGGTTTCAATGGATTTCCCCCCGATTGTCACACCAAAAATTCACGATAATTTTCAACCGAGAAAAGTCGTCTTGGTAACTCTTAAAGGGACAGGCAAGGCATCGCTAGGGATTTTAGGGTGTGGATTCCCAAAATATGACAATTCCCGGAGTACGCAACGCTACGCAACGCATGAAAATATCTACAGGCTGCGGCGCGGCGCGACACGCAACGCGCGCGCCGTTTCCGGTTGTGTACGGCTTTTACGGGTCAGGCGATGGTAAGGCGGTTGCGGCGCGTTGCGTATCGCGGATAAAATTTAAGGTACGTATGTATGGTAATTCAAGACGAGATAGCTCGAGATAGATAGAAAGAGAGAGAGAGAGAGAGAGAGAGAGAGTGAGTGAGAGAGAAAGAGAGAAAGAAAGAGAGCGAATACGAGCTAGCTAAAAACAAATTCAAAATTCAAATGCTGTTAAATCGACTCAAAAAACCAATATGAGTCCAAGTACAACCCACATTCTCCGTATCTACCCCCGAAAAGCCTAGAGTCAAGCGGAAACTGGTCGGCTCCATTCGCCAAAATGCCCAGACACACCACCCGTCCATACAAATGGCAACCCCCAAAAAAACGACCGGCCAACGCGCGAAAATGCCATCCCATCAACGTCTCACGAAACAAAAAAAAGACCATACCGGCTAAACTGTCGTCAAAAATTCCCGTACTCCTTTCAAGGACGACAAATTGAAAAAAAATCGAGGTGAGGGATTAGAAGTGTCCGAGTGGTAGGATCGATCCGGTGGATGTGGACGTTCACCTTTTTCGGGTGGTTGTAGCCGGTTCTACGCCTTGAATGCCCCCAACCCGACCAGGCAAAGGCTCTAGATCGCCCGCCCAACACACGACATTCCTGCACAGTTTTCGGAGCCTCAGAGCCGCGGCTCCTCGAGAAGGGGAGGAGGACCGAATCGGAATTATCACGAGGTCGGGCTCCCCTCGAAATCTGGGGGATTACGATGAGATTGACGGGGGTTTAATAGACAAAAAGAACTGGAGTTTTCGTAAAAATGTATCATAAGTCTTGGTAAATGAAGAAAATTAAAGTAAGCTCCTGACAGCCTCAAAAGCACGGTTTTGGCAGCTATTAATTGCCTGATATATCGCCGTTCAAGTAATGACTAAATTTTAAAAAGCAGGCACCAAACTACGCAGAGAAACGCAGCGTTTATAGGGGTATACGGACGAGAACGAAACTTTGAAAGTTTTTTAAAGGAGTCCGCCTCTTTTTAAACACGTTTAATTCCTTATTCCGATTAATTTTAATTTTTACTACGCCAAAGCTGTCAAAAAAAAAAGTGAAAAGCGCAAAAAAAATAAAAGCGCGCCATTGGAAAAACTAAATCCGCGATTTTTAATTACTTCCAAACCTTATGATCTGACTTTAAAACATAAAATACATAAAAAAATAAGTTTTCCTTACTGCGCAAACAATTCCTGGCATGGAGAACTCGGTGTTTCCGACAAGAAGAAGGCTCGAAATAGTCGTCTGCATGCACAAGAAAATACAGCAAGTTCCCGGTGAAACTGATGTCGTTTCAAAAACAACGTGCAACCGAAAGGCGCGGATGGCAGCTGTTGATTGTGACCCCCGTATATCGATGTTTTGGCGCAGGCTTTTTGCCTTGGGCAAAAAAACGGGCTTTGTTTGATCCATTAAAAAGAAACCCCGCGAAAACGTGTAAGTTTTGGAGTTATTTAAGAATTAAACGCCTAGTTAGATTAAGTTAAAAATTATCAGAAACTCCTATTAGAAAAACCCTCTAAATTCAGTATCTTGATTTCTCTTATTTTCTGCAGCTTACTAAAAAAAAAACCTACCAAAAAATAAACCTCACCCAGAAGCAGAGAAGTTCGATTTTTACGTAAATAAACGCCTTTAAAAGCAGCAGCGAATTCACGAAAAACTAGTAGAAACTAAAAGATATCCTATTCGAAGAACAGGTTCTTTAGGATTTCCGGGGGGGGGGAAGTATTTCCGGGGGGAAAGCAAATTTTCTCGGCCCAAGCCTAAATTTTTTTCTAAATAGCGCATGCGTTTCTAAATGGTTTTTAACTATTCCTGAGCATAAAAACTACCCACATCTTAATTAAAAAACTTAATTTTAAGTCGAAAAATCCTATAGAACCTTTAGGATTAGCGGGGGGGGGGAAAGACCCAAAATGACTAAATTTTCGACTTTTTCAAACATTTTTCTAACTTTTTTGAAAGGTTTTTCTACTTTAAATATAGTTAATATTTACTAAAAACAATGTGAAAACACTTTATATTTGATTACTAGGTCAACCGGGAAAACCAGGAAAAAAATTGGTTCCCCCCCCCCCCCGGGAATACTCCCCCCCCCCCCCCGGATCCTAAAGAACCGAAGAACATCTCCACATTTATCTCAATTTTCATAAGCTACTTCGTTTTATTTTTCCTATTTTCTGCCGTTCCCCCGCCCCGAAAAACACCCAAAAACAACGCGCACCCACCCACCCCACGGAACACATATGCAATAAGAGCACTGATAGAGTACATCGAGGGTGCATGCTAGGTGTTTGTGCAAAAGCCGCGCCCGGCACACACACACTGGTGTAGAAATTCAAATAGGCAGGCCTCGGCGGCAGAGAGAAAGCGAGCAGCATGGCTGTTTTCTACTCGCTAGGTGTTTACCACAACATGTCGAGGGCTAGAAATACGGCATTGAGGGAGTGGAAGACATGACGAGTCGAGGACCGCATCGACTCGCCTAGGTTTGGCTTGGCTAATTGGTATAAAAATATTTTTCGGTCGAATCTTGGCGTTTTATCGTCCCAAAAATGGTATGAAAGCTTGTTGTAATTTAGATAAATTCTTATTTAATTTACAGTACTTCTATTAAAAACGGCATGCGAAAAAAGACCATAAAGAGTTAACGGTAATTTTTAGTTATCTTAAACTACTTTTATCGCTGGCGCCTAGCGAAAAAATAAACCATTGCGTGCATTACTAGTACCACTAAAATACCTTTATTTAGCACGACTAGCGCAAAAATTAAGTGCAACTGCTACAAACATAACAACGTGCAACAAAAATTCTCAGGTGCTTTCATTTAGCACGACTACGTTAAAAATTAAAATAAATTATTAGGCTACTTCCCAATTGTTTTCTTTATTTCAATCGGCTAAGCAAAACATTTCTAATTTTTTATTTTCCTCCTCCCCTGGTTTTTATCAATCCGCTGCATCAACTAAAAATATAGTCTTGTAAAAACTAGCGGCCCCAAAACGTGCTGCAACACCAAGACAGCACAATATTTTGGCAAAAGTCGCACTTTGCTAACGCATGGATGGTGTTGCTGCCAGCGCGTTCCGGGCACTATTTCGTATGCTGGTAAACAAGAGTGGGGTTTAAAGGCCAAGGACCCGACAGACGTTTCTCCTTGACAGATGGCTGCCCGAATTATCATAAGGAATCACGTAAAATAACTTTTTATAAAAACAAACTACATGTCGACATGATAGGCCGAGGTCAAACCACCGACAAGGTCGGGAAAGGGTCAGGTTCGCCTGTTTAGAGAACCTTTTTTGGAAATACACAACGCGAAAGATCTTGTAACAAACATGTCAAATAATGGGGAGAGAGAGCGCGAGAGAGAGAGAGGGAGAGAGAGAGGGAGAGAGAGAGAGCGAGAGAGAGATAGAAAAAGAGTGACCAACCAGGGCAGATACTGGCCCTCAGCAACCCCGTAATACCGAATCATTCGCCTCGTCCGCGCGGCGAGTGCGCGCTCCCCGCGAGCTCGGGCTGACCTACTTCGGCGGATTGCGACGCGGCTTTTTTAATCCGAGTGAGCATTGGCGGCGCCTTAGGCTCAAATCGCGCCGCCGCTAAATTGGATTTCTTTTCTTTGCGCTTTTCGTGTTCGCTGTTTGAAACCTGGCCGGATTTCAGTAGAATTGGGTTTCGGGCGCGGTTCTGTGTTTCTTTGGGGGCGATGTTGGGAAATTGAGAATTACAGGTGCAGAAAATTCAAAATCTTTTTACTTTCGTTCGCAAAATTTTTCAAGAAAAATAATTTTTTCCGAAAAATACGGCGACTATAACGCGACAATACTCTGTCCGTGAAGTGTATCATTGCGGAACACGAGGCGAGGATTTCGTCGATTCGTTTCGCTTATTCACTCGTTTTTCCTGCTTTCGCTGAATTTTCAAAATGTATGCTTTTTGGTTGTATATTTCTTGGGGTTGAAAATTCTATTAGTTTTATCGAACCTATTGAGCGACTGGGTTGGGTGCACGGTCTTGCTGCATAGAACGCGCCCCTGGGAGAGTATGTTGGCGGGCGGTTACAGCCATTCGCCAAGCCCATGACCGAGAAATTTCGCGGCAACCCGGATATCAACGTTGTAGTTGTTTGTTTCATTCATTTCTAGCGCTGTCGAGGTTGGCTATCCCCAAAATTTTATAAATTAAGGTTTTAGGTCATTGATTTTATTGCTCCAATCGCTTTCCCGACATCTACTATAGATTTTGCTTTAATTTTCCGATTATTTTCGTCACCTCTCTTCAAATCCCATCAATTTCCGCTTTTCAGAACATGTCCGGACGGCAAGGCGGAAAGGCGAAGCCACTGAAGGCGCCAAAGAAGGACAACAAGGATTTGGACGATGACGACATCGAGTTCAAGAAGCGACAACTTGAAGAAAAGAAGAAGCTCGCCGAAGCAGCGAAGAAGGCCGGCGAGAAGGGACCCCTCGTTGGCGGTGGCATCAAGAAATCCGGCAAGAAGTAACGACGCTATCAATTGGAGACCCACATATTTCACTTTGCTGTAAATAAACTATTTGATTCGAGCCTTGTGCAGGATATGAATTTTGCCTATTATCGCACGTGTATCCGAGTCATGATATTGGGCGAGGCGACGATTATTTACCATGGTTCCTCTACTAGTTTTCCTAGCGTATTTTTGTTTTTGAGCCATGACCGGCGGGCGATGATTGTGGCTGAAAACAAGGGCTAGAGGGGTGCCGGGGTAGAATCGTGTTTTTGCTCAATTTGTGTATGGGGCGCTATGGCATAGTGTTTTCGGGCGGACGGCGTTTGGCCCTACCTATTCAGGCGACTTTATATTGATTTTGGGTGTTTAGGAATAATTTACTCCTTAGATAATTCCGTCTCGTGCCCTCGGGATTATCATCAGACTTTGTAGATGACCCCTTTTGTTGGGGATTTTGCGTTTTCTGACGAACCTGCAGTGTTTCCGCTTGGCTTCATTTGCAAGTTTTATAGGTCTGTAGGATAATGCGGCATTAGTAAAATCTGTTTTTCTGCTTTTCTTCTGCCCTATTTTCAGGATTGACCGATTTCTAAGATATCTCCCGAAGCTCAAGCTGTTTCTCTAAAGCCGATTTCGAAATAATCTATCTTGTTTCTATACGAAACCGTCGATTCTTTATGGTATATACGTGTGTTTCGAATGTCTACCCATCGCCCAGCACTTTCTCTGCGTCTCCCCGCCCACACCCAGTCGCCTCCCCGGCTCAGCCGTTGGACTCAGACTATCGACCGCGCCCGGATCAGCCCGTTTCCTCCCCGTTCCTTCCGTTTTCTATAAGCTCAAATCGATTTATTGAATAGAATTAATACTATTTTCCAGATGGCCGACATAGTGGGACCACTACGCCCGTCAGACTCCTGGTCTACGACAGAGGTTTCGACATTCTAGCCGGGCTCATCGCGTAAATATTTTTCAGGTGAAGTCGATCCAGCACAGCCATGTGTGGAACATCCGCGGCTTTTCGCAATGCGAATGCCGCTACCTTGAGACGGCTGTGAAGGTTCGGGAACAGGTAAAAACATCGTATTTCGCTCAATGTTTTTTGTAGACGCTGCAACTGCCGACTTCTGGCCTCGGCGTCAGCGATCATGGCACGATGGCCTTCCGGATACGACTTCATCCTCAAGGAAATAAAGAGAGCAACAAGGATTTCACCTTCTTCCAGGTATTTTTTATCTATACTTTGCTGGCCTTTTCGTTTTTCGACATCTGCTATTTATCCATAAACATCCTCTTTTCGGGCCCGAAAAAAATTTATCAAAACAACCCTGTCTATTATGCGGCCGGTACCGCGTTCATGCTATTATTTTGCAGCCTTCATCAATTGTTTTTCAGGTTTTCTGCAGCGCCAACACCGCCCGCTACAAGGCCAAGTTCACCGTCTTCAACACGCGCAACGAGGAGATTCCGACCACCATTTACACCGGTACTCAACAGGTAATCTTAAGATTTCTATATCGCAATTATTATTTTTCTAGCTGCACGGTTATTTCGAGTACATTCGCCGCGACCTACTCGTCTCCCACATAGCGCCACATGATGAATTACAGGTTTTGGAAATGTTTTATAAATATTTGGTATTTTAGCTGGTGCTTACCCTGACCGTGACTTTCGACACCGTCACAAAATCCTCTCAAAACTCGGCGCCCCGTCCACCATTCCCGGAGGCACGCCCGGCGGAAGTTACTCGCGATCTTGAAGCCATCTTCCGTGACCCCAGGCTCTCGGATTTCAAGATAATGGTTGGATCCCGTGAATTGCTAGTACACAAGGTATTTTATTTTCTGACGACTGGTAATGTTGGCTTGTTTAGGTGATTGTCGCCGCCAGGTCACCGTACTTTGCCGCATTGCTTGAGCCCCACACCGAAGAGTCGAGGACGGGCGTGCTTCGGTTGCACGAGGAGGACGTGGATTATGAGGTGAATATTACTTTTCAACGTTATAGTTGATTAGCGGCGAGGGAAACTCTTACCTTTTCGTCTGGTTTAATAGGATTTTGTGTCTAAACTTCTATTACAATAAAAATACCCCTCTAACGGTCCAGAACGCTATTTTTTGTAGATCTTTTCAAATTTCGTTTAGTGATTTTTGGTTTAATCTCTACAAACCCCTAGTTTTTAGGTCATGAGCGAGCTCGTCGCCTACATGTACACTGGACGCTGTCATCGCCTCACCGACATGGCGCTTGAGCTGCTCGCCGCCGCCGACCGATTTGCTATGCCGGGACTGAAGGAGGTGGCCGAGCAGAATCTGCGCGCCACGCTCAGCATCGACGGCTGCTGCCGCTCCCTGATGTGCGCCGACATCTATGGAGCAGCTGACTTGAAAGCTGACGCGGTGCGCTTTATCACGCAGAACTCGTCGACCGTAATTCAGGTACGCACATATTTTTACACTTTTTACGCCAATTTTTCTTTTAGACTGACGGCTGGCAGCATATGGTTTCTTCCAAGCCCGAACTCGTCACCGAAGTCGTTCAAGCCATCTCCGACATTACGAGCAGCACGCCCCATCAATCAAGTAAGGGCTACTCTGTTTGTTTTTAAAAAAATGTAGCTATTTGTAATTTTGAAATTTTATAACTTCAGAAAAGAAGAATGCCGACATTTTGTCGAAATTTTTGTATAGTACCTGGTGATCCTGCGCTAGATTTGTTCATGTTCAATTTCGAAATATAGAAATTCCGACACTATGAAGTTTTCACATTCTGCTAGCAAATCGGACGAGGTGTGTATAGAAACATCTAACTTTTTCAGGTTCCTCAAGCGTCGAGCCACCTTCCAAACGACTTCGTGTCCTCGGCCCAGCTGACTTGCGCCGTCCCTAGCAGACAACTCCTGAGATACACACATGCCTCTAGTCCACGCTTAATATATCCGTGATCTCTTTGTCTGCATATACATACTCTTTTTTTTGCCCCGCTCATCATTCCCCTTCAACGCAGTTCACATTGCCTTTCTCGCGTTGGTGCTTGTGTGTTTAATAATTGACAGTCTATCCTAAGGGCCATTTACTGACTTTCACTGAATTCCACGAGCGCTCGCCTTGTTGTTCGCCAAGCTCAATGTGCTGCGTTTCGCCGGCTTGGGCCGGCCTATATACATACTTTCTCTCTTCTCGTGTACTACTGATACGGTTGAAATGAATTGATAAATGTTATAAAATTCAAGACAACGCAATGCTATGTATGAGTTGACGGACGAGCTATCTGTGTGGTTGCGGTCTACAGAGTGGTTGTTTCATCTCAGAATCGACTGCACGGAAAAACTTTCAGTTTATGAACAACGGCGAGCCAAAACGGGCCAAGATGAGCCCGGTCTGTATTTTGGGCATCGAATCTTCAGCGAATAAAATTGGAGTTAGTGCTTTTTACAATGGAGAAGGTCTATGTTTGTCAGGTCGGGATCGTTCGGGACGGCGAAGTGCTATCAAATCCACGCGCAACATACATCCCCCCTCCTGGAGAAGGTTAGATATATAATGTTTTAAAAACCAGTTTCTTTCCTTGTAGGTTTCATCCCAATCGAAGCGGCCAAACATCATCGAAATAATGCTCAACGACTTATCGATCTCGCCATTAGCGATGCTAAAATCGAGGTAAGGGGAGAATTGAAGCCAATTGGTCGGTTTAGAACCCGGAAAATGACATTGACGCTATCGCCTACACGCGCGGGCCCGGAATGGGGCAATGTCTTGAGGTGATTTTTCCAAAGTTTGGCAACCATTTTCTTACAGGTTGGAGCCAAGGCAGCCCAAGCGCTAGCAAAAAAACTTGGAAAACCGTTGATCCCCGTCAACCATTGCATCGCACATATTGAAATGGGTCGACTAGTAACTAAAGCTGCGAATCCTACAGTGCTATACGTTTCAGGAGGAAATACCCAAGTATGTCGAAGTAGTCATGGTTGTACTTTTGATTTAGGTGATCTCCTATTCTAACCAGAAGTATCGAATCTTTGGCGAAACCCTGGATATTGCCGTCGGAAATTGCCTGGACAGATTCGCGCGGATTATCGACTTGTCGAATGACCCGGCTCCTGGATATAACATAGAACAATTCGCGAAGAAAGGTGACCCGTATCTTCCTAAAAAATGTAGATTTTTAGGCGAAAAATTCTTTGAACTTCCTTATGTGGTAAAAGGTATGGATGTCTCATTGTCTGGGATTCTATCGACGATGGAGGCTAAAGCCAAGGCTTTGATAAAGAAGGGCGAATACAGCAAGGAAGATCTCTGTTTTTCGCTTCAGGTGTGTTCAAATCTTTATGAAGAAGACCTTTTGTTTAGGAAACGTTATTCGCGATGTTGGTGGAGGTTACCGAAAGAGCGATGGCGTTGAATAAGAGCGCTGAACTTTTGATAGTTGGCGGCGTGGGATGTAATTTACGACTTCAGGTATACAGTAGCGTTATTAAAAACTAGTGTTTTCAGGAAATGGCCGCTGATATGTGCAAAGAACGTGGGGCCACGCTATTCGCCACCGATGATCGCTACTGCATTGACAACGGCGCCATGATCGCCCACACCGCCTGGGAGATGTACCACGTCGGCATGGTGCCAAAGGCATTTTTTTGTCTTTGACTGATTAAACTCTCTTAGGACGCCAGCGACTGTTCGGTCACCCAACGCTTCCGCACCGATGACGTTGATGTACTGTGGAGAGAGGACTAAACTTATTTACTTTGTTTTGTTGATTTTGAAATTTTTACGATTTTATGGACGACGTTTGTAATAAAGTTACATATATATTTTCGAAAGGCGCCTCATTACGCTAAAGACGAGAGTTGCTTTTTAGAATGGTTTTAACTTGATAAAGATTTATTGACAAAGACTTATTTTGTTTAGGCTATTTGCATCTAGAGTGGATAAATTACAAATCCGCTTTCCTAGAGTGTGGCGCTGATTTTGATAACATTTACCCTATCAAGGTCAACCCTCCATTGATCGATAGCCTCGGGTAGATTAGCACCCGTTTACCCCGCAAGGGCTAGCCGGTTTTGGAGGACCGCCATCTCGTAGCCTGGTCATGCTGTCTGGGCTACACTGGGGGCAAAGTCCGTTCCTTCCGTCTTTTTCGGCAAGCCATGCCTCCCAATTACACAGTGCGATGACGCGGGTTGTTTTGAGCTCGGTGCTCTTCAACCCCAAACTCGGGGGTTCCAGGGGGAGCGCCAATTCCAATTTTTGTATTTGGTCGAACAATTAAAAATCATTATCGCGGGGGGGGGGGTCAAAGTCTAAATTCTCGTTGGCTTCCTCCCCTTATCAATGTCTCGGCTTTTGGCCTTCCATTTCCGCTGTTATTTTCGGGTACTTTGAAACTTGATTCTTACGATTCCTTATTTCTTACGATTATAACTGGCGCTTTTTCCAGGATGTTGTCAACGATGCGTTCGGCGTTGAGGCCTGTGTCGGCGCTCAAGACCTTGAGGTTTTGTATAACTAAAATTCGCAAGCTTTGATTTTCAGCAATGTCTCCGTGCGTAGCGTCTCTGCCGCCGCCGAGAAGAAGGAGCGCAAACCGGTGGAGACCTCTTCTTTCGCCATGAACATCTTCCGCGGCAAGGCCCAGCTCGAGAATGTCTTCCCCTACCCGCTCAACTTGAACGAGGATCAGGTTCATTTTGATGAATCGATGTATTCATTTTCTTCTAGAAAGAAACCCTCAACATGATCGTCGAGCCGACAGAGAAGTTCCTGTCGGAAGTCAACAACTTGCTCAAGTAGATTGATTCTTTTCTGTCAGGACCGTTTTTTAGAAACGACGCTGAAGCCTCACAATCGCCAGAAATTCTGCGTCAATTCGGCGAGCTCGGCGCTTTTGGAGCCCTGGTTCCGGCCGAATATGAGGGAGCCGGCCTGAACAATTCGCAGATGGCCCGCTTGGCCGAAATCGTTGGAGCCCATGACTTGGGACTGGGTGTGACGATGGGTGCTCATCAGGTACATTCTATAGACAACCTGAATGTATCACTATTTCAGTCGATCGGCTACAAGGGTATTCTGCTCTATGGTGACGAGAAGATGAAGCAGAAATACTTGCCCGATCTGGCCACTGGCCGCAAGTTTGCCGCTTTTTGCTTGACGGAGCCGGGGTCAGGATCTGATGCTAGCGTAAGCTTTGACTTACCTTTACTAGTATGCTCTTTTTAGTCTATTACTTCGACCCTCAAGAAAAGCGATGACGGGAAGCATCTTATTCTCAACGCCAGCAAGATCTACATCTCCAACGGCGGTTTTGCCGAGGTTTTCACCGTCTTTGCCCAGGTTTGAAAATCTAGGCGTTTTAATCTCACTTTCTTATTCAGCAACCGATCAAGCAAGCTGACGGCACGACGAAGAACAAGATGACGGCTGTCGTTGTCGAGAAGGCTTTCGGTTTGATTGTTCGAAATGATAATTACGTATTCATCAGGTGGTGTTTCCGCTGGGGCCCCGGAGAAGAAGATGGGCATCAAGGGCAGCAACACTGTCGCAATGAACTTCGACAATGTCAAGGTAGCTATTTTTACAATTCTTCAAAATAAATTTTTAGATCCCGATCGAGAATGTTCTCGGTGGTGAGGGCGAAGGCTTCAAGGTGGCCATGAACATCCTCAACAACGGTCGTTTCGGAATTCCGGCCTCGATGACCGGAACGATGAAGTACGTCATCCAAAAGACGGTAAGGAAGCTTCCCGCGATCAGCACTTCTTTTTCTCCAGATTGACCAGGTCACCCAGCGCGTCCAGTTCGGCAAGAAGCTCGAGGAATACGGAAATGTCCAAGAGAAGGTGATATCTGGAGTTTATATGGCGTAAACTAGCGATTTTAGCTCTCCCAAATGATCGTCAAGCACTACGCGTCCGAGTCGATCGTCTACATGCTGGCGGCCACGATGGACGCCGGCGTCAAGGATTATCAGCTCGAGGCTGCTTGCGGAAAGATCTTCACCTCGGTACTTTCTTTTTCATAGACCCGGAATATATTTTATCGTCTTAGGAAGCCGCTTGGTGGTGCACGGACGAGGCTATCCAACTTCACGGTGGATCCGGCTTCATCCGCGAGACCGGCCTCGAAGTCTTCCTGCGCGATCTTCGAATTTTCCGCATTTTCGAGGGAGCAAATGATGTTCTGCGTCTTTTCGTCGCCCTCACCGGAATTCAGGTGCTTATTCAAAAAAAAATATTATTCCTATCGAGTTTTTACAAAACTGTAGTTTGAAAAAATCATAATTTTTTTTTAGCACGCTGGTCTCCATCTGCAACAGACGGCCAAGGAGATTAAGGCTGGCGGTATCGGCACGTTGTTCGGCGAGATCACGAAGCGTGTGACTGGGTGAGTCGGTTTGAATTTTTCGGCTAGTTATTTTTGTTTCCTTTTGGTTACTTACTTTTGTTTTTTTTAGTGGAAACACTGGAGGTGACTTCTCCGCCGCCGTCCATAAGAACTTCTCCACCGAGGCCGGCGCTCTCGACTCGGCCATCAAGGATTTCGGGTCGACCGTCGAGAAGTTGTTGATCCAGCACAAGAAGGGCATCATTGGTAGGCAGGAATCTTCAACCCCATTCCCGCTTTTTTAGACCGGCAATTCGAGCTTATCCGTGTCGCCGACGCCGCCATCGACATTGTCGCCCTGGCGTGCGTGCTGTCGAGGGCCACTTTCTCCGCGCAACACGGATCCCCGTCGCTGGAGCACGAGAAGGACATCGTGCAGCTGTTCACCAAGCAGGTCATCCTCAATATGTTTTTGAGATTTAGGGTACTCTGTTTTAGCGTGGCGCAAAGCTAAATGTTATATTTTTACGATATCTGCATATTGATGAAGTATAATTTTTTATAATTGTAGCACTTTGCGATAATTTTCCCTGTTTTTCAAAAGCCTGAAAATTCGAAGTTTCCAATTTTGACGATTTTTCATAGATCTTTCACCAAAATGTCGTTATTTCGGATGTTTTAATTTTTTTGTCAGGGGATGATTAGAAATAGTAATATCAGCAGTCACAGGAAAAGGTTATAATGCAAATTTTCAGGCCCTCAACCGCATCACCGACAACCTGAAGGTGGCCCGTGAGGGAGGCTCCGGCGAGGTGAACCTGATCACGAAGATCGCCCGGGATGTGTGCAAGAACGGCAGCCTTCCCCTTAACCACCCGACCCAGTTGTAAATACTACTGTTGTTATCTCTCTCATTGAGCCCCTCCCCTAGCCTCTACTTGTAATAATCAAAACTGTGCCATTTTTTGTTCATTGTCGATATGCATGTATCAAAGACTTAGACGCTCTCGGGCTCGCTCAACTTGTGCCTTATCGAATTCACGCTGTTTTTTTACTAATACCCATTTTTCGATCAACCGGGTACTATCTCTCATTTTCTAGGTGGTAAGAACCGATCCAATAAATTATTATGAATTGAGATCACGATAACAATCGTTTGGGAACACTATCGGGGCTTGTGTTTTTGGATGAAGCTGACTTGGATGGGGATTGTGTTGTCCATCAACTAAAAATAATTTTCGATATTATGCTTGGAGAGGCTAACCTGATCGTGGTTCATTCCGTCGCGTTTCACAAAGCCCGTGCCTCCCAGAATTGGGCTTACCGGTCTACCACATGCCCGGAAACCGACCTGAATTTTGTCTAATTGTCACTGTTTCTCGAGCTCACCTTCTCATCACTCGTCGAAAATAGACTGAAGACGAACAGACCCTCGTATTTTGTTTGATGGTTGATGTCCTATGAAAAATATTGTTAATTTAGAGAAATGTACTTGTAGGAAAACTGATTCACAATGTAGGCCCGTTCTCCGGTTGCAAGTGCCAACCGGAATCGGAATTGCACATAGCGAGCTTCCATAATTTGCTCCGGCGACGGAGAGGAAAGTGTCGATCAGCTCGGTAAGTGGAGGTCCTGAACCGGAAATAGGTTTGAAGCTTTTTCATTTGAACATACCCAGAATTTCTCGCGTGTCCATGCATTGACCGCCCAAGATAGCTTTCCTTGCCAGCGGTGACCCCATTGAGTATGCAATGACGTCGACGGCGGTCCCGGTGTATTGCCGAACGGCGATGATCATCGATCTAAAGGTTTCTACTTTACAGAAACCCCCCATATTTACCTGATCTGCTTCACGTACGAACACTTCATATCCACCAGGCCGACCGGCGTCGCCCCACCATCACCCCACGTCGTCCCGTAGATCTCCGAATTTTGGTATCCATGCTGCCGCAGATATTTCACTGTGCCCTTGAAGAAATTTTTCGCGTAAATGGGACTCACGTGGAATCTGGCGGCCGTGTTGGTGATGCCGTGGATGATGATGACGGCTTGTTGTTTGGGCTCTTCGAATTGGTCCATGCGCCCGCCGAAAGAAGCGCCCGGACCGAGATCTGATTTATGGTTTGTAACGATTTTTTAGGGTTGAGTTCACCTCGATGAGGTACGAGATAAAATAACAGGTGTCGTTATATTTTTCAACGATTTTTAGATGTAGATCCTTGCTCTAGGCTACGATGAAGGTTAAAGCACATCCACTGTCTTTATTCATTCATTTGAACGACTTTACTTTTTTAATGAGACGCTGAAGGTAACAGATAAAATAAAAATACCAACCCGTCCGCTCCAACTGCGTCACCATCGATATGCCATAGCTATCATGAAGGAAACGACGAAAATGTGGGGTAAAATCGGCAAATACAGCGGAAATCAACGCCCAAAACAGCAGAGGCTTCATCCTACTCTAATATCTCGAGATCTGGGTGAGTCGATCGAGGTAGGTGTGACTGTGTTTGTCCTGCCAGTGGCAGAGAGCCTTGAGATTTCGTTACGGCATCACAGCCATTCGCGTGCCCTAGGGGGTGGAAATAAAAAGGGAAGACGCGGAACCGGTTCGCCATAGTATCACTCATCGCTCGACCCCCGCGGGCAGGGTGGAAATAAATCCGGAAAACTGGACGGTTGTTTGTGATTTGCAACGCTGGATTTGAGGGTGATGGCTGTGATTTTTCACGAAAAACCCTTGTCTATTTATGTTTTGTTAGCAACATACAAGACTTTATTACATCGTCAGCCCCGGATTAAAAATGTAGATTTAGAATCCTGCGTTTTTCAGCCGATTCGTGAGACCCCTGGCGGCTATTCTTTGATTTTCCAACTTTTTGAGTTGTTGGGATGATCGTCGTTTTCTTTGTTGTCGTCTTCTTCGTTGTCGTGGTCGTCACTGAATGATTTTTAAGTAGCGCTATTTTGAAATATTTTTATACGCAGCGTTTGGAGCGTTTTTTCTTTTAACATCTCCGTTTTTCTACCTTTTTTCGGCATTGTCCAGGGTCGTTTAGAGCCTTTTACTTTACTGGTCTTCACGCCTGCCGGCCTCGTAATTTTCCGGTCTGAAGTTGTTGGCAAAACCGTAGTAGTGCTGGTTTTCTGCTCGACCGTCCGGCCTGGCAGAATAGCATCTTTTTCCTCACTCGTTTCCTCCCAGAAGTAGTCATCTCAAATAATTTTCAAAAACTTCTAGGAGCCTTTCAGAAAACTACCGTCATCATCATCGTCGTCGTCATCGTCCTCCCCACATACAGAACAAACGGAGCACGCGTCACAAGTACCCGTAGAATTGGTAGCTACAGTTGTGGTAATCGCTTCTGGCTAAATAGTTGGTGTTTTTGTAGTTTAAGTTAGTAGTATTTTGTTAATGTTATCGTTGGTATAGTTATAGCTAGTACCTCCTCTGTACTTGCAGTCACATTCTGGCCACTTGGAATGTTGATCCATTGGTTTGGTTTGTCTAAAGGCAAGCATATTACTAAAAAGTTGTTCGTTTTACCCTCGGCAGTCCCAAATTGAAGAATCGTAGCCCAATAAGAAGTTAACGAACATGGATCTGTTCCATTCCGTCTGAGTACTCGAACGTAGCCGGATTCTCCCCACGTGGCTCCCCAACTAAAAAGCTTTACCGTCGAAGTCTAGCACTTTCAGGGTGACGACAAGACACTTGTCGCTTCAGTTGATTTGTGCACTCCCTGTGGGGAATGCGTTCCAAAATTTGTTCGAAACACTCTTTGAAGAGGTCTCGGGGTTAATGCTAACCTCAAACTTGGGTAATTAAACCGAAGCTGCGGATGGGTGGGGGCTCTTCTCACATATCGACACTCCAGGTTGATGTGTCTATGCGGGCTGTCCCACAGCGAGCGATCTCTCGTTGTCTGCGTCTCGGAGTGTCTCGACGCCCTGTACCATCCCATTCCCCTCCTTCCGATTCACAGTGCCCCCTCCTGATCGGAAAGTATCGAAGTGTTCTAGAGAGACGCAGACAGCGAGAGATCGCACGATGGGTGGTTGCCCGGATAAACACATCGACCTGGAGTGTCCATATGTGAGAAGAGCCCCCACCCATCCACAGCTTCGGTTTAATTACCCAAGTTTGAGGTTAGCATTAACCCCGAGACCTCTTCAAAGAGTGTTTCGAACAAATTTTGGAACGCATTCCCCCCAGGGAGTGCACAAAGATACGAAAAGTGAATTGAAGTTACTGGGCTTTACCTGTTCCTGATGATCCAATACTGCTCTGTAAATCCGACTATAACCACTGCATGATTGATGGTAGAAGCACAGGGCCCATCATAAATGCCTGAAAAAGAGGGATGCCTAACTTTTAGAGAGAGCGGTACCGCCTCCATAAGCGTATAGCTCATCAGCAACTGCCATTCCGACAGCCACTGGCCCTTTCCGGACACGATTCTCCATGTCTTGGCTGAGACTGATGAACTTTGAGGTGGTCGTTTTGTTGGTGGTGGTGATGAAGCCTGAATTGCTACGGATGTGCAATTTGTTTGCCGCGCCCGTTGCTTGCGTGGCGGAAAAACGGGAAATCTACAGGATTCATCTAACCGGAAAATGCACCGTACAACAACTAGCAGAGATTCTTGGTCTTTCCGAATAAATATTTCCACTAACCCGTATCGAAGCTCGACACCCTCAGCGAAGACCCGAACCCGCTGAGGAGACATGTGGCGTTGCTCTTAAAGGGGGAGTGACAGCAAGAAGTCATACTTACACTGCCACGGTAGGGGTAGGTAGCAGAGGTAGTTACCGATTTGGTGGACAGATAGTTCGTGGCTACCTAAACCTTAATCTTGACCTAAACATTGGCCAACCCGCAGTTGAACCTTCCTTTTTCAAACTTTTTTTTTGAGAGGTTAAATCTACCTGAAAATACCCTCCATCACATCCTTTGTTCGCCAATCCGTAAGTGGGATCGACTTGGCGGTCACAGTCCAGGATTTGTTGGACCTAAACGACTCAGAATTTTGCAAAAAATGGTCACTACCGATAGCTGGGGTGTTGGTACGCCTTTAATGGACAGCCATCCTTCTAGGAGACCATTCTAAAAATGGTAATATGACCCGAAAGATGTTAGGATGCGCAAGCATCGACTCCATGTCTTGCTTTCTCTCTCTCTCTCTCTCTCTCTCTCTCTCTCTCTCTCTCGCTTTCTCTCTCTCTCTCTCTCTATCTTTCTACCTACCATCGCAAATCCCCAACAACCTCCACAGCTCCCCTGATCCATAATGTCCCCAAAGTACGGCCGCCAATCCACTGTTGCGTTCTCGGCATCACGCTTCTTACGGACAACTGGAGCAGCCGCTTCAGAAGCTTTGCAAGTCATATAGCTCATTTTCATCTACCTGTTGTCGGCACGGTATCGAACGGTTGTACAATGAGTGAAAGCGGAGCCCGTTCTGTACTTTTCTAAAACTGTACTGCTTTATGTTGATCCGCAGCCCACCATGACGCTAAATTTGTTGAGCACTTCTTGATACAGTGTCTCTCCGGCTTCATATTTTTCGTTGTGAGCATCAACTTGGACCTTTTGCTGCTCATATTTTGCGTAGCGGTCCAGGCCGTCGGTGGCGTTGAGCTGGATACCTAGAGACGCCAGAAAATACCTCGCACTTGGTTGTGTTCATGTTTTTCTAAAATTACGTGTTAAAATTATACTCACCCAAATCCATGAGCTGATTCGTCAATTCATTAAATTTCTCGTCAGCTTCAAGGATCTGTTGATAGCGTTCAGAGTCTGGAAGTGTAGTTGTCGTCGGCTGCTTCGTGGTTGAAGTAGAGGTAGTGGGAGCTAAAGGTTATTAATTTATCTGGCTAAAGTGCTATGGAACCTACGAGTACAAGTCCCGCACATTACCGGACACAAATCGTCGATTGTCAGCAGGAAATTGCCCTGAAATTTGATAAAAAATTCGTGGTCTCATGAGGATTCTACTTTGGCATATGAAGGCAGGAAGATGGCGACGATGCAGGAGCACTTTGCCTTCACGCTTGATTTGGCCACCGGGCCAAGCATTAGGGTAGGACAAACCGCATCATCGGTGCAGTTTCCTAAACAGCACTTGAAAGGGTCCGCTAGCTGCATTTCGTCAGGATAGAGACAAAGCTCTAAAAATCTGCAAAACAACAAAAAGATATGCAAAAAGCCTACGACACTCGGGATTCCCAAGCCGTCTCCGATCCAAGTACTAACCGAGCCCAACGTTGCTTAACTTGGCAGATCGGACGGGATGCCGTGCTTTCAACGTGTCGTAGGCGAGGGCAGGGAGGTTTGGGGCCTTGATCAGGGATAGCATCCCCCAGAGCGCATCAGAATCACCTCCTTTCGAGGCCATGGTGGCCTAACCTAATCCTTGTCACTCATCAACAACTCTGGTCTCCCTAAACGCGCCTACGACCATACCACGTTGAAAGCACGGCATCCCGTCCGATCTGCCAAGTTAAGCAACGTTGGGCTCGGTTAGTACTTGGATCGGAGACGGCTTGGGAATCCCGAGTGTCGTAGGCTTTTTGTTGTTGTTTCTTTTCGATGTAAGCGGAATACCCGAAGTTCTGATCTTTTGTTGGCGTTTTCGTAACCGTCATATTTTCAATTCTTTCGACCTCCAATAGGCCACTTACCTGCAAATACATCGATCGCAAAGAGTAGCACCGCGTAGAATATTCGTCTCATCTCGATCCTACGAACATTGGAGTGGGCTCAAAAATCCCGCTACTGGCATGGTATGGAATTTGGGGCTGCACAAACATGGCGGGGGGACTAGGTGAAAATCGGTTGCAAAATTGCGAGGTTAAACGTTTTTAAAGAGACGTGCAAGCAAATTTTAATATGTGTATTTAGCATAAAAATATAATCCGAAGGATACCTTGATTCACACAGTACCGTTAGGTTACGAAACTGATTTCCAGAAAATTAAATGCGAAAATTTGCATCCGAATTTGCACCGGAAGGCTTCGACAAATTTGCAAACCCGGAAGCCTGAGGATATTGAAGCATTTTGATTTTGATACTTCACTTTGGTAGGTCGATCCGCCTGCTTCCCTTCCTCTACCGCTTCTAGTTAGAGAGCTGTTTCCGCGAAATGTTCTTAAATGCGCCGCGCATCCTAAACGCGAAGGCTTCCGGTAAATGCGAAAAGGTTGGTGCTTTTTTATGTCGCTAAGTTTTGACACATTTATTGCAATATTTTATTTTAAAAGTTTAAATGACGTTTTTCTAGATAAATCGCGACGGCCTGCTGAACACGACGGAGAAGAACTACCAACAGATTGTCTGCCGACGCTGCCATTCCATCGTTTTCCCGGTTAACGCCGTCATCTACGTGGAGAGTGGGGTTTTTCGGGATTTTGGCATGTGGTGTATTGGTTGTGGTCTGAGTTGCCAAGCGTGTGACCCGGGTTCAATCCCCGCCGGTGCGGGACGTTTTGCTTTTTGCTCAAAGCCTCTGAATCGGCTGGAAAATCAGTTTCTTAGGCTGAAAAATTGGAATTCACGGACTTGCCCATTTTTTCAGAATTTCCCGTGAAGCTGCCGGTGATGTCGCACCAGGGGAAGGGCAAGGTGCCGTTGGAAGAGGTGGGTCTTCAAGATTGCTTTCGATCTCTCTCGCTCTCTCTCGCTCTCTCTCTCTCTCTCGCTCGCTCTCTCTTCGTCTCTCCTTCTCCCACCCTCTCATTCCAGATCTCGTGGTGGTGGTACACGCACGACGACCTCGACTTTGACACCGTCGGCTGGCAGACGATCAACGGCAAGAAGGTGAATGCCCAATTCGGCGCACCCAGAAAAATCTACCACCACTCAGCCTTCCCTGTGCCTTTAGAAACATTGGTCGACTGTTGATGGGAAGTGTAGGTTCTAGATTCAGGTGCTGATGTGTGGGGACTGTGAGTTCGGCCCGTTCGGCTTCCGCACCGACGACAACAAGCATTTCTACGTGGCTGTCGAGAGGGTACGGTGGATAGCACGCCTGTATTTTCATAGCGTAATAGGCTGTAGCGTACGCGGCAGCGAAAAGATACCTGCTTTGCTGGTCCATTTAAAACCAATTTCCACCCTTTCAGATGCACTACCTCGAGCCGGAGGAGGCGTCTTCGAACAAGTAGCCACCAGAACCCGCTACCGTACCCCATTGGTCACTCGTCTACCCCATCAACAAAACCCCAAGCCACGCCCATTTCCGTCGAATAAATCGATTTTATCTGATCCAATTTTTATTCGAATTATGCATTTTTCACGCGACATTTGTACAGCGACAACGCATCAAAAAACGTTTAAAAATGAAGCGAATCGAACGTCAACAAGTGCAATGGGCCAAAGAGAGAAGGGAAATTTCGAGAGCACAGAGAAAAAGCTGAGATCACGCGGGTGGATGGGTTTTTGGGGATAGGAATTAAAAAAAACTACGGTAATGTGTATGGCTATTTCCGCTCCAACTGCTCCTTCTGGATGCGTTTCGTGACCTTTTTGATGTTGTTGAGGTAGTACTGCTTGGTGGTGGGGTGGACCTGGAATCGGAAATGGAATGAAGGCATCATTAATGTGTGAATGCGTGGTATATGGGTTCTTTAAAGGGACTGCCAAGGCTCAGGCCAGGATTTTTTGCCATGGATTTGTCATGGGTTTGTCACGCGCGACACGCAACGCACGCAATAAGTAGTAATCGATTATGCAATGCAAATCGTACGTACGCGTTGCGTGTTGTGGGTGTAACAATTCAAAGAAAGCTCTATTTATTTTTTGCGAGGCGCAATGCGCAAATTTTGTGCACTATAATGGGGAGGTAATCCGTCAAAAAAAATGGAAAGCCGCGCGCGTTGCGTGTCGCTCGCGCGGGCAAGGTAGACAAAATTGGTGGCCATGACTTATACGCTCCTTTAAAACGCAACCTCGCTCAAAATTTAACTCACCGGAATGTCAAATATAACCGGACTGTTCACCAGGTCCAAGTTATGGTCCGTCGAGCAGCAGTTGATAAACTTGGTGTACCCGTCCGAGCTGCAGCCATATCCTAAACCATGACCGTTATACCGTGATTTTTAGCTCATTACTTGCTTTTTTAATAGATACGATTCTACTACCTACTACGACCGACTTACCCTCATGAATATGACCGTAGACGTGGTACTTGGGCTTGACCCGCTTGACGACCGTGTTCAACAACTCGACGCAGCCCATCCGCTGCCCGTTCGCCATTAGGTCACCGTGGCCTGGAAATGAGGTTGTTCTGATGCGCTATGGGGATGCTGTCTCTGATCAAGGCCCCAAACTTTACGACCCTCGCCTACGACCATACCACGTTGAAAGCACGGCATCCCGTCCGATCTGCCAAGTTAAGCAACGTTGGGCTCGGTTAGTACTTGGATCGGAGACGGCTTGGGAATCCCGAGTGTCGTAGGCTTTTTAGTCAGTTTTTAGGGCTCTTTTTTTGGGAACTTTTACTAACCGAGTGGTGGTGTATGCGTGATGAGGACGTCAACCCCAGTCGGGATCTGATTCCATTTCTCGAGCAGCGGAAGCCCGCGCGACAGGTTGAAGGCCCAGTTGTCGACGCGGGGTTGCCTAAAAACGTTTGAGCTGCTTGATCTCGAGCCTACCATGGTGTTCCGTAGATGGTGATGCCGAACAGCTCGATGACCTCGTCCTGAAGGTAGAGACCGTTGGTGAGGAGCGGGCGTGGTGTTGTCATTTTTGCGGAATGGAGGGCGGAGAGGAGGGCTTGTTTCAGGGCTTCTTCTTTGGCCTCACCGATCTCGCGTTCTGTAGTGAATTGATACAATGGACTTTGGATGATGAAATTGCGGGTATCTAAGAACCGTTAAAATCTGAGCCTAATTTCGAAGTACAGCCCCAAAAACCCACTTTGTGACTTTAGGAACGTCTCGTCAAATGTGCACTCATGATTTCCAGCGATCAGGATACGGTAGGCGTGTCGGGTATTAGCTAAACACGGTAAAACTAGATTTTCAAATGTTCCAAACCTAGTTGCGCATTAAAATTCTTCACTTCCTTGGGCAGGCCACACGACGTGAAATCGCCGGCCACTATCAAGACGTCGCCGTCTGAATTTATCTATTTTAAAGGGACGGTGACAGCCGAAATTACCTGGCAAATGTGGAAGTGGCTGGCCGTGCGTGCAGGAGACGCACACGAATCTGACGTGGTCGGGTCGGATTGGGGTGTCGAGTTTCATCTGGAAGAAGATCAATAAAAATGGATTAGAATCTCTCTCTCTCTCTCTCTCTCTCGCTCTCTCTCACTCTCTCTTTCTATCTTTACCTGAATTACTCGCTTCACCGGCCGTTTTGCTTTCAACATTTCCCAAGCGACCGTCGGATCTTCTGTATATTGGTGTGGCTGGATCTGTAAATTAAACTCTTAAAAATTACTTAAATCACGGCGTTTTTAGTATCGTCTCGAAACCAATCCCCTCCCTGGTTTTTAAAGGCGGCGTGACACCAAAAATCCCCAACCGTTTAGACAATAAACTCTAGACAACCAGCACATTAATGGCACGCTGGGCGTCGGCTTCTTGGCGCTGCTTGAGGATGAGGCTCCATTTCCGCTCTGGGGTTGTCTTTTTCTCATTGGTTTGATCGGCCTCCTCGTGGATAGTTGTGGCTTCGGCGAGTCTTCTGAGTGGGCGGCGCTCCTTGTCCCTGATGCTCTTCCGGCGGACCTCCTCTCGGACGAGGTCGCTCAGCGCCGAGTTACTGTAGAAGGAGCCCCGCTTCGAGAACATCTGCAGGTTGGGGTTAAAGTTGGACGAGGAAGAGAGAGAGAGAGAGAGAGAGAGAGAGAGAGAGAGAGATTCACAGAAATCAACACGCTACATTCCTACATCAAATTCCGAGACACCCCTAAAAACCTGCGATTCCCCCAGCTTCCTCACACAGTCGATTCACCCCATAAATCCAAGTTCAATTAGTCGCCCCAGCACCGCCTGACTTCCCCCCAAAAGCCCATAAAAACCCGTGGAAAAGACGGACTTAAGTCAAGCCAAGCTGGGCGTCCAAATGGCCCTGGGGTCATGTCCTCATGGCCTTTCGGCTGGAAGTGTTACAGCTAGGTGCACAACATGGCGCCGTTTTTCCACGGATTGGCACGTAGTCCGAGGCGTTTAAGGAATGGAACGGAAGGGGGTATCGGGTCGCAAAGTTTGAGAGGAGAGTATTTGCAGCTGCTGCTTCCGGGCTGCGTTCAAGATTCGGAACAGTTGGAGAGAGAGAGAGAGAGAGAGAGAGAGAGAGAGTTCTTCAAAAACTAAAAGCTCTAAAAAATATAGACAAATTTTCTAGTAAACTTTTCCGAACTAGCCAGAAGCCTCCAAAAAACCTTGAACAACTCCGGCAAGGGATCGCCCGAGATGTCCATCTACCCCAGAGCTCTATGGCCCCCAAAAATCTGGGGGTAAAAACGAGCGATCAGTCTTTTCCGCTCGACAACCATCACCGTGACGATCAACGGGCCCTCTCTCTCTCTCTCTCTCTCTCTCTCTCTCTCTCTCCCTCTAGCTTTTTCTCGCTCGAAAGTTGTCCAACACAACCCGGCAGAGATTGAGTCCCGAACCTCGGATGGGGTTGGCTGAACAAAAATCGCGCCGGGATGCCGATGGCTGCTCAAATTACAGGAACCCTGGGTGCAGCCGGAATGACTAAAGCACAGGTTTCGATATTTTTGAAGGCTCTGGTAACGTAGCTTTGAAAAACAACTGGTGTTTTGGTTTTTTGAATTGATCTTGCAATCTATCTTCCGGTAGCCACTCTCTAGTCTGATCAAAATGAAAGGGACGGACATGGCATGCTTATGAATTTTTGCGGCAATGAATTAGAAAGTTTTTAAGCAAAAGAAGGCTTTCTTTTTGTAGCTCCAAAGGCTCCAGTCGTGTATCAATTTGGTTTTCAGGCCAAGGATCGCCAAAATTGGATAGAAAACCAACAATTCGAATTGAAACTTGGGCTTTCGATCAGGCTTAGTCTTGGATTGGTCTTAATCTCACGCTTACTCATAGTGTTGAGCTTCGGCTTAGGCATTGGCTCAGGCTAGGAAAGAAATGACTATTTTTTAAAGGGATCACTAAACCTTGGCAAAGGCTTTAGCAAAAACAGCAGTAAGACAAAAAAAGAAGAACAACCAAGAGAAGAACCTAAGAAAATGAAAAGAAAAAGATACCGATGGGATCAGAAAAAAGATACCTCACGAATTCCAGCAAAAACGGCTTTGAAATTCTTAAGTAGCTCTTTTTTGAGGCACCTGTTTTCCAAAGGCAAAAGTTAAGATTACAAAGTGCATCCCGATACAATTGAACCAATCTTGGCGTTGTTTTCAGGGGATGGAAGAATGAAGGAAAAGCATGGGCCATAGGAATCGAGCTAGAGGGTGCGAACAGCCGCCGTCGTTACCCCCAACACACACTCAGATCCGAATGTTTTGTTTTGATCCGAGTCGGTCGCTACGGTACTTTTTTGAGAGAGAGCGAGAGAGAGAGCGAGAGAGAGAGAGAGAGAAAGAGAGAGAGAGAGAGATGCGCCGCTGGGGTCCCGGGTGGAATACCACGGTCTCGATCTCTTCTTCAATAGATAGAGAATTGGAGAAAGGAATATCCATCACAGATCGGGTCAGGTGGCCCACCACCGCCCAACTCGACACACAGTTGCCCCACCCAGCAAAGACCACAAGGTTTTCCGCGGGGGCCCAACAAATACCTGGATGGGGGACCCGTTAAGGGCCCAATTATATCGAAAAGTCATTAATAGATAATATAAATCCTATAACAAATACTATCAAGATATTTTTAGCGAAATACCGATGTTTTCAGCCAGCCTACCGATCCGTTGAGTTTGTGCCATAACTCTGCCTAAAAATTAAATTTTTCCGGATTTCCAGCTCACCGATCATCTGCAATGCAAGAGCTGTCGAACCACGCGTTTAGAATTTTGTGAAAACCGGTAAATCATCTTGAATCGCAGGCGACGAAAGCGTTTCGAAAACTCGACAGCCCGGGCATGGTTGCTGGTATCGTTAAAAACGGTTTGTCTCGTCCAAACAGGGTCACGAGGCCATAAAGATGAGGCGCGGGCTTCAGAGTACCTTTAAAAACTCCGTAGACTGCCAACAGCCGGAGAAGAAACTAGGCAAAAACAATTCGATGTCGATCAGATACGACCTGTTAGTTGGCGAACATTAAAAATGCGTTACGATTCCGGTACAAAACGTTTCGATACGGTACGATACGCCACAATACGATACAAGTGCGAAAGGATACCTTGCGGTACGTCACGATTGCGACACGCTGCCGTATTCCTAGCATACCTTAACATTAGCGGTAAGGCTGGCTCGACGTTCACGATCTTGTCTCTGATTCATCGACATTACGGAAGCTCGACGGGCGTTGGAACGAGAGGGGAGGACTTCCTGAAAATTTAGATTTTTCTTCTCGTTTATCTCGCTCTCTCTCTCTCTCTCTCTCTCTCTCTCTGCTGACCTGCTCGAAGACCCCGCGCAGCATGACGGCGGCTAAAATAGACGTTCTAGCTTTTGAATATGGTGGCTTACTGTCGCCATCAAAGTCGAGAATCGAGTGGTTCGAGGCTCTTCGCCGTCCATGGTACTGGAATTTAGGAGTTGTTTAGGGTAGCGCTTTTTGGGTCCGATGACACTTCCTTGGGGGTTCAAGTTACGCGGGTCAAGTTATAGCTTTCAGTCCGTTAAACTGCTCTAGAAGCAGGAGTGAGTTAAAGGGACGCGCAGGTCATGTCTCCGAATTTTTTTGCCAGGGATTGCCTATAGATTTTGCAAACTCGCAAAGCGCAATCTTTGCTTTAATAGCCAAATTTAAACCCCCAGATCTTCCTGGCCTCCTTGAAATTTAGCAACTGCCGGTTTTGTTTTGTCGGGCCTCCCTCCCTGAACGACTTCCTGGGCCCGGCCATAAATCGGCAGGAGCCTTAGCGCGTTAATTGGTTGAGGATCTATTTTGGCTCCCCTTACACAATCCTTCTCTTTTTCCCCCCCCCCCCCCCCCCTCTCTCTCTCTCTCTCTCTCTCTCTCTCTCCTCCCTTCCATCTCGGCAACACGTGATAAATCGATGTACAAGCTCGCCGGTGGGCTTTGATCTTTTTAGCTGGGTTCAGGTTGGTGTTGCAATCAACTACCTATTGCAGAGATGTATCGGCTTGGCTGAGCTATCGGCTTAGACTTAGGCTTAGGCTTAGGTTTAGGCTTCGGGGTGGGCTTCGGCTCGGGCCAATCACGATAAATACCTGCATAACTTCCTCATCTTCGATCAAGGGTAATAGGTTTCCCTTGGAATCTTGTCTGATCTTGTCGAGGGGTAGATTGACCTCTCTCGATGTCCTGAACGGTACATAATTTGATATAAAATCGAAATAAAATTCTAGGTGCAGAGAGCAAGGAGGAGAGAAAGGGAGAGAGAGAGAGTGAGTGAGTGAGAGAGCAAGCGAGAGAGAGAGAAAGCGAGACAGAAACGCAAAATCGCAAAAAGTACCAAATATACGAACCAACTTTTCAAGCGAAATGAGGTATGCCTTATCCCACCGTAATCGCTTTCAAAACCAGACTTACCGTCTCCCCATCGACTTGAGCATCGCCGGGCTGAGCATCGTGCACTGGAAGAGCATTTTTAGGGAAGGGGCTGGGGAAGTGGATGTGCACACGGAATGAACGAGGAAGAACAGCAGCCAAGCCACACCTTTAATCCCCGCCCGCAATAAAATCCTAATGACCCGTAAAAAGGTGGGATTCGTCGGTGGGGGGTTCAACCGTTTGGGGCCAAGGTGTCACCACACCGACACATAATCAGAGCTGCGGGTTGGACCCCCGACCAGGTGGTCCAATTTTTTGCGTTAACCCCAGAGTAATGGGCACTGGAAATCTTTAATTCTCTCGTGTGGACTCACTCTCTCGCCCCTTAATATGCACATTTATCAGCCACAACAAAGACGCCGGGGGCTGAAGAGCTATGGGCGGGTTGATTTTTAGGGTTCAACCATTTTGGCGAGCTCTCCGAAGTGGGTGGTAATGAAAGGTTTTCAGAGGGCGAGAGAGAGAGAGAGAGAGAGAGGGAGAGAAAAAGCGAGAGAAAGGGAGAGGGAGAGAGAGATGAAGATACATTCCAATCTACCAGGAAAATCCACTCACATCTAAAATCATCGTCTTAGAGCCGTTCTTCTTGAAGGCACAACCCCTTGAAAACGGGACAATATAGCTCGCCACTAGGTTTAAGGGGGCAGTGACAGCGGAGAAAAAAGTGAAAGGAACTGAACTTTTGAAACTGGCAAGAGACGAACTTCCGGTTTTGGTATATCTAGAGGGCCTAGAAAGCTCCAGAATCGACTCGGTTGCGACAACCATGAACAAAGCGTTAAAGCAGAACGAGAGCAGTTAGCCAAAGCAGTGAGAGAGAGAGCGAAAGCGAGAAAAGAGGAGAGAGAGAGAGAGAGAGAGCGAGAGAGAGCGTGGGAGAGAGAAAGATGCATCGTAAAATAGAGAAAACCATAATCCATGAAAACAACCTTTGCGAATCCCAGTTATTTGTAGTAATTAGCAGCTAGCCTGAACCCAAAGTGAGTCCGACTCTTTCAGCGACTCAACAGATCACGATGGCTTGATCTTTTTTGAGTGAACGCCGTGGCAGAGCGGCCACTCTCTAGCACACGTGTCCCCTCTGAAAACAGCCTCTCCAGCTCATCCCTAAGGGCCCACTATTTCGATGATTTATCCCGATAAACAAGGCACCTACCGCCCCTACTGAATGGCCAAAATATTTGGGGCAGTTTGAGAGGCGACAATTGGGGTTGGCAAAAGCGATTTGTCAGGAGGGTGGTGCCAAGATTAGAGTCTTAAAGGGGATGGGAAGCGCGCGAATCGCCCTGTGCTTTCCACTAGGCCTCGACAAAAGGTGATAGGCTAGTAAAATGACGCGGATAAGGCTTTTAGGTGAAAATGTCGGAACGCAATCCGGGCAATCGACAAAATCTCGAAAGCTCAATTGCCCACAGCCAAAATATCGATTGCCTTCATTATCCTTAGAAAAATCGCAAAAGCCAAAATACCAAAATACGGTAAGACTCCAGATACCCCCCCCCCCCAGCCGGCACCCAACTTTTGTATTTCGGCTCCCTGTTCATCTACAGGTGTGTAAAGTATACCAAAATGTTCGTCTTGCTGTGGCGAGTATTTTGGTATACTTTACACACCTGTAGATGAACAGGGAGCCGAGATACGGTGGGTGGGGGTCGGCTGGGGGGGGGGGTTATCTGGAGTTTAGCCCAAAATACTATTTAAAGGAAGCGGGTTTCAAGCTAGCGTCAGCGATATGTCGACATTTTGGCCTGTCGGTATTTTGACTCAGCGGGTTTGGATTTCGGGATTTTGATTGTCGATTATGGTTTCGGGATTATGGCTGTCGGTATTTTGGCCGTCGGGATTATAGCTAGAATTCGTGCAAATCGCTTGGCTACCACAAAAAACACTCCTTAAAAAAAGCTCTTTCCAGCGAGCTTACAATTTTTATGAGGTCGGAAATCGTCAGAGCAACGGCCAGATTTTACGACTGGGTAGATCTTACACGGAATTTAATTCTTAGGATCGTGACATCAAAAAGCGAATAGGGAAGATGAGATGACAGCGAATAGGGACTGTTAGTGACCGGAACGAGAAGCCGGACCGGAACTCATGCGGAAAAACCTGCCTTTAAAAGCAGTTTTACAGCGAAAAATGGGATGAAGTAAGAAAATAGTTATATCGCAAAAGGGATACCTTCCTAGATTTTAAAAGACATTAACACCCCAAAAATATCCTGCAAGATTGGATCAATCGTTTTTGAGGCCCAAGATCAGCGGATAGCCGGCGGGTGGTGTGGCAGAGTAATGGTGTGAAGAAGTAGCGGCCGACAAAAAACATACACGGACGGGTGGCTGTGACAAGAGAGGGGCCTTACAGCCGATTAGAAAGGCCAAAGACAGGGGGACCCAGACATTGAGTGGGGCCAAATGAGAGGAGATGAACAGAGACCCTGAACAGAGGGTGGCCTCGGGATATTGGGGGACACAACACTTTCCACTAGCCCCGCCATCCACCCTCACAATTTTGACGGGGACCTAGGGGGTGAATGGCACGTATTGGAGCTGAGGGAGGGAACGTTAAAGGACCGGCAAGGCAGAATTACCGATTCGGCCGTGCCGCGGCGCAACGCACAAGCGGCCTCTCCGCTTTTAAGGGCATAATCGATTACGCCATTGAAAAGTGCGTGAAATCCGTATCAGATTCTTATTCAAGAAAAATCCATAGCGCCACCGAAAAAATGAGAAGAGGCGAGGGCGGACAGGTCGCACTAGACACAACGCTCAAATTCAAAGGTTGCCTGGGCGATCGGAGATCGTGATGTTTATCTGGAACATTAAAAATGGACGATAAAAAGACTGACCCTAAAATAGGAAAGTTTTAAAAGCAGCAAAAAGCCTACGACACTCGGGATTCCCAAGCCGTCTCCGATCCATGTACTAACCGAGCCCAACGTTGCTTGACTTGGCAGATCGGACGGGATGCCGTGCTTTCAACGTGGTATGGTCGTAGGCGAAAGGATGAAGGCTGGCACTGTCTAAGAGGGACACTCGTTTGCTTCACGCTTTCTACGATCAGTAGCGAGCAGGGTTGTTCACGGACGGGCTCGGACGGACGCGGGCCCGGACCCGTCCGCGTCCGAATAATTTTCTCCGATAGAGCGGACGGGCTGGGACGGGTCCGGGACGGGCCGGACGGGCTCGGACGCAGGAAGTAGCTGAGCCCGCTATGCAAAGCGCGGGCAGCCAAAACTTGCATGATAATTGCTGAAATGACCGTTTTTCGCGTTCTTTCCGAAGTAAAACAGTTATGTAAATTAAGAAAAAGGCAACAATCGATCGAAGATGTTAATTTGCTTGCAATGAATTTGCATGTGCTTCCGGTCATTTGCATTGCGGACGCGCGGACGCCCCAGCCCGCACTGCGTCCGTCCGGCCCGTCCGGGACCCGTCCCAGCCCGTCCGCATTTTTTTATGCAAATTGCGCGGACGGGACGGGTCCGCGTCCCGGGCCGGACGGACGCGGACCGGACCCAAAATGAACAACCCTGGTAGCGAGTATCAGTAGCTCATAGAGGCCCGAGTTAAAGAAAGACATGCCTACGACCATACCACGTTGAAAGCACGGCATCCCGTCCGATCTGCCAAGTTAAGCAACGTTGGGCTCGGTTAGTACTTGGATCGGAGACGGCTTGGGAATCCCGAGTGTCGTAGGCTTTTTGCTGCTTTTAAAACTTCTTGTCAGTCTTTTTATCGTCCTTTTTTAATGCCCCGTACGCAGATTCAGATCTCCGATCGCCCAGGCAACCTTTGAACTTGAGTGTTGTGTCTAGTGCAACCTGTCCGCCCTCGCCTCGTCTCATTTTTTCGGTGGGTGACGCGACAAATCTTGACGGGATCGGTGTGACCCATGGTCTTCATATGCTCAGGGCCAGGGCCCAGATTCGGGTCAAAAGCTGGATGGGATGGAGGGTTAGAGCTTTGGGTGGGGACAGTTGTTCTCCGCCCATTTAACCGCTCTCTCTGAAATCAGCCGATCTGGTGGCTATCAATTAGAAGTCCGGGCAGGGATCAACGGATCTTCTAATCGAGGTTTCCACACTGCCAAGTCTGAAAACAATGTTTTAAGGGGCTGTCAACGCATGGGTGCAGACCGTGGGAGCTTCAAAAATCCCTAGGAAATCTATAACCACAGGTCCATAGTTATACCTTGCAGCCCCTTTAAATGAAACTAGAATAAGACATTTTTCCGAGAATTCGAGGGTAGGCGAGATAAAAAGCCCAGCCATTTTTGGCACCTCCCGAATTAACACCGCCATAAAAGTCGGGCGAGGTGATAAGTGCCGCGTAGCCAAGCTTCACACCTTTCTTTGGTCTCCCAGACGAAGCCGAACGAAATGAGGATCCTTCTGGTCGTTTTCTTATTAAGCGCGCAAATTTGGGCCCAAGTTACCGTACAAACTCCGCTGGGCTCCGTTACGGTAAGCTTTAGGTAGCGAAGTTCAAATAATATTTGACTTTTTGTCACTTAGAATTTGAAAAATACGAAATAACGTGACATCTCTATCTGTCTCTCTCGCTTTTTCCGCTGTCAAAGGATTAATGTACATACATCCCACTCCCACTTCTCGCACGGCTGGATATCGACGCTTTCATGCTAGCTTTTAACCTTATTTTGGCACAATTCGTAGCTGTATGGACCTAAACCCGTTCCAAAGTAGATTTCTGCGTCCTAGCGCCTTTAATTCCGAATCAACTTCCGGTTCAGGGTTTCCCACGTCGACTACGGGACCAACCAATCGGCACTCTGGTACGGCAAGGCCGACATTTTCCTCGGCATCCCATTTGCCGAGCCACCAGTTGGAGATAAGAGGTTTCAGGTAGGTTAATTTCTGCTTAAATATACTATTTTTTAATAGTTTCCAACCCCCATCAGCAGCTATCCGAATGGGACTATTAATGAGAGTGGATTCAGGTCTGTGCAGAATCGCTTAAATCCTGAAATAATCGGATTTTTAGCGCGCAGTTTTTAAATGGCATTGCGATTATTTTCAGACGATTCTAGACACGATAAAATATATCAATTTTTTCAATCTAGGCCAGCCTGCGTTCAGCCTGATTCTGGAACTTACCCCCACAAAGCGAAGACTGTCTGTATTTGAAGTGTTTACGCCCCAGGTTAATCTCTATCCTTTGCTCTCTCTCTCTCTCGCTCTCTCTCATCGAAAATTCAGGCGAACAGCCCGCAGAAGTACCCGGTGATGGTCTGGATCCACGGCGGATCATTTGCCGGCGGATGTGCCGCCCAGTTTCCTTGACAAGGTGCCGAAAATCTAAAGATACTGGAGCTATAAACCATCCAAAAATAAAAAACTCCAGACCATGCCGGGTACTTTGCGCGCTTGGCTTCCGGGTTAGCTTTGGACTTGGCTTGACTTATCGGTAACGGTAATCGGTAATCTCAAAAAATTCAGGCTACAAGCGCCCAAAAGTACCCGGTGATGGTCTGGATTCATGGGGGTGCATTTTCACTTGGATGTGCACAACAGTTTCCGGTTAAGGTATACAAAAATATTAATATTCATAAAGAGAAGGTATCTGCTTTGAAGATTATTAAAAAGTCTTCTCAAAAATAATGTTGAACGGACGGCCTAAATTGTCAGAATTTGAAGCTAATAAAGTAACCTACCTAATTCTTACAAAGAAATCTAAAACGATTAACCAATTATAAAATTTACTTTCTCCCCAGCTATTCTAATATCACCCCAGGGCGCCGTGCGTAGCTTGGTGTCGCGCGGGTGTCGTCGTCACCATCCAGTACCGTCCTGAACATCCCCGGCTTCTTCACCACCAGCACCGACGAGTTTCCGGCGAATCCGGAATGCTTGATCAGGTTTAGCCGATTTTTTACCAAAAAATATATTATTATTATTATGTAGATCGAAGCTCTGAAATGGGTGCAAAACAACATCCAATACTTTGGCGGTAATCCATATTCGGTCACGATTTTTGGGCAGTCGGCTGGCAGTATTTCCGCTTCTGCGCTACTTATTCTCCACTTTCTAGAGGTATGAATTTTTGTAATGGAGTTTTAAGGTATCGATTTCTAGGGCTCCTTCCCAAAGGCCATCTCCCAATCCGGTGCAATTTTCACGTCATTGGAGGGCTCGCTTGGGACTTTGGATTTAAGTCAGCAACGCGCTATGCAGGTAACAAAATTAATCAAATTTATGAAAGTTATACCATTAATATTTTAGTAGCCTTTAATATACCTTTACCCTTTCAGCTGTGCAACTTCACGCAAGCCGATTGGGATGGAAAACAATGGGACAAACTGAAAACCTGTTTCGCTACCATGAATCCGGATAAATGGAGAAATATGGATGCAGTGAGTCCGATTTCCAACGAAGCTACTATTTTTAGCGACTAAAATCTCTATATTTAGTTGAGGATTATACCAATAAACGTTTAAGGGCACCCTCTTCGGGTGGCGCATGTTCCAAGACAACTATTTTCTACCGGACACCCGGATAATATGAACGTCGACCGGCCAGTGATTCCGATTCTAGCTTGGCAATATGCACGATGAATTATGTGCCCGAGTACCTGTAAGTCACCTTAAGCAACTACAAAAACCGCTTTTGAGGGTATTACCAAATGTCCGCCGGCGTCACGTTTGATACATTTTCGAGGGCGTTTGTTAAAAGGTTTTCGACGATGTTTCGACAAGTTTTGGTGCTCGGGCAGCGGATGTCTGGAACGTTATTACAAAAGTAAAATTGTGTATCTTCAAAAATTTATAGTCTTATGGTTCAGAGCTATCTAAAAGCTGGCGCCACTGACAACGACTCCGTTTCATGGTTCCGAAATAGCACCACCGTACTTTATAGCACTTTAAGGTACAAAACTGACCCTTAGTTCTTCACCGCGGCTTCTTTTACCCAATTCATCGTCAAAGAAACTGAACTCTGGCGGGAGCGCGGAAATCCGCAGGTGTACGTCTACCAGCAAACCTACGCCTCCAAGCTGTCCCACTGGGGTCAGAGGCAGTATCGTCGCACCGCGTTTGGATGGTTATATACGTGAGGTTAATTAAAGGGAAAACATTATTAATTTTATTATGTTGTCAACAAAAAGCCAATATTGATCGTAAGCCCCGAATCAAAGAATTCACAGATATTCACAAAAATCAAGCCTCGCCCGGGCCTTTGAAACCATCGAGGGGTTAAAGAAGAAGTTTTGCTGGAATGTGGCATCGGCGCTGGTAGCGGGATCGTCGGGGCGCCATTCTAAAGAGGATTTTAAAGTTATACTGGTTAACTATGTCGAAATCACGCACGCAGAAAATCCTTACCCCGAAACTTGAATACTTAAAATTTCATCAAGCGTAAAAATTGGTTGGTTATTTGAGTTTTTCATCTTTTCAGGATTGCTCGAAATTTCGATGTAATTGATTTCGGTATAAGCAAAGCTCAATTTATTGAAAACCATACCTTCAACGAATGTAACATTAGTCGGTGGGTGATAAACGCCCGTCTCCACCGGCCGAAAGCCAAGAAATACGGGGCTAGGCTCCGCGAAGGACCTAAAAAAGTCCAGATACGCAAGAAAATCCTACTTCAATTGCGCATTTCGAATTGTCGACGTAGCGTAAGTAATATACGCGGAAGTAGGGATCGCGCATCGACGTGACTCCGGCAAGCTTTCCAAGCATTTCGACAGGCTGCCCTCTGCGTCAACGGTGGAGCACGGGATTCCGAGAAGAGTTTGAGAGATGGAAAACAACTAAAGCGCTAATACATATTTCCAATTTATGCGACATACCTTTGGCATTGTCAGTTGCCTGGCCGTCCAAAAGCCCTCAACGGAGCCGGAACTGTCGGACGTCGTAAATCCGCGCACACACTGCGTCCGATATAGCTCCAGCTCACCCTAAGAACTCTTATACATATATTTCACTAAACAGCACCTCCAAGTCCGAGAGCACTCTCGTTGTCCCGAGCCCAAGCACCAGCAAGTCATCGTCGACGCTCGTAACCGCTTGCGGGCTTCCAGAGGTATCTAAAGAAAAAAAACTTTGAAGATATCTACAACCTACTGTTGCCAAAACGCTCCAAGAGCAAACGATCGGCTTCCCCCAATAAGCTACCGGCTTCAGCTTTTGGTAGATGAACGGGTCAAAGATTGAGGCCAACTAAAAAATTCCAGTTTTTAGAGAGCTAAATCTATACCTTGGTCAGCGGGCAAAAGATAGCGTCTTCAGATTGTTTTAAGAGGTGACTCAAATCTTTAGCTGATTTTGTGTTTCTAAAGATATCTGCTTTATTGGCAACGATTTTGTAAACCTACAATATCTCCAATCCGTGAATTCCGGCCATCCAAAGTCGAGCCCTGAGAACGAGCGAATTTTCGATGATGAGAACTGGAGAAGAATTGTTATTTTACGCAACTTCCATCGATGTACCTTCTGCACCATAGACTCGGCACTTTCAAGCGTTTTGACAAGGTCTTTCAAAGCTTCGATTTCATCGAAGGATATTTCGGACTTACGGTCCTCGCTAATCTAAATCAATTTTCCCGAAATTCTGCGCCACAAACCTGTGCCAGGAATTTTCGCAGCATGTTCGTAGCAAATTAGCCAGTGCTGCTTGCTCTCTGGCCTCGAAGTAGGGCTAAAATAAAATAAGAATCGAGCTCCGAACCCTACCAATTTTGATTATTTTCTGGATCATCATTCCATAGGCCCAAATTGCCAACTTTGTTAATTAGCCCGGAGAGCGGTTCCAACAATTTCCCAACGGCAGTGCAAAGAATCTGTACCCCGCAGATTACTCTAAAATAAATGGATTGTGAGGAATTATTATGATTTGCATACCTCGGAAGGGACACATCCTCAGAAACAGCTGTATCTCCGTCAGTGACGATCGCACAAACCTAATTCCCTCGATATAGAATTATCAAGGTAAATTTCCATACCTTTCCCATGAGACCGTGCTCTTGAATTATCCCCTGAACGACACCTTCCGTGCTCTCGACCAGATTTTGATCCAACAGGCGAAGGAGCAGAACTCGGCGCTCCCCGTTCTGTAGGAAATGCGCCATAATAGCCTTTAGAGCCGAATCTAGACAAAATTTAGTCAGAAAAATTCAGCCATTACCTTGATTAAATCGTAGCTTACCCATCGTCAATGCCACAGATTGGGCCATTGCAAGCCGATGGATCAGTTCGGGTAGTCGATCTGTTCGTACTTCTTCAGCAACCTGGTCAAGTATCTCGGCGGATGGAAGGCGAACCTAAAGAGCCGATCTCTTCTATAAATAGTCACAAGTGATTGCTTATTAAAATCCTGAACCAATTTAAACAATTAAGCTATCCATTTCAAACTTCTAGATATCAAAACGAACCCCATTCTGCATTGCCCAGGTTTGGAAAAACTGGTTTTCCAAGAAAGCATCCGGCATCACGTTGATCGACGCCAAGCCCATCCACAGTTGTTGATCAGAATAGCTGGGGGCAGCTCGAGGATGGGCACGGGCGCTCGGGCCGGAGCTTCAGGCTTCTCCGGCTTTCGGGCGAGTAGCTCGGCGTAGAGGTCGGGATGGCGCTAAAATACCACATCATGAAAGCCCGACTAAAGCCCACATTCTTCATATGGGTCCAAGCGTTTCGCGTGGAGCTGGCGCTGAAGGACTGCCCGCAAAAGTCGCAGACATTCCGCATGTCGACGCGTGTAAATGCACTAAATTTAAGCTTACAAAAAGGACAATTCGACATACGCCCAAATTCCCGATGCTTGGCTCAGTTTCGTGCGTTTCGCCGTCGGTTCCGCGCCTTCATTCGAAAATTGGGCCTCATCTTGCTGGTAGTTGGAGCTTAAAAATTGCTTTAGAAATTGTATGCTACAAGAAACTTCCAGAATTGGGGCGAAAAAGCTTACAAATCATTTTCGCTTCCGTTTGGCGTTTCGGACATTGGGGTTAGTAGGAAATCACCTGAAAATTATACCACATCAGTACCGTACGAAAACGGCTTTTCTTTGAAAAGTGGCGGCAAATTCACGAAAAAAAATAAAGAAAAAACAAAACAAAAAATATTTACAAAAATTGGAACTTTTCGGAGTTTTCAGCAATTTTCGAAGTGAAACTATTGAAAACCACGCGGGATACTCAAATTACAAAAATTTTCCAGCTACAGGTAACCGACATAAAGGTGTTGCTCGTAGTTTTGAGCTTATTTTAAGCGAGCACAACTGCTTACAGCTTGTAAGCAAGCTAGCGTAAAACGATCGATATGGTGTGTGGGTCGGGGTGGGGGATGGCCTAGGCCAGGCCGGCCTCGCACCCCTCCAGAGAGCCGGCCAGCCGAGGCCACGCCCCCGGCCCGCATAATCGGCCTTGTCCGCGCCCATGGGCGAAAGAGCGCTGCGCCCCCACTTTTTGGGGTCGAAGGGCCGGGTGTGGATGTGGTATTTGTTGAGTCAAGACGATAGTGGTGAAGTGCATTATACGGTTTCCGGTCTAGAAAATGAGATTCTGGATCACTAGCGGAGACAAAAACGTGCTTTGGCAATGCAATGCCAATAACGATATAGTAACTATTTTGTCAGCATTTGGTGCTTTCACGTTATCGGGGGCGGGGGGTAATATTACACATTTTTACCAGAAAAAAAAATAGATTTGTCGACCGAAATTTGGAAATTTTCTATGCTGTTTCGATCATTTTTCTACCTGAAATATAGTTACATTTTTCTAAAAACTATTGAAACACTTACCCTTACTTGATTAGGCATCTTTGATCTCACAGGAAAAATACCCTGCCCCCCCCCGATAATGCAAAAGGACCAGGGTTGTTCATTTTGCGGGCAACCCGTATTTAACGCCCTTTCCCGCCCCTTCACGCCCTCCTGTAAATAACGCCCCCTGTAGTTGGCGCCCCTGTATTTAACGCTCTCCTGTAAATAACGCCCTGCAAAACGAGCTTTTCCTGTAAATAACGCCCTTTTCGTGGTCATTTGGAGGGCGTTAAATACAGAAGGGCGTTAAATACAGGGGCGTTATTTACAGGGGGCGCGAAATACAGGAGGGCGCGAAAGGGCGTGAAGGGGCGTTAAATACGGGTTGCCCATTTTGCGTCCGGTCCGCGTCCGTCCGCGTCCGTCTCATTAGCATAAAATTTTGCGGACGGACGCGGACGCGTCCCGGACGGACGGGACGGACGCCTGGCGGACGGGGACGGGGAGCGTCCGCCCGTCCGAGATGCAAATTAATTCATGGTAATCTTAAAATGAAAACCAGAAAAGTCGCAATAATTTTGCAGGTTTTGCGGTAAATTTGATTTTATTGGACAGTAGGTTACCATGTACAAGTATACATGCTAAAAACCAGACCCTACCAGAGGTTTTACGTCCAAAAATGAAAAACTAGGCGCTTCATTATGATTTGAATCTGTTTTTCTCATTTGCATCGCGGACGCAGTTACTTCCGGCGTCCGCCGTCCGTCCCGTCCGTCCGGGACGCTTCCCCGTCCGTACGCAGAAATTTATGTAAATGAGGGGACCGGGACGCGTCCGCGTCCGTCCGCGAACAACCCTGAAAAGGACCAAATATCCATTTAGCCGTCCCCCACTCCGCCGAGCTGCCCTTCATCTGGATGTACGAGGGCGATTGGGGAGACGGCCATCTCCCGAAACCTCACCGACCCTTTCGACTTCCAGCTGGGGGATTGGTACGGGGAGACGTGGACCAATTTCGCCAAGTACAGGTTCGTGTTGATAAAATTAAAATCTACTAAATTAAACTATCTTAGCCGCCCAACCCTTGATGATAGTTGGCCAGCAATGTCCAAGACGGTGTCGCACTTTAACATTGGAAAGCCGTCGGATGGTGGAATGAGGGTCGTGCCGGACTATCGGGAAACTGACCGGATCGTTTTCGCAAACGTAGGTCCCAAAAAATATTATTTTTAGCTTAAAAATAATTAAGTTTAGGGTATATATACATACAAACGTTACCGAATTCCAGGCGATCGATCAGCTCCTCAAAATGATGCCCTCGCAACCCATCCGCGAGCAGGACATGAAGCTGAAAGGGGCCTGGGGTGCCAATAGATGATAGAAAAGCTCATAAAACTTTATTATCATCATCACAGAATCACATGTGGCAGTAACCGTGTCGAGGCAGTAGATGTACATAAAAGTTAGACCCGTAGGCTATTGCATTGTTGCGGCTTCGATTGAATTTTCGTAGCAGAAGACGTGCATGAGGTTTTGGCTTTGAGGGTCACGGACGAGGGCGCTAAAAATCCAGTTTTTTTTTAGGTTCATAACTTTTAGGTGTAAGAGATACCAATAAAAACTCAATTTTTGAAGTCAGAAAAGCAGCTTGCATACCTATTCCCAATCTTCTTATTGCACAGCGCGCATTCTGTCATATTGTTGACGTCAACCTTCAGCCCTGCCACCTTGCGCAGCTTCTCCTCAGTGACGGCCCGTGCGCATTCGCACATACGACGTCTAATGGAGCTCCTGAAACGGCGTTGTTTTGCCTTTATTTCGCTTCTATAACATGGTTTAATTTTGTTTTATAACTCTGGACGTACTTTCGTCGCCTCGTCATCCGTCGCTTGTATCACCGCACTAATGGCCATGGAGAGAAGTTGAAGCGGCGTTGAATCCGGAATTATTCGGAGAGCGGCAACTATTTTTGGTAACTTTGTCTCTGTCTCATCTTTCTACTAACCTGTATCAATTTTATCGGCATGACGGCTCAGAATCCCGAATCGCCTGCTTCACATTTGGTTCCGGGATAGGAATCTGGCGCTCGCTCAACCCGGCAATCTTCAAAAGATATGTGTTCTATAGATTTTTGCATTTTCATATGCTTTTTATTAACGGCCAATAACAAGAAATTTAGCGGCTTCAAAGCAGGAAAATATAGCCGATCCATTTTTTCTTCATTTTAATCCCACCTGCCGGATCCTTTGGCGATACAAAAGCCTCGAAGAGTTGGAGATAGATCTGGAATAAGCGCAATTGAAAAAAAATAAAAATGAGCTTACCTGAGGTCCGGTTTTCTGGTTATAGTGCAGTGCACAGTACTTCTCGGCCGCCTCGTAGTCGTGCAAAATTGAGGTGTAGATCGTGAGGGCTTGCTCGTGCTGCCCGAGTCGTCCTAACATTAGTGCGCGTTCCTCGTAGAATGCTACAAGGTGGAGGTAAAAGCTCTAACTTAAATTTAAAACTTACCTTGATTACTAAGCTGGACCAACACCGTTTGTGGCGAATAAGAGCGACTGTTCTCCAAGAATTTCAGCAGCTTTCACCTCTACTCGCCGAGTTCCCCGTCCTCAGTACCCGCCCGGATTATCGTTTCGTCTAGAATAAAAACGTTTAAATTTGAAATATACCTCCAATTCCCTTCAATTTTAAAATGTACCTAAATAATTAAGTTTTGATTATAATTTACCATCAGGAAACGCGTGCACGTAATCCTTATGTAGTGATTTTAACTTTAGCCACGTAGTGCCTCGGCGAGGCATTCGTGGAAATTTTGGTCGCTGCTCGCCCCAGGCGGAGTTTATGTGCTCCTGAAAGTTTAAACGTACTTTAAAGGTCTTCTAAACGAGAAACAGAAGTCAATCCACTTCTGAAGCCTTTCCAGAAACTCACTAGATATGGGATCAACGCAGCCACACGGGGGAGTCTTTTTGCAGAAAGTCCACGACCTCTCTCGATCGAGGTTGCTGGCCAGGTCAGAATCGGGTGATGTAAATATCTAGAAGCCCCAGGAAACTACAGAATATAGTGCAAACACTTACCGCCAGTCCCTCCCTCCACATCGGCATCAAGCACCCATTTCGAGTACTTGAAGATCAGATCAATCTCGTTGTTGCCAAGCGTTTGTAGGTACTCGACCGTCCTATCAATAAATTTCAAAAAGTTAACTAAAGTTACTTGTAAGGCCCCGCAAAATACCCATCGCAATCCGGCCTCAACGATTCGCCTTTGAGCAGTTCGAGCGCTAAAAGATTTTTATACGGAAAATCGCGCGAAATTACCCATTTCATGTTTCCTTCTCGTTTCGTACAACACAAAAAGCGAAGAATTACGTCCGGATTTCTAAAAGTTTAAAAATTTAGGATCAAATGGGTTTATACCTTAATGATATCCTCCGCATCCGGAAACCAGCAAGCGTTGTCTCAGGTCGCAACAGTGAATCGACCATCATCGGCTTTGTCTACAGAAATTCAGTTTTTAGAAAAGCTAAATCAAAACTTACTCGGATATAGCATTTCAAGAGCGTGGTATCGACAATTTGCAAGTTGGCTTTGGCAGCTTCGTGCTCTTCTTTTGAAAGTCTTCCTGAAACCTCGAGAAGTCTAGAAAAAAATAATGTAAGCCCTACCCTCCGGAACGTTCATATGTTTCGCTTGTTGGTGTTGCTCCAAGCTGCGCGCCAAATCCGTGCGTACCTAGAATTCTATTCGCCGCTATTTCCGGTCACCCACCTTTGCCAGATAAACGGAAAGTGCTTGGATGGCCCGTTTCTTCTCATTTTCGGGGAGTTCCTTTTGTGGGGTTGGGGCGAGTTGTTGCTGAAAGAAATTTAACTTAATTATATTTGCATCTTCGCGACTTACAACTTTCGGCGGGAGCAACTCGGGGATCAGCTGGATCGCGGGACCAATGTCTGACAAAATTTTTTGCAGAGCTTATTCATAACTTACCGCTCCCAATATCAGAAAACACCGCATAGCACCCATCATATTCGGCGGTCGAGAACAGATAAGTGGCATATTGGCGCTTGATCTCCTTCTTCTGGTCGTCGGTAAAGATGGCGAATTGGTCCTAATGGCTTTTAACATATTCAGTCGATTCCTTACGGCCAATTGTATCGCCAATGGGTACCGCGCATCTTTGATCAGGCTGCTGACATTGTTACGCAGATTTTCGTGGCAATCCAGCATCCAAATATCACAGAGGCTACCAACGACGACACAACCACTGAAATTTTGAAGGTTTTTGTTAATTAGATCATGGCTGATTTTAGTCCCATCTCAATTTCTATAACTTACGGCACGGCATTTGTCAACAAGTGTGCCTGCTTGAGGGTAAATGATTGGATGAGCTGTGGCGAGTCGTAGGTCCGAATTTCGATCAACCCCTTTCGGCAGTAAACCCACGACAAATGGCGGGTCCCACACTAAAATTATCGTATAGTTATGTGTCTCTGTACCTACCTGGGTTGAGCAACGCCTCCGAAAGCGCACGTCCTTTCGGGTTTTCGCTTCTGCATCGACCGGGACCGTTACAAAGTTTTTACCTAGAGGGTTATAAATTTATTGCAAAATCGCGGAAACTCACCAGCTGCAAAACCTATCATCGCTCGATCTTCTAAATACGTCAATAATTTGGTGTGTCGAGAAAGCTCATCACCGCCCGAAAGTGGTGCATTACAATCCTGGCTTTAAATCGGGTTTTTGTCAAAATTCCGCAGACTCTCCATTTGGCTTCAGATCAGATTACGTGGTACTCGTTCCGGAGAGAGTAGGCTAGCGACAGGCCACACCTAAATTAGGTTAGAGCTTGATAAAATGTACTACCAAGTAGGGTTGGCGGGGTTGTCCTTCAACTCGAGGACTGGCGACCCATCAAGCAAAACTCCGACGAAATCGTTTGGAGGGAACTAAAAAACGGCTCAATAAGATGACGCGGTGTACCTTGAAGACATGTATTCTTCGTTTGACAGCAACAGCTACTTTCACGCTAGCATCGTTCTAAGCGAAGAAATATATAGCAGTTACAAGTACATACCGTATTTTGATGAACTACAAACGTATGGATGGGCTTTGCTTTAATTGCGCTATCAGCGGGTACATCGTGCCTGTGTCGAATTGGTGCCCGGATAACTAAAAGATCTTGATTCCCGATAAGCGGTAAACCTGTTGATCACTCATACAAAATAGAAGCTGCATTGTTTCGACGATGGCCATTTCAACCACCGGTTTCCGCTCATCCCGGCGCATATGCTTGAAGTCGGACCGGAACCGTGAAGCTAAAAGAGCTAAAATTTCAGTTCAAAAATTTCTCACCGGTCCTGCCAAATATCAGCAAATGTCCTTCCTTGCAACTGGCCAGAACATCTTGTGATGTCTCTAAATAAGCGTTTCAAGCATTTATTGGGATTTGAAGCCTACTTTGACTTCCCGGATCGAGCATAGCTCAACCTTTAGGCTTCTTCCGACCTCTCCGATCGAATAGGCATCGAACATAACCGAGATTTGTAAAGACTTTTCGCAAGATTCTTTGCAGCGGTGTTCCCTTCAAGGAAATTGATTGCAGATAGTGCATAGACCGCACTGCAGAGTAGCGGCTCCGGAATCGCAACATCTGTCAAAGCTAATCCAGGTGAAGCACTAAAGTCATTTCCTCTCAACAGGCCTACCAATGTCTCAATCAACTCTGTCGGAAGAATACCCCCGCCGTCTGCCTAGTGTGTATTTCGACCCGGGGACCAATGTACGATAGAATGCTTCATTAACAAAAATACACGGGTAAACAGTGAACACGTAAATAGGGTCGCGAGAACATGGAAAAGTAGTAGGGCGAAGATTTAGAGGGGAATCAAAGCGGAAATACAGTTCGAGCCAACCACATAAATATTTTTCGAGATCGTTTGTTCAGGCGCCGAGCATCTGCCGCTGGACGACCTCGGCGTTGTAACGTTGGGCTTCACGGCGCACGCGCTTCTCGTATTCCACCCTAAAACTGATATGAAAGAAAGGAAAGAAAATTGTACCGGTTCTGGCAGTAGATCTGGTAGGCCTCGGCCTGTGCCGGGTCATCGGGGTTCGGGTTGTGAGGAGGTCCTGGATGCCGACCAGCAGCTGCTTGATTGTGATCGAAGGCTTCCAGTCCTTGTTTCGTCTAGTAGTGAGAGGCAAACGGTGCCGGACGGGTAGACGTTTGGGTGGAAGAGCGGCGGACTCGAATTTGCACTTCGGTGGTGTGGAAGGGTAGTCGTCCTTGAATGTCATCCTCAACTGAAAAAAATAGATTAAAGCGCACGTTCAGGCGTTGAACGTATATTGCCTATTGACGCCTGTCTCCTTCTTTTCCCAGGCTCTCTCGGCGTCAGCCAGGCAATATACGTTCAATAAGATATACGTCCCTGAACGTGCGCTTTAAGTACAGCAAACCACGACAGCCCGATCAAACCCAAATTATCAAAAAAGTACCTTATAAAGTCCATTCTCCCAAATTGATCCTTTCTTTCCGGGGATGGCGCATTCCCACTGGTAGAGGTTGAGGGAGCCGTCCGGGTTCTTGACGGGTTTTGCGATGAAGCCGAATGGGTGGTCCTTCCGCCAGGCCTTGCGCTCCTCGCAGAGCCGGTTCATTGCGATGCCAGCCATCTGAAAAGGAACTGTAAGTGTGCATTTGATTTGGGCAACAATAATTGAAAAGGCGATGGGTGAGAAGAATATGGGTAGGGGAAGAGCAAAGAAAAACAAAGAAGGCATAAAGTCATAAACGGACCACCAAAAGTAAATGATACTTGAAGAGCTGCCAAAGTCAGAGAAGGATCATAAAAATCAAATGACAATTGAAGTGCTGGTGGATCATCGTCAACTTTCAATTTTGGTTCTGCCGCGATTTTCGTAATTATTTTTGGAACGGAACGGGGTTGAAGAGGGCGCGAAATGGGGCGCAACCGCGACGCGCGCTACATCGATTTCCTGACGTAAGCGGATCAATAAATCGATATCGCAGAGAGCGCAGACGAACAGAAAACGACAAAAGTTTGGCGGGAAGCGAGAGGGCGGAGAAGCACAAAAAGATGGCCTAATGCTCTGCGGAGCATGGGCTACTGTAGCTGGGGTGCATTTTAGGCGAGTCGACGGGCAAAACACTTTATTGTGAAAAAAGGCAAAAAAACATGCGATATGGCGTTGGGAAGAAATACTTTGCGGCAACAGCTACCCACAACTTCCATAAATACGTAATACTGCGTGGCGAAGAAAGTGGGAGAAGGCTATAAATTAGGCACAAGTTGAAATGGTGGCTATTTAGAAGCGGTTTTTCAGCTGCTCTGCCATTTGGTTTTGATCTTTTTGCAGCACGTTCATCAACTACGTCGATGGTGGATGACTGGTCTTCTTGCGAGGCTGTTGGGGGGTGGATTGGCAGCGAGGCGGCCAATTTGCTGTGCTAAAAAGAAGGATATTCCAGAGAATTTTGGTTTTTACCTTCAGCGACCTGAATTTGGCCTTGAGACAGCAGATATTCGGTGCACATGGGTCGTATTCTGGCATACATGTGCACGGGGATGACTAGAGAAGTTTTATAGCGTCGGTAACTGTTTTTTTACCTGAACGCCAGTCGATACATAACACATGTTGTCGTGAGGAGGATATGCGGGCGCCGTAGTGATTACATCTTGGGCAGCTAAAGTTTTTGAAATAGTTTTTGGTAATGTATAATCCTACGGGTCGGGGCAGCAGTAGTAGGTGGCTGCGTGGTCTGTATGGTCGAGGGTTAGAGGCTAAAATTTTAGTTTTATTTTTCATAAATTTCGGATTACCGGCAAGGTCTCTGTGCTGAATGTTTGAATAACAGTAGGGGAGCGCCTAAATTTTTTCATTTTGGTAGTCGAGGCAAAAAAGGAAAATTATTTGATTAATAGAGATAACCTAATAGCCTTTACTTTTCAATGTTTGGTGAAAGTCAGTAGCAGTTGGCGTTAGGTAGGTAATTAATTTTTTGAGAATTTTTATTTTAGCTTAACTAGGCTGTTTGCTACTAAATTACCGTGCTGGGTTGCGTGGCCGGTGGTAAGGTATCCGGGATGGCCGTCTGCGGCGGGTAAGTGATTGCAGCTTGTGTAGTCATCGGCGGTTCAGCAGCCTAGAATAAGATCCAAATTTGAGTTGCTTTTTAATTTGTACCGTTTTTTCTACTTTGACGATTTAATGGTTTTTCGTAAGGATTTAATCAAGATTTAAGCCACTTGTCGATACATACGGGGGGTTGCTGGGGTTGACAAGCAGCTGCACTGATATTGTGCGGAGGCCGGACCAGTGATGGTAATCATGATACAGTGACATTGACCATTTCCGGGGTTTCGGTCTGAATTGTACGTAGTGAAACCGCTTTAATACTCACCGTGATATAAGCCGGTGTCGTGTTGATAGTCGTTGTCTCTGGGGGTGGCGTGAGCTCGGTCGTCGTGGTAGTGGTTGTCGTCGTCGTGGTCGTTGTGGTAGTTGTTGTCGTGGTAGTGGTGGTAGTCGTCTGGAAATACTTCGATGATCCCTCAGGATTCATACAGTTGTGGTGGTGGTGGTGGTGGTAGTAGTGGTTGTGGTAGTGGTCGTAGTGGTGGATGTGGTAGTGGGTGTTGTGGTTGTGGCCGGCGTCGTTGTGGCCTATGGGTGCAAAATGTGAGCCAACCACGGCTTTCGGCACTATGATATGACTACACGTCTATGACTACAAGTGCACGCTTAGAACATCTTCATTTCCAATGGTGTGGTGCAAACTAGAACTTCAATACTAAAACACTGAACCACGTCTCAATCTTAACACCACCCACCGGAACCGTGACAATTACCGCTCTCCCCACAATGGCATTGGTATTGTGGCGTACCGGCAAAGACGATTTGTATGCAGGCACACCTAAAGAAATATTCAACTAAACAAATCCCTGATGCAGGGATGCCCAGGGACAGAACCCGGCATGCGGGGCGGAAATTAAAACGGGAAATACATAGAAGGGATTGGTTGAATTTAGAGTGGACAGACTTACGATAGAGGGAGAGAATTGTCCGCTGAAGGATTTTTTGCAAAAGGTTTAGATGGCAATGGCTTACTTTGCTGCTGGGTATGATTGCGACAGCTCAGTGGCGAGCTCATCCTTTGACTGGTCGCATCTGGTGCTGCCTAAATTTTTAATATTTTCAGCTTTAATCAGTTTTATAAATGTTATATTTTGAGGGTTTGGGTTAGGGAGTCGATAAAATAAAAAAATACCTACATAGAATTCTTAGCTAAGATATTCGTCCTAACTCGTAATAACCTAACATTTCCTAAATTCCTAGTAACGTAACGTCATAACGGGGCGTTAAAAGTCTCTCCAGCGAAATTCTGTAGTTAGCAACACATTTAATTGGGGTTTTTACTCGTGCGAGTGAGCTTTTCTATTATTATTATTATTTTTCTATTTCATTTATAACTTTTAGAGGCTTAGCTTTAGCCCCAGGTTATCTTACCAGTTTATGAATGAAAATTAGGAATTTTTAGCGTTATTTGCAGGTACCGTCCTTTCTCACGCCCAACTTGGGCCCTAAACAATGACCCAACGCGGCCAATGACTTTACGGCGGAGGCGGATTGTTTGTTAAGCCGTGTTGCCATTGGTGGGACAAACGGTCCCTAGGCGGTGTCGGCTTCCAATTCGGACACCGGCCCATCGCAAACAACTCCCCGGTGACTATCCGGCTGTCGGCCATTACCGTCAACCTGACGCGCTACTTTTTGGTTGAGAATGCTTAAAGGGGCTCGCTGGCTGTCTAAGCGAGTGGACATTACGGGCCCGATCTATTACCAAAATATCGTTAAGGGTATCCTAGCAATCCGAGAACGTGATTTTTTTAAGACTCACTGTTGCCGTAGCTTGCGGGCAGCTGCACTGCACGTTATTGGCATAATCAAGGCGTACGCATCTGCACCGTTGTCGTTTACTCCTCAAAACGACCGGGGGCTCCAGCCAACCAGTCCTGTTGGTAACTTTCGACCTAAACGGCTAAAATACAACTTCCCCGAGGACAAAAACCCACCGAGCAAGCGAAGACCAGCGCCAGAAGCCCGACGGTTAAACCCCAATTGCGCATCTAAAAAATATCGAAAGGTTATAAACTTCATCAAAATTAGTATGGACTTTCGTTAAGATCTCCAAGAAAGTGTAGGTTTATTTTTAAAGCAGACGCGTGGAGCAACATAATATCTATAACGTACAGTGAAAACCTGGGAAATTCGAAAAATGTACCGATTGCGTTTTATACGCTTGGCAAAAAAAATAACGGATGAAGGTAGTAAATTAATGGATCTTTAAAAACTGTCCCTATTCCAGTAATGTTGCAACGAGTTACAAGAAGTATTGATGCCTTGCAACACCCTGAAAAGTTCTAATTCAGCTTCTATTTAAGAAACTAAAGCTAAATTCGATGAAGTGGTAATAGATCTAGTAGGGACTTCAATAAAGCAAGCATTTTTAGAAATTTAGAGGTAAGCTTAGGACTTAAGCTTCGGACAGCCGGAACTTCAACGAGTCTTTGAACAAGGCTGTAGAAATCTGGGAAGGTACAGAAATGGCGTCGGTAAATTCAAACTTTTGGAATAATACGAGTAATAATCAAACGTTGAGGGTAACTGGTAAATGGGTAGGTAATAATGCGTTTAAGTTAAGGTAATCACCGTTTAGCCAGTAATTTGGTCAAAAGACCGCTAGCAGCGATGGCACGGCCGAGGGAATTGAAGACGCCCCCTCGGAGCCTTTTATATGGCAGCCGCGGAAGCGGAGAGAGAAGCAGTCGCGGTAGAGGCCACAGGGGGCCAACCAGGCCACCCCCTTTCCCATGCCAATTCACAGGCCATTCTTCTTCGCCTTTTTCCGGGCGGCTCTCTCCCACGGAATACCGGGTTCTCCGGCGACAATTCTCGAAGGCTTCTCGTCGTTCAACCCTCAACAAGGGTAGACACAGCTAAGAGAAAAAATTGCGAGCTATTGTCTTGGCGCGGGGGGTGTTCTCGGGTGGGGTGCGCAAAAATATATGGCTTGAGAATTTGACGTGAATATTTGCCAGAATGTTGTCGGGTGGTTGGGGGTTTGTTGGTATACTTTTTTAATAGGCTGTGGAGAGGCAGAATATTTGTATGAAGAGTTCAAGTGACTTTCCAGTTGATAACAAAAGTATATCTAAATCTTTAGCGATATTGTAATCAGTAGTTGGATTTCTGTAGTTATATCTTTTTGTCAGAAAATGCAAAATTTAGGGCCAATACCTCGAGGTAATTAAAGTGATGACGCATAAGCTCGCTAGGTCTGAGCATAAGCCTTTTCTAAGCTTAAATCCACGCATAGGAATGTTAAATTGGTCTGAACACGTTAAATTTCCAGGGAATCACAGACGCATCACTACTCCTATCGTCATTGGTATCAATTTCGGTGTCGATGTCATGTAAGGAAAGGTAATGATACCATAGGTCAGAACTAGCGAAAAGTTGTTTAATGTTTCCCACAGCATTTTTACCCGTACAACCGGTAGTAGAGAACGTTAGCTCATTATTTACCTAACCTACGCGCCTTGACTAAGCTTACCCTACCATCAATGGGCCATCATTCCATTCTTTCACGTGCTGGCCCAAAAGTGCACAAAAAAGTGGACGTTCCTTTGAGCCGGCGCACAAAGTGCTGATGCCAACCTAGGAGAGCGTCGTAGATCAACAAGGGTGCTGGTTTTTGCTGCAACTCGTCCACAAGAGGTTGGCAGTCGGCCGGCTAGCAGAAATCCTTCAGGAATGTACGCCTTAAACAGACCATTTTCCTCTGAACTCCAAGAAAACCAGAATCCGACACTTTTTTTACCCATTACGCACCTTGCCCTCCTCAACACCTGCCCGCCGTCGTTCCCATCGCCTTGCCGTGGAGCCGGATGTTGGCGGATGGAGTGTTCTGTCTGTTCTGTCTGCCTGTCGATCTCAATACCACATCTGTTTGTCTGTCCGTCTGTCCGTGAAGATGATTGTCCGGCCCCTGCCTGTATCGCTGTCGCCCGAAATCCGATACAGACGGGACCTCGGGATGCAATGGATATTCTCGCAGCTGACGCATCCCCCGATGACGTTTGGATCGGAATTGCGGCGGTGCCGGGTCATAACAGAGGATTAGCAAAATGAGAAGCCGTCTGGGGCGACTGTTGAATAGTAGCGATTCGAAAAAAAAACAGCAAAAAGCCTACGACACTCGGGATTCCCAGGCCGTCTCCGATCCAAGCACTAACCGAGGCCCAGCGTTGCCCAACTTGGCAGATCGGACAGGATGCCGTCTTTCAACGTGGTCATGGTCGTAGGCGAAGGGAGGAGGGTAGAGCTACTGATGACAGATCTATTACTTCCCGTTGGCTTCATAGCCAAACCTGCAAGGTCGGCTATCTCTCATCAGCGTTCGGTTCCCCTCCTTTCGCCTACGACCATACCACGTTGAGCACGGCATCCCGTCCGATCTGCCAAGTTAAAAGCAACATTGGGCTCGGTTAGTACTCAGATCGGGGCAACTAGAGTCCCGGGTGTCGTAGGCTTTTTGCTGTTTTTGGGCGATTTTTGCAGTTTATTTGGGTTAGATTTTTGGGGGGAGTAAAGGGACAGATCTTGCTAAACCGTATTCGCGTTGAAGTTTATTCGTTCGTGCCCGATTTGGAGGAGTTTCTAGTACTACATTCCTATTATTATTTTCCTGCCGTTTCTCTTTAACACGCGCCGTTCGCCGGTGTTGAATGGAAAAGCAAGCGCGCAAATAGTTGGCGGACGCCTAAAAAGCGTACTCCCGGGGACTTGTTGCGGGCAAATGGGGCGAACACAAAGGGCGTTCTGAATGGGCGTACAGTTCAGCGCTGATCACGTGGTTGTTGCGCTTCCGAAAAGCGTTCAGGTGCAATATTGTCAAGTTCCGGTTTTTCAACACAGTATTTATTTGGAAAGAAAATATTGTTAATAGGGTCTCATGGGCAGATGGCGTCTCGGAGGTCCATGTAGAGGTCAGGCTCATCTGAAGGATGGCATGGATTAGTTAAATTAAAGATAGAGCATGAGACTCTGGTAAAAACTTATGGCTAAACGTACCCGTCTTCCGAATGTCGGCGGGAGCATCTTCATACAGGCGGCTTTCATTGCGTAATATTCTCTCATCTCGTCCGTGCCAAGTTCGGCGCATGGCGGCGGTCGTAGCCGATGGGCCCTAGAATTTAGAAACTTAAGCCTAAGCCTAAGCCTAAGCCTAGCAATAAGGTTAATCTGAACCCTTATAACAAGCCTAATTACTCTCATGAGCCCTACCGATGTGCCCTGCATGGATCACACTCGACACATGGATTGCAAGCCACATCTGTGCAATTCTTCTTTTCCGCTTCTAGTGATTCGGATTGAGTTATCGATCAGGATGTCATCCTTCTAAAAATGAAGAAATTAGTGATTTGGCCGTCAATATGTATCCAAAACTCAAAGCAGAAAAGCCGTGTTAAAGAAGCGCATAGCTCGCAAGCATGGAAAAATCAAAAGCTGACCCCGGAAAGGTATAGGAGAGTAAAAGCCGAACCCGAAGGAAAAACCCCCGAAGAAAGGCACCTTTGAAAAACCAGTTATTACCCGCTTCAGAACAGCTGCCGGTTTTCCGATCATAGCTGCTTGTGTCTTCGAATCTCTGTCACTATCCGAACTCAAACTCCCACGACCCTTTCCCTTCTTCCCCGGGCTTCGAATCGGCGCCTGCGACTCAAGCTTCTGCGCCTCAACCTGGACCCTGAGACTGTCCACCGCCTTCTGGGTCTTCTCCAAAAGCTGCTCGACTTGAGTCTTGGGCTTCGGAAGGAATGGCCTCTTCCACGGAATCTTCAGAAGCTGATGAAGCTTGCTTTTGCAATCCAGCCTTCGCGGGTTCTATGAGCCAAGGCTTGATTTTCCTGCTTAATCTCGAGAGCTCCTGTGGTTTCTTCTCCTGGATTCCGGTTTGGTGCGCAACTTCACCATGAGTCTCCTGTTTTTCTGTGATGCCTTCTGACGCCACTGGCTTGATCGGCTTTACCGGAAACACCGGACCAACAGCATCATCCGAGATTTCCTCAGAACTTGCGGAGCTTGAGTGTCCCTCGCCGCTCTCCCAGGAGGTTCGATCGTCCGATTCTGAAGCCAGTCCCTTCTCCTCGTTGCTCTTGATGGAAACGCTCATTTTCTCGCGCAGCGGTTGAGGGTGGGCTTGATGGCGCTCCTGCGGTAAGGCTAAATCTGAAGTTGGAGGTCGGAGTTCGGCGTCCTGGGATTCTTGGGTTTGGACAACGGGTCGAACTTCCTGAGCTGGTCCTGGACCTCCAGACTCGACAGGTGGCAGGTTCGAGGGCTGGTTCTGCTTTTTGCTCAAAGGTGTTAGATTTGGAAGTGAGATTTCCTGAAGCGGGTCCAGGTCCCTCTGAGTCTACAGGCTTTAGGTCGACTTGTTGATTGGCGTTCGGTGTCAAAATAACGGTATCTGACTGGCTGGCCCCTTGAGCTTCTGGCCGCTTCTGCCCAGCTTCAGCCTGACGCTCGACCTCAGAAGCTCTGGCTTGTTCTTGCTGGGCGGACTCGCTAACAACTGGAAGTACAACTGCGGGTCGTTGTTCAGGCCCCAACACCTTATCCGAAGACACATCAGCGTTCTGATTTTCCGGATGTGCCTTTTCGACCTCCCCGGAGCTTGAACTGCTCCAGTGGCCAACACTTGTTCTTTTGGCTGGTCGAAACCACTTCCTGGTTGATGTTCGGCAGCCGGTTTTCCATCGCCGCTCCGGACTACCTGATCCTCAAGCTCCGCATTCGAGTCCCACCCCGTAGCAGGTTGCAGAACGTCATGCTCGGCTTGGTCGTCGACAACAACAAGTTGATCAGAGACAAGTCCTTGGTTTCGGCTTTGGCTGAATTATCACAGCTGCTGGCTCGTGCTGGGTATTTGACTCCTTCTGGCTTTCAGATACCGGAAGCTTGGCTTCGAGGACTTCTTCGGATGTCTTCGAGTCGACCTGGCTTGGTGCCTGCTCCTCAAGTGTAGGCCGAATCACAGGATGCTGCTCATCTTCTGCCGACTGCCACTCAGGATCCTCTACTTCTTTTGAGTCCCAACCGGCCCGTGCCTTGAGTTCTGGGTTTTGTGGGGCTTCAGCTGCAGGCTTCTCCTTCGGATCCCTGTCAACCGGAATTGGTGGGTCCCCAACAAGCTTCCTTGGCTCTGAAGCATCTGGTGCCTTTTGTTCAACAACGATTTCAGCAGGAGCTCGACCCAGAGCTTCATCGGTGATTGAGTGCAAACTTGCAGGTCGCTGGGCAGGCACATCGAGATTATTGGAAGCAGGTTGGTTGTTGGCTTGCGCGACGTTGACAGGTTCTGCAGATCCCGTGGCAATCTTTGGGGAATCAGCCTTTTCCTTAGCTTGCTTTGCCGCAAGAGAAGCCTGAATTTCATCAAGCTCTTCCTCAGAAGTGGGATCCCATCCAACGATCGGCCGGACAACATCTCCGAAATTTTGGACGACTGGAGCGTGTTTTCCGGAAGCCGAAGCGATCTGGATGAGGGGTTGAGCTAGATCTCCAGGTGGTGGAACTTTAGACCCGGAATTAACGGCCTTCTCACTTAGGGTATCTATATTCGGTCGATCTCGATGAACGTGTTCTGTGTGTTCTGCAGAACTCGGCTGGAACTCTTCCTCCTCACTGGATTCCCAGCCTTCATCTGGCTTGATAACGCCATCCACCCCACCTTCAGTATTGCTCGGGCGGTTTTGTTGTTCTACAACCTCTGCTTGAGGACTTGCCGATTTCTGAGCAACTTCATTTGGCTTTTGTTGTGCTTCTTCTTTGTCAATCGGAAGCTTTAGCTCCTTCTGTTCTTTGACAATTCCCGCTTCGCCACCAGCAGGCTTGGGCTTAAGGTGATCCGGGTTCGGCGGGATTACATCGGGATTCAGGAAATTGCCCGGGCCCTTATCTGATTTCGATTCGATTGGACTGTCATTTCCTGGCTGATTGGGCTGCGCGGGGTCGACAAGGGCTTTTGGGGTGGGTGAAGCTACTGGTACTTGATTTCCAGGCTGTGGCTCGCCTGGCTGTCGTTCATCCGACGATTCGATTCCAGAAATGCCTTGAGCTACCGGCGATCTATCTGGGCTTTGTTCAGGTTTGCCTTCTTGATCTGGCTTCGAATCGGGATGCTCGTTGTCAGCCCTAATTCCGGCCAGTCCATTCGGCCCAGGAAGCTTATCTTGAGATCTTTCAGGATTAGCGTCCGGAACGGCGTGTCCGGTGTCCTTCTGCTCAACGTTCAGGCTAGAAAGCGCCTCAGGCACCTTGTCGTTCTGCTCATTCTTTTGGTTTTCACCAGCCCCAACTCCGGCAAGTACTTTGGGCATAGCAGGTTTATCTTCAAACTGGCCAGGCTTGGTATCACCGACTGTCTGCTCAGCTTCTTGCTGTTTCGGAAGTCCAGTGCCCTGAGCACCAGGTGGTCGTTGTTGCTTAACTGTGACAATCGGAATTTCCGCAGGCTTATGCTTAGGATGAGGTACAGCCTTCTGCTCCTTATCGGTTCCGATGCCAGCATCTCCTCCAAGTCCGGAAAGCTTATCCTGCGCCTGATCGGGCTTAATCTCTCCGGGAGCGCGGTTTTCTGGAATGCTTTTCTCCGGTACACCTGGATCCTGCTCAGCAAGGGGTCGTTGGCTGGCTTCTGACTTCTGTTCTGGTTTTGGCTCTTTGGTCTCGTTCCGGTCTGCTTCGATTCCGGCTACTCCACTGGCTAGCGGAAGCTTCTCTCCGTCCTTTGCTTCCCCGGCAGCCTTTTCGATCTGTTGAACTTGCTGAACTTGTTGACCCACCGGCTCGACGGATTTCACCGTGGCTTCGATCTCCTTTTGTTGCGCGCTGCCCGCCCCGATTCCAGCAACTCCATTAGGGCCAGGTGGCTTTTCGCCGTCGGGGCCAGACTGTGCTTCCCAGTTGGTTTTGCGAGCTCCTGAACTTTCTGAGCTTGATGATCATCGGTTTGGTGCTGCTGAACGACAGCTTGGCCCTTTTCAGCGGAATTCACAACTGAATCTACATTTTTATGATGTTTATCTGCCTCCGTCCCAATTCCGGCGAGTCCACCGGCTCCCGGAAGCTTCTCTCCATCTTGGCCAGGCTTTTGCTTCCCGGCCGGCTTTTCGAACGTCTGCGTTTGCAGAACCTGATGGGCACTTCGCCCTGCGTCCTTCTTTTGATCTTCATCAGCCCCGATTCCGGCAAATCCGCCTGCTCCCGGAAGCTTGTCGTCCGATTTCCCGGTCTTGGCTTCCCCAGTCGCCGGCTTAGTCTCAATGCCGTCCCTTCCAATCCTTGCCGCACCTTCCGGCTTTGGCGCGGCCTTTGAATCCTCCCCGATTTGCGCTTCACCCTTCGCAGCCTCAGGCACAAAGTTAGAAGACACTGGCCGCAGTTCTGGTGGGGAATTTAGTGCCTTAATGTCAGAATCCGCGCCGATACCAGCTAGACCCTGAGGTTTAGCTTCCTTCAAATGCTTGTTTTCCGCGCTCTTCAGATCCCCAGCGGCCTCATCAGCTTTCCCAGCATCCGCCCCGATACCCGCAATTCCCGATGGGCCTTCTACTTTTCCAACTCCAGCATTCGGAGCTCCATCCACTCCTTTCTCTTTTGCCATTCTCTGCTCGGCCGATCCGATCCCGGCTTGACCCCCGGGGCCCTCCCAAGCAGTCAGCTGCTCTTGAATTTCCTTCGAGCTCAAGGTCTCAATACGCTTATGTTTGTCACTATCGGTTAGGAGGCTGCGAGTGAGTGGTAGTGGGTTAGTGGAGTTGTTCTCTGGTTTACTGGCCTCGACGTGATCTACCGGATCGTCGCGGGCTGTATCCATCGCTGGGAGTGCAGCCGGTGCCTTGGTAGTCGTCGGGGCAGCTGTTGTTGTGGTCGTAGTCGAAGTCGTCGTTGTGGGGGTCGTGGTAGTCGCCTTTGTCGTTGTCGTCGTAGTCGTTGTCGTCGTGGTCGTAGTTGTTGTCGGCTTCGCGGTGGTCGTCGTTGGGTCTTCAGGATCTAAGAAAATGGTCTTTTAAGGTTATACCAAAAATCCGATACGTAGTAATACACTACATCCAAATTCTTCACGCTAATAATCATCAAGCTAAATTTTTTGAATTCCGGTCATAAGCAGGGCATTCAAAATCCCGACAGCGAAAATCCCGACAGGCCAAAATACCGACTTTTTCTGTCGGGATTTTGGCTGTCAGGATTTTGAATGTCGGGATCCTGGGGTTTTGTTTGTTTTTTTTTGCATAATTTCTGTATATACCACTACAATTACACAAAATTCCGTTAGTTCTGAGCCTCACCTTTATCCCCAACATCAGAAAATCCTGCAACACCACCATCTTTCTTCACCGGCTTCAACACCTTCGGCTTCATCCGGGGACCACGGACACGCCCCGAGCGCTGGGCCACAAAAGAAGTCTCCTAGATTTTTGGTCTTACCCATTTTTTGGAAGTCCCCTACCTTGCCCCTCCCCGCCATGTACTTCTCCACCTCATCCTTGGTCATGTCGATCAGTTGGCATTTCTTGTCCTTGATGACGCACTTCTTGCCCTCCCGGCCGACCATCACCTGGCCGCCCACCTCGATCTCTTTCCCATCGTAAAGGCATGCTAAAACAAGGCGGCGATGTGGGATTGATCCAGGAGTTGAGGGGGTGAACTTTGGAACTTTAAAGAGTCGTTCGATATTTTGGATTTTTGACATTATGAGAACGAGCTTCACCTATCGGCTTCCCCTCAGCTGTTGCTTTCGCTCCATTAAGCGTAAAGTTGCACAACTGCTTGACCCCGTCCTCGACGAACTCGACGCCAAAGTGCACAAGGGTCCCATTGGCCATAGTGCAACCCTCTAAAGATCAAGAAATTCCTACTTTGAAAGTTGAGCCCACTCTTATCCTGGAAATCAACAAGACCGGCTGAGCCGGAGCAGAACTGCGGCTTATCGTCGACGTAAATGAGCGTGTACAACTCCAGCTTCTGGCCCTTGGGGTCTTTGCAATCTAGAAAGAATCTCTTGGAGTTTTCATAAAAACTGTAAATTACAGTCAATCGTCGCCTCTCCTTCCTTGCACACGTAGAAGACCTTGGCGGGGACGTCGGAAAAGTGTTCGCCGTCGGTGAAGTTTTTGCCAAAGATGAAACAGGGTGGGGCTGAAAGTAGGTTTAGGTTTAGGCTTCGGCTTCGACTTCGTGCTTAGTGCTAGGCTTAGGCGCATGCGGAAACCTTACTTCCAACAGCCTCCAGCACAGCTCGATATCCCTTTTCAGATTTTCCCCTCTTCACGCATTCCATCCTAAGAAATAAGTTCGTAGTAGTAATTAGTAAAGTACTGTAGTAACCTACCATTGATCATCTACCTTCTTCTTCTGCCCCACCGGAATCACTTGTCGATTATAGGCGATGCAGGCTAAAAATTCCGAATTTTTTGTTGACCACGCCACCAACCAATTTGGACGCCCTTCAAGTATTTTCCCTGGTTCTGACATTGCACTTGCACGCCGCTTTGCAGCGTCTTATTCGCCTAAAAATTATTTTTGTCTTTTACAACCTTTTTAAACACCTCCTTCGGCGGATCCTGGGCCCAAACGGCACCATCAGCCTTTTGCATGCCCTTGCTGTCCTCGCAGTAGGTCGCTAAATTTCGGAGTCCAGATTTTTGCTAATGACAAACATTTCAGGACGGTTTTCCGGACAGCTCCGTTTTCGAGTTTGGTGCATTCGATTACAGTATCTTGGCCTTCTGTGTTAGCGGGGTCCGAGTAGGTTTCACCAATATCGATGCGGCCACCGTGCTCGTCAAGGCAATCTGAGGTTTAGAAGGTAGCTTTATGACCTTCCGGAGGTCGCAAGTTATCCTTTTCTAAAGCTCATAAAAATTGCTTGGTCTTGTCAAAGCTTTGTTAGATCCGAAAAGTACGTAAAATTGTCATTAAGCCGTACGCGTAATGGCGTATTCAACTTCGGTGTACCCGTCGACCTTCTCGGAGAGGCACTTGAATACAAAGTGCGGCGACAGGTATTCGCCGTTCAGCGGGATCACCGGCCCGGCCGCCGAGTTGTTTGGTGCGCACCCTAATCGATATTTGATTTCGCGAACGTTTCAACCAACCAATTGGCACATAGCCGATCATATCACTCGTCTGGTTGCATTGGAATTGGACGTAGTCCTCGATATATTTCTGAAAATCGGAAGTTTTGGGCATGAAGATGACTTCAGGTCTCTTAATGGACGCCATCAGGCCCACTTAGATTCGCTAGGCGAGCAACTATTTACGCAGAGCTCGCAAGTAGGTAGCACGGCGTACTGTACATGTTAAACCTACTGTGCCAAGCGTCTTTTCCTCACATTCCGGAGCGTCGGCTCGGATTACGGACACGCAAATTAGTACAGAGAATAAACCGTGGATTAGGCGACGCATTGCCTGCAAATGGGGACCCGGGTTTGCTTCTAAAAGTGGTAGCTGAGATTCTATAGTCGTTGTAATAACTCAAAAGCGGAAGAGAAAGCAACAAATTCTAAACATAGTTATAAACGTGTGGTGAAATTACGTAGGCCCGGTCTCGACTCTTAAAACTAATATTGCAAGTTATGCAAGAAGAAAAGAGGCTCTAGAAAAGCTCAAAAAAGTCCCCAGAAAATCTTAAGAAAGTACGTAGAGATCAAAGATAACATAATCAATAGGTATCAACCTATTGGATAAGCTTCAGCTTATAGAGAAAGATTTTCTGAAGGGTTTTGATGTTTCTAGACACTTTACGCTATTTTACGAAGCTGACTTCACCCTAAACACGCCCCAGAATTTCCCCCAGATCCAACATCTAAAAACTGTCGGCAACTCCGACTTCTTCGATCCCGTCTATAACTCGCTGCCAAGGTGACACGTAGTTATATGTTTCCCACCGTAAACCGGCAGCGCTTCGCCCTCCCGACCGGACGTAAGATATTGACTACACCCACCTCTACAACCCCGAAACCACAAAACCCGAATCGACATTGCAAACAAAAATACGGCAAAAATCAAAAGCAAGAAAACGACGCCTCTCTCCGGGGGATGCACGCTCGAAACGGCTATTTGGTAGTCAACTGATTCCCGAAAAATTCGACATCGATTCAGGTGTATGACGACGTAGGGGGTGATGTTTTGGGGAGGAATTCTGGGAGCAGCCGGCTCGAAATGCCTCATTTTCTAGTCAGCCGGCTGAAGGCTGTCCGATAGGGTCAAGGGGCTGGTTGGCAGATGCTTCGGAGTGCAACGTGAGTAAGTTTTATGTTGAGGAAGAAAGAAGGGATGATCTACGTGGTCTGCTCGAGGTTGATCTGTTTGTATCCGAATTTTTGCGATTTTGAAATTCTCGGCGTCTGTTACACAAACTAAATTTTGCGGCATGATATGACTGCCACCCTCTGAAGCAATTTTTCATGCTTGACGGTATTTCCTGGCAGAATCTCCTTGAAAATTGGGCTTTGTTAGACAGGTCGCTTGCGAATCGTTGAAGCGCACGTCGTACATATAGAATTCCGGTCACTTTGCCTAAATCCGTTTCGCCTAAACCCGTTTCGCCTAAACCCGTTTCGCCTAAAACCCGTTTCGCCTAAATCCCGTTTTGCCTAAATCCCGTTTCGCCTAAATCCCGTTTCGCCTAAATCCCGTTTCGCCTAAAACCCGTTTCGCCTAAATCCCGTTTCGGGTAAACTATAAGGTTCGTCGGCAGAAACGACCTGCTTGGATGTAAGGAAAACATAATACGGTTTATTCATTCTTTTCCTGCGTTTTCTGGAGCGGCTGCATGCGTTGCACAAGAAGGTTGCCGTCAAAATTCGCGAAGCGAACGAGATCGCCTACATGCCGAAGCGCAAAATCAGCCGGGATTTTGACGAACAGCGCGCGATGTGTTAGGCTTACGACGACAATAACCCGCGAGCCCTTATCGAAATTATTTACAAGACTGTATTAATCATTGAATGAATAAACCGTACTATGTTTTCCTTACATCCAAGCAAGTCGTTTCTGCCGACGAACCTTATAGTTTACCCGAAACGGGTTTTAGCCGAAACGGGATTTAGGCGAAACGGGATTTAGGCGAAACGGGATTTAGGCGAAACGGGATTTAGGCGAAACGGGATTTAGGCGAAACGGGTTTTAGGCGAAACGGGATTTAGGCGAAAGGGGATTTAGGCGAAACGGGATTTAGGCGAAACGGGTTTTAGGCGAAACGGGATTTAGGCGAAACGGGTTTTAGGCGAAACGGGTTTAGGCGAAACGGGTTTAGGCGAAACGGATTTAGGCGAAATGGCCGTCACCCGTACATATACGCCTTTGAACATATGCGTCACACGCTTTGCCTCAGCCTTTCTACGCAAAGAGGTGTAAACGTAGCGGTATCTGCAGGCGGAGCTAGGGTTGTTATATGAGTTGGCTTGCTGGCAAATTTGTTTGCGTGAAAATGCGGTAAGCAACTGTTTACCCGCAAGGTTGTTTGTGAATTTTTTACTCAACAACCGGCAAACAATTTTGTGGCAAGCAAATTAGGAAGTCAAACTCAACTCGATTTCCATTTTGTTTGACGCGGCTCTTGTTCAGACCGGGTCAAACAATATTTGACGCGAGTAAACTCGACGGCGAGTTGTTGTTTGAGCTCGAAATTGTTTGCCGGAAGTTGCAAAGATGCTAATTAGAGAAGGGAAATTATGGAAAACAACGAAAATTGGTACATTTTAAGTTTTGCATGCCAAATTTATTGCAATTTCCCTTCTCTAATTAGCATCTTTGCAACTTCCGGCAAACAATTTCGAGCTCAAACAACAACTCGCCGTCGAGTTTACTCGTGTCAAATATTGTTTGATCCGGCTTGAACAAAAGCCGCTTCAAACAAATTGGAAATCGATTTGAGTTTGACTTCCTAATTTGCTTGCCACAAAATTGTTTGCCAGTTGTTGAGTAAAGTCCTCGGCAAATAAATTTGCGTGCAAGCCAACTCATATAACAACCAGCGCCCAAAACCCGCTTCGCGGGCCTTGGGCGCTGGAATTCGGCCTTTGCATGAAAAGTTTGACTTTCTGATAGCTCGGGTCCTGCGGACCCCCCGCCCCGACCACACGCGCGAGTGCAACTGGCTAGAATGAGGAAATTTGTATTTTTTCACATTATGCAAATTAGCCTGCCCGGACCCTCAAAAATCAATAAAACGGGCTTTAACTTTGTAAACTTGAATTTTACCGGGATTCTGAAAACGCCATCGGAAAGCGGAAGGCCGATTCCCCCGGGTGACGGAGAATTAGGGCATTTTGGACACGGGAAGGCCCTCAAATCGGGCCTCGAAACTGACCTCCGCACACACACACAGACAAAGATACGCGACCAAATTATATAAGGTAGGACCCTAGGCGGAGCGATTTAGAATAAACGCTCCGCTGTCATCATCGTCTTTCTTTGTGCACTCCCTGTGGGGGAATGCGTTCCAAAATTTGTTCGAAACACTCTTTGAAGAGGTCTCGGGGTTAATGCTAACCTCAAACTTGGGTAATTAAACCGAAGCTTTGGATGGGTGGGGGCTCTTCTCACATATGGACACTCCAGGTCGATGTGTCTATCCGGGCAGTCCCACAGAGAGCGATCTCTCGTTGTTTGCGTCTCGGAGTGTCTCGTACACCCTGTGCAATACTATTCCCCCTCTTTCCTATCCACAGTTTCCCCTGATCTGAAAGTTTCGGACCGTCCTAGAGAGACGGAGACAACGAGAGATCGCTCTCTGTGGGACAGCCCGCATAGACACATCGACCTGGAGTGTCGATATGTAGGAAGAGCCCCCACCCATCCACAGCTTCGGTTTAATTACCCAAGTTTGAGGTTAGCATTAACCCCGAGACCTCTTCAAAGAGTGTTTCGAACAAATTTTGGAACGCATCTCCCCACAGGGAGTGCACAAAGTAAGAAAATTTTGAATGCAGATATCATGCTTGTTAGCGCGGTAGCTTTTAGTATGAAACGCTGCACTTTCTACCAGCCAACAAAGAATCTCACCTGACTATTACCAAAAAAAAAAGCAAAAAGCCTACGACACTCGGGATTCCCAAGCCGTCTCCGATCCAAGTACTAACCGAGCCCAACGTTGCTTAACTTGGCAGATCGGACGGGATGCCGTGCTTTCAACGTGGTATGGTCGTAGGCGAAGACAGAAACGCATAGAGGGGCTACGAAAGTTGAAGCTCACCGGCTGAAGCGTACCCCTCATCAACGGCTCATCCCTCCTCGCCATCGCCTACGACCATACGACGTTGAAAGCACGGCATCCCGAGTGGCTTTTTGAAGGTTTTTGGTAGAGTTGTCCCCTCGTGGGTTTTTTTAGTAAGTTTTTGGCCGGATGCCCTTTTTCAGTGTGTTTTCTTATTTATGCAAACTAGGGGGCTATCCCCGGGAAATGGGGCATTGTGTCGGTCAGGAGGTCGCCATTCTGGGGGAGGAGTGGAGGATGATTTCATCCTCTCCCTCGGTTCGCCAAAAGTAGAGAGAGGGAGAGGGGGAGAGCGAGCGTGCGAGAGAGGGAGAGCGAGAGTGCGAGAGAGATATTTAGAGGTTTGTTGATCAATCACAAGCCACAAAAAAGGAGCATCCCGAAACGTCCTTGCGCGCCCCATCTTCATGCCAATTTCTCTCCAGTTTCCTGATTATTTTTGGGGTTTTTGAAAAACCGTCCTTGCCGGGGCCGTCGTTTTGCGTTTGGCCTCGCCCAGTTTATCCGGGGGATGGGGGCAGAGAGTTTTGGTTTGGGGAACAGATCAGTCTGCGAATCGACAAAATGGCGTCAACCAGCTGGGGCTTGGCCCTTTTTCTATATTTTATTATAATAGAAGTGATTAGTGCGGCGGAGTCACCGTTTCAAGATTATTCGTATGAGGACCGAATGGAATTTCATCGTAAGTCGGCAAGTGTTATAGAAGTACATCAATCTTCCGAAAAACCGTACTTTCGGCTAAGCGTCGCGCATCGCGTAAAGAGAGAGCGAAAGAAAGCGAGAGAGTGAGAGAGACAAAAAGAGAGAGAAGAATATAAATTAAATCGCATGTCTATCCTCCATCCTTAGATTTCTTTACCTACCTTACTTACCTTGTTAGTCTTAGTGTCTCAAGAACAGCGACGCGTTCTCCTTTTTAAAAACGTACAAAAAAACGTCAATGATTCGAATTTTTAGGATGGTTCTGCAGTCGACACCGAGCCGTCCTCTCCTGCCGACGTCCATTCACCAGCAGGGATTACTTGATTGAGAAAAATAAGTTTCGGTATAAGTTTTTGACGCCTCTATTGAACGATCAATTGCTTCAGAACCGAGCTCGAAGAGGAGTTTCGCACAAAACGAGAGGAGCAGATACCTCGACCTCGTAGGTTAAGGGAGAAATCTAATATTTTTTGGACTCTAGAGCGTCTTAAGCGCCAAATCGACGACGACGAGGATGCGGACGAGGAATATGAATATTTCATGTGGAAGAAGCATATAAAGCGAAAGTGGAAGGAGGGGTACGTTAAAAAAACTTATTTCTCTCTTTACTTACCTGATGCTTATTAAAGGAAAGCGTAAGACAGGGCCGCGCTGCGACGAGTGGCTTTTCCATTGCGTAGTCGATTCTTACCCCCTTACGGCGGTGAATTGGCGTGAGCGTCGCGTGTAGCAGATTTCCTAGGACAAAATAGCCGACAAAATGCCATGCCTTGCCTATCCCTTTAACCCATTACGTGGTATAACCCATTTTCAGAGACACCATCATCCACAACCACTACCATATGGAGCAGCCCCAACAGACGTACTATCAGCCAAGTACGAAAAAAATCCGCATTTTCAGTTCTTTTCTGCTACCCTGAGTTTCGCTTTTTCAGCTTATCAATACCCCAGCTACGGGCAATACTATCCACGCTACTATTATCCACGCTATTATCCATACGGTAGCCACAGGGTCTGCACTGGGAAATCCTTATTTTAGGCTACGGTGGCTATGGGAGCGGATATGGATATCCGAGATACGGTAGGTGGGGCGGAAATCAGGTGGATCGGGAAATTTTCCGTTTTAAAGACCGCGGCAGGGGATAGAAGCGAGCTGGGACATAGATCAGGCACTGTTAGATTTTTGGTTTTTTTTTTGGTTTTTTGCGCTATGAATCTGAGTTTCATCTGCGAATCCATTTTTTCTGCTGGCACCGTCCCTTTAGATACCGTATCCCAGCGGATTTTATCGTAATTTATTGTATTTTCAGGTTACGGTGGCTACCCGAGCTACGGCGGCGGCTACGGTGGCGGCCAAGCGTTCAATTTTGGACTTGGAAGTGGACTAGGTGGGTTTTTGGTGCTTTTGCACTATCGGCGGCGGGAGGGGGGGCGTTTTTTCTATAAGACCAGAAATGCCTAGTAACACAGGAGTAGGCATTATAATAGCGTTGTTAACAAAGTATGACTATCTTTCAAGCGGGAAAATAAAAAAAAAACTATAAATTTGTTAAAAGGTCTAAAAGCTAAATTTTTTGTCCAAATATCTATGTTTTTGTATGTTTTTGAATGAAAATGTGGATAATTTTTGCGATTAGTTATTTATAACATCGTGGAAAAATTTCTCCATATTAGAAAAATTGGATACTAAAGAAATTGGACTCTCCCTTGGAGACAGCCCCCCCCCCGATAATGCCTAAGAACCAATTTTTTGAACATTCATGTCTGTCAAATATAAAAACGAATTTTTAAGGTATCATGACGCCCGGTTTCGGTTTTGGGCTCGGCTCATTTTTGAATATCGGGGTTGGCTAATGGTCGTACAGTTGCGCTACGCTACGCTCCTATCGGCACCGCACTCCAGTTACGCCATTAATTAATGCTTTCATGCCCATCTCCAATCACGAATCTCAGCCGTTTTGTGCATTTTGCAGTTTTTATTGCAATGCTTGTATTTTGTAGTTTTTAGTGGTTACTAAATGTATGTTTATTTCCAAAAACACAAATTGTACACAACAACAAAAACCAGATGAAGCACCGGAAAAAGCACAGGCATTGGGGGATGTGGATATGCTCTCCCGGCTTGGGGGAATACCCGTAGAAGAGGACGCTAGCAAAATGGGCAATGGGTAAAATATGTAATTCAAGGAATTCATTACTATATGAAAATGTATTAAATTTTATATCGTGTTATACTAACCTTTAGCTTTGGATTAAAAACCAAAAAAAGCGGAAGAACCCCTGAATATGACAATTTTGGAAGGTTTTTGATGGCTTAAAAGAGGATGTAATTACTGTAAGACTTTAAAATTGAGAAAGTATGAAATAAAATTGTTAATATGATGGCGTGTACGGTTATGAGGTGAGGTCCTGCTCCTTGACGAGCTTGTAGTATTTGCCGCGGCGAGCCATCAGTTGGTTGTGAGTGCCGGATTCGCGAACCTGAAGGGATTGTTGGAATTGATCGATGGAAGCGCTTGATCGATCGCATCGCTTGATCTCTCTCTCTCTCTCTCTCTCGCTCTCTCTCACCTTTCCGTCCGCGATATAAACAATCAAATCCGCATTCTGAATCGAGGACAGCCGATGAGCAATTGTGACGCAGGTACGCCCAGCTCGTGCTCGGTCCAGGGCTTCTTGGACGGCCTGAAAAAGACAAAATAAGCTCTCTAGTCTCTCTCTATCTCGCTCTCTCGCTCTCTCTCTCTCTCTCACCTTCTCCGCCTCAGAATCCAACGCCGACGTGGCCTCGTCGAGCAGCAGAATCTTGGGATCTCTGACGATAGCTCGTGCGATGGCGATACGTTGCTTTTGACCTCCAGACATTTGCGAGCCCTTTTCTCCGACCTAATTTATGGTTTATATCTTAAATTGCCATATTTTCATACCTCAGTATCAAGCCCACCCGGCAGCTGTGAGATGAACTTGTCGGCGTTGGCCATGTTCAGCGCCCACTTGATCTTCTCCATCGGGACGTCGCCCAGGCCGAAGCACACGTTTTCTTTGATGGAACCGCTAAAATCAAGGTATATTTAAGGTAAGAGGACTAAAGGTAGATTAACATTGACTTTGGTATCATCAGGACTCACCTGAAAAGTCTCGGTTCCTGCCCGACGAGCGCCATCTGGGTACGCAAATTATGGAGCGAAAGTCCCTTGATGTCTTTTCCGTCGATGCGCTGGAAATAGTTAACTTAATGCATGTTTTGCTATTTATAAATTATACCTAATTTCTATTCGTTTATAATGCATTACATTTTTTTGAATTGATTTTTTATTTACATTTTTGCGCTTTCAAGTAGAAGCTTTTAGTTAATAGCAGTAAGATACCCACCACAAACCCGCCGCTCGTGTCGTAGAAACGCTCCAGCATGGAGACACAGGTCGATTTTCCGGAGCCGGAAGGCCCGACCAGGGCGACGGTTTGGCCGCGTTGGGCGGTGAAGTTGAGGCCGGTCATGATCGGGTTTTGAGGACGTTGAGGGTACCGGAAGTTGACGTCTTCGAATAGGATGTTTCCGCGGAGCGTCTAGAAATTTTTGATGTTTTTAAAACTACGGTCTCTACGAAAAAAGGAAAGAGAGAGCGAGCGAGAGAGAGAGAGACAGTGAGAGAAAGAGAGAGAGAGAGAGAGAGAGAGAGAGAGAGATCAAAAAAGAAGAGAGGGAGAGGGAGAGCGAGAGAGAGCGGGAGAGAGAGAAACACTTACGATGGTCTCGCCGGCCATGTGGTCGCCGGTTTTCGGCTTGCGGTCGATGACGTTGAACAGCATACCGGCCTGAAAATTGGCGCATTAATGTTAGGGAGCAGAAACATTTTTAAAGGGTCGGGGAAGGTTTGGTTATGGATTTGTTGAGCTGTATGCCCAAAATTTGCCTTGCAAGTTCCTTTAAACCGAAAAACTTACCGCCGCCTTGGCCTTGATGAACTCGGGCAAATAGGGGGTGGAGTTCATCACAGCTACCGTACCCAAAAGCATGGCGGTGATAGCCCTAAAGATTTTTATGGTCATTTTGGCTGATGTTTAGAATTTTCAAGACGTTTAGAATGAGTTAAACCAACCTGAAGACGTCATCCGAAGACTTGTCCCCCACGTAGATGACCCTGATGCCGACGGCGTACACGATGGCCAACATCATGTAGAGGATCGACTGCGAGAAGGTGAAGTTGACCGCTTCGTACCAGCCTGAAACACGGTAGATGAAGTTGAATTTACTGGAATTTTCTTACATTTGTTCAACTCGCGGTATTTTTGCTTCTTGCTGGCCTCCTCGTACATCTTGTAGAAGGCCTCTTGCCGGGTCAGCAGCTGGATGGTCTTCACGTTCTCGATGGTCTCGATCGCGATCTGAAGTCAGAAATTTGGTAAAAGTTTGTGGGGATCAACTGACCCTGCCGGACTCGTTGTTCTTCATCAGGAAGAGGTTCTTCTTCATGATGAGATTGCCGAGGAAGATCATCCACGCCCAGAGGAGGAGCATGAGGCCTAAAGGTCGGATAAGAATCTGGCTAGAACATTTATCTCTCTCTCTCTCTCTCTCTCTCTCTCTATCTCTCGCTCTCTCTCTCTATCTCTCTCTCTATCTATCTCTCTCTCTACTCTATCTCTTTCTCCTCACCTGTCCCAATCGTGGCCACCTGCCATGCGCACACGAAGGCGATCACAATATTCGCAATGATAGCCGTGAGGGCGTAGATGAACTGCAACATCCTCGTGTCGACGACCGCCTTGATGTTGGGAGCATCGGACGCCAGTCTGGTGATGAGCTTTCCGGGTGTGTGGGCCGGGTTGTCAAAGTAGGAGGCATCTTGGTGGAGGATTTGGCGGAAGGAGAGCACCCTGAAGCGCATCGCCAACTCTTCGGAGACGACCGAGAAGAGGATGCTCTGAAAAACGGGGCTTTAATTACCAAAAAGTAACTTTTAAACTTACCGATAAGGTCTGGAAAATGAGACATCCGACTCCAATGGCAGAGTAGACGATGATGCCAAGCGCCAATCGATGCATCATCCGTCCGTCGGTGTAGGGGGTGAATTGGAAGCCCTGGAATTGAAAGGTATAGGTTGTTTAACTTACGTATTAACTTTACAAATTTTTATGAGAAATCAGAATTCGCGCCATAACCCCGACAGCAAAAATTCCGAAAGCCCATAATGCCGTCAGACCGAAATCCCGACAGTCAAAATGCCGTAAGCCACAATTCCGCCATATTCGAGGCCAATTTGAATGCCACTTCCGCTGAAACGGCTATTCTACATGTCGGCATTTTGGCTTTCGGGATTTTGGTTGTCGGCATTACGACAGAATATAAATAATATCGATTTGCCGACAGAAATTCCCTTTTTCGACCAAAGTTCGAAGTTTTCAAGTATTTTCAAGCTTTCCTCCATATTTTTCACGTGAAAAACGTGAATTAAAAAAATTAATAAATTGATGACTATGGTGTAATTAGGCACATCTGGAATTTTAAAAAAAATTGCTTTGAAATTTCTATATAACTCCGACAACCCTCTCAAAAATTACCTCAAAAACATATCCGAAAGCCAGCGCCAACCCAGGCAGCTCCAGGCCACGACAAATGGCGCAGATCACGCCCAGCGTCATGTTCAGATACTGCCCCTTGGCGTTCTTGAAGATGTCCAGGTAGCCGGCGGTGATCTTCTCGTCCTGGTCCATGACGCGTTGTACTTCCGCTGCAAATTCGGCATTTTCGGTGGCCATGCCGCTCGGGTCAAGCCCGCCGGCGCTGAACGAGCTGTTCATCGTGGATTGTCTAAAAATGTTTATTAAATTATATATATATATATATTAAGTATTGTTTAAATATTAAGTAAAACATATTTTATTAAAATTAACTAATTGGATATTATTTATAATTATTGGGTACTTTTGCATTATCGGGGGGGAGGGTCTATCTATAGGTCCCCGCAATTTTTGAAGTATCAATAGACGTTTTTCTATATTTTTTGCTATTCTTCAGCGTAAAGAGCCAGGAATTCGTATTAAAAATAAATAAATATCTATTTTTCGATCAAAATTTTTAGCGTTTTTAGAGGTTCTATCTAGCGAAATTCTAACAAAAACGGTAGTAAAATCTTTGCCAACAGATTATTAGGCATATCTGGACTTCTAGAAACTCCCCCCCCCCCCCGATAACTCACAAGCACCATATCTTACTCCAAAAAACCGGAAACCCACCGGATAAACTGATCACGGCCGGAAACTCTGGTCTCCGACTGCATCCGCGACGAGTTGCGGTGGGTGCCTTGGGATTGAGAGTCACTAAAAAATAAAAAATTCGAAACATTCCAGTTGACGTACCCCAAATCGATCTCATCTTCGATCTCGTCCTGAACGATTTGATCTTCTTCGGGCTGGAATTGCTGGGCCTTGACGAGGCTGTAGTACTTGCCCTGCTGGGCCACAAGTTGCTCGTGGTTGCCCTAAACCATGTTTATAGATTCACGCTTGAAATTTTATACCTATTTTCGAAAACAATTAAAATTGGTAAAAACTGACCTGCTCCAAGATCTCGCCCTTCTCGAAGACGACAATCTTGTCGGCATTCCTGATGGTTGAGAGTCGATGGGCAATGACGATAGTAGATCGTCCTTTTGAAGCATTGTCGAGGGCAGCCTGGACGATGCTCTCGCTCTTCGCATCCAGGGCGGAAGTGGCTTCATCGAGGAGGAGGACTTTCGGGTCTCTGGCGAGTGTCCTGGCAATCGCTACGCGCTGCTTTTGACCACCAGACAGTTGCACACCGCCGTCGCCAATGAGGGTGTCGTAGCCCTAAAAAATAACCATGATAAAGCTTAAAAACGAACGAACTGCCGCATGAAACTCATTGAGGACTCCTGGGCTGTTATCGGGGGGTACCTATTACATGCCACCCCCGCAAATTCTAGCATTCTACGGTATTTTTTAGCAGATTTTTACGAATCAAACGCCACAAAAAAAAAATTTAGAAAGTAAAAAAAGCCACGCTCTAACACCCTCCCCCCGCTAACAACCCAGTACCGTGGAACGCAAAGCCAAATTCTCCAAATATTTCTCCGCTTACCTTTGGTGTCTTCATAATAAAATCGTGCGCATTCGCCATCTTGCAGACTCGTTCCATCTCCTGGCGGGTGATATCCGGCTTGCCCATCTGCAGATTTTCAGCAATCGTCGCGTTGAATAGGATCGGTTCCTATAAAAAATATCTACTTTTAAGGCTAATCATACCTGTTGCACAATGCCGACCGTATTTCTGAGCCATTCAATGTTAAGGGTGCGGACATCAGTACCGTCTAACGTTACGAGTCCAGATTCGGCTTCGTAGAGGCGGGTGATCAGTCCAACACTTGTGGATTTGCCGCAACCACTAAAAGGTGGTAAGTTTACGGTAGCTCTCACTGTATTTCTCTATCTTTCTCTCTTTCTCTCTCTCGCATTCTCACCTGTGGCCAACCAACGCGACAGTCTGCCCAGGTTCGATCACCAAATTGATCCCGTTCAAGATCTTTTGCTCCTTTCGGGAAGGGTATCTAAAAACGTAAATTAGATTTTTAAATTTATAATGGTTATAATGATAATTATATTATAATGATAATATAATGATAATTTTATAAACATAATTGTTTAAGTTTCACACCTGAAGTGCACGTTTTGGAAGACAACGCGTCCCGCGCATTTGTTTGGCCGCAGACCCGCGCTTGAATATGGGTCGATGTGGGGCACCTGGAAAACGTTTTAGATTTAGAAATATCTTTCTTAACTTATTCTTATATGTAAAAATATGGGCGAAAATCTAGCTAATAAAAATATTACCCTTTCAATGATTTGATAGATTTTCGCCGCGGCCACGCGAGCGTTGAGGAGCACCATCAGCTGCGGCGAGATGAGACCAAGGAAGTAGGCTCCGAGTAACATGGACATGACGACGATGAACACGGTTCCGGGTTGCGAGACGTAGCCCTCGCGCAGGAGATGACCACCGAGCCTGGAAAACGATTTTATAGACACTGAAACTTATTTTACACTTTTTTTTAGTTATTTACAGGCCTTTTTATACCAAAAATCAACAAATTTTAGAAAAATTATCGTTAAATTTCTTACAAAAAGGTTTCGTTGGTTTTGCGAATAGTTTTCAATGCATTTTACGGTCCTAAATACTCTAAAAACCCACAACATGCCCGCGCCCAAGAACGCGAACAGCACGCAGAAGAACAGGCCGCCGAGAAATCCGCTCCAGAAGCCCTTCTCCACCGCGAAGCGCTTGCCCTTCGTCAACTCGTGGGAGTACCTTAAAATTAAGATTTAATCTACGAAAATGGCCCGAAACCCACTTGTCGATCATCTCCTCTTGGCCGTTGAAGGCCTGCACCGTCCGCACGCCCATAATTGACTCTTCAGCAATCGCACCCGCTTTTCCGACGCCCACCAATTCCTTCATCGTGGTTGACGTCATTTTCTAGAACTCACAAATCCAGTCCGAACTGCTTGTGCTCACCCTAGCCATCATGGCCATACAGAAACAGGTGATCGGCGCGACGCCCAACATGAAGAAGGCCAACCGCCACTCGTAGATGAACGAGATGACCATGGCGGCTGCGTACATAGCGGTTCCTCGGATAAGCAGGCCCAGCTTGTCGCCGATACCCTCGCGGATACGCTCCAAGTCACTAAGAACAAGTTTTTGGATCCAGAAACTTTTTTACTTACTCTGAAAGCCTGGAAGTGAGCGTGCCAGAGTGATTCTTGTCCATCCAGCCGGCATTTTGGCGTAGGATCGACTTGAGGTAGCGGTGTCTCATTTGGGCAATTACACGCGAGCACACCGATGCAAAGCACATGAACTGAAAATGGGACGCTATTAGGTGGTTTAATTTTGTATAAAAAGCTTTAAAGTTGAGAAATACGTTTAGGTAGTGATTTTAAGGTACTTTCCCATTATCGGGGGGCGGGTATGCTATCTAAAAACTTTAAAAACGTTAAAAACACGAGAAATCGATATTTTTGCTTTTTTAGTAAATACTTGTAAAGTTTAGGATGACTAAAAATAGCTCCGAAAAAAAATTGATAATTGGATACTAAAGAAAAAAACAGGTTTCCCCTGCGATACTCCCCCCCGGGTAACGCGTAGGAACCGCAATTTTTTAGCCAATAGACCCAAAAAAATACTAACACTTACCTGTATAAAATTAATTACAAAAACCGCCGCTCCGACGCCGATGAAAATGTACACGTTTTCGTAGGCCTTATCGCGGAATTCTTTCGAGGTCGGCGCGTAGGTGATGAGCACGTTGGTGACGCGCCCGGAGATCAGGGCCAGTGTCGGCTGCGCGATTCCTGCAACGGATTCATGGCTTTAGTTTCAATACCGTACCTGACAGAATCGAGCATATGATGCCGATCGTCAGCGCGACGTAGTCCCATTTTGTGCAGTAGCGGAACTGGAAAAGGAAATTCTGAAAGTTAAAAAAAACTTTCAAAACTTTAAAGAAATTCTGGAATTTTCGGGTACTGTGCTGTTATTGGGGGGCTTTCAAAAAATAACTTTTCGGCCTTTTATAGTAAATTTTTCCCGCGTTTAGCATAGCTTTTGGTTACTAAAAACCCAGCGAAACATTTTGATTGTTCCAGAATAAAAATTTTTCATCAATAACCGGAATTTGTGTATTTCGCTATTGGGACCTTACAGAACGAGATAAGCCACTACTATGCTCCCCCCGCTAACAGAATAGTACCCAATTTTGATAATCTAACTTTCAAGAGAGTCTTATGTACTTTGATCCCCTCCTTGCCGGCCCCTTTAAACGGTTGACCCGTCGTTCATCTCCGGAAAACCGGGGGCAAACAGTTGGCCGCGAGGGGCCCCTTTCAAATTTTAAGTTTCTGAGAGGTTCCGGCAGTAGTCTGTGGCGCTGCGGCGGGTCTCTATTATTTTTTGAAAAGTGTGTGTAGAGAGAGAGAGAGAGAGAGAGAGAGAGAGAGAGAGAGAGAAACATGGAAACAAGGCAAACACCGTTCTCCCCCTGCCGCCCGGGTTGCCGAGAAGTACCCGGGGGACTAGACGGTATGAGCACCGGAAAATGCCGACCCCTACAATGTGTCCGTTTGCTCACTTGCCCCCCGAAAAATTGAGCGGAAACGGTAGTCGTGGAGTTTCTGGCGTGTATTTGCACTTTTTTGTGATCTTTCCCTGATTTTTGGCGATCTCCGGAAAGTGTAAATTCTCTTACCAATCCGGGAACAGACACCGGCTTCACTTCGAGCTGCTGGTTCGCGAGATCGCCGCTGAAATTGGGGAATTGGTGTGGATTTGGATAGAGATTAAGCAAAAAGTCAAGCAAGCGGATGTTTCTATGCTAGAAAAAGCTGAATATTCGTAGCTATAAGCTTACCAAGCCAGGTCACAACTAAAAATGGGCAAATTTCTTTGATTTTGACCCAAAATATCTCTTCGTCTCTAGCTAGAATTCTTGGGAAACGCCCTGTTTCAATCACTAGGTATCGACAGCCACGCAGCACTCCAAAAGACGCATGAAAAAGTATCAGAATTGTCTTTTGACATGACCGAATCTATCGATATCTAATGGATTCTACGGGTCGATTCTGGCGCTTTCCAGTCCATTTAAAGGGTTTGTAAAGGTATACTATTCCTTAAGAGTCCAAAAAACATACCGGCACAACAAAATATTAATAATTTTCTCGGCCAACGTCGGCGTGTACATGACTTTGGGCCCGTCCTCGTCGTCATCGTCGGGAGGGATCACCTAATAACGAATAATATTTTTAAGTTATGGTCTAGGTAAGAAGCCCAGACCCTTAAGGTATCCTCACAGCAATGAAGTGGTCAAAAATATCTTTATGCCACCCGTAAACCCTGCCCGCACTTACCGTAGCCGGCACAGCGACAACGGTGCTCTTCTGTGAGGCCCGCCATGGAGAGTCGAAGCCCCTCTCCAGGGGGTCCTCCTTCGCATTCGGAGGCATCTACAGAGGAAGGGGGAAGGGGGTAGGGATCGTTCACTCGTCGTTGTATCGGGGGGTAGGGGATGACGTCTGGAAAGTGGTATCATATTGATCCTCGTGGTTGCGCGAATTCAATGGAGGCACGGAATTCCGGATGATAAGAATGACGGGGACTGGCGAAATGAGTGAAAAAGCGTGTGGGTGAAGTGTAGGGTTTGGGATCAACAATATTCGAACCAGGAGGGCGACTGAGCACCAAGTATTTCTTGAATTTCGTAATTATATAACTGACATTACGATATTTAGGCCTTTTTCTCCCTATAAACTCCGAATTTAAAATGTCCTCCAAGTTATCTAAAAAAAACAGAAAAATTGAGGCTAGTTTTTTTGAACAGAAGTGCCGAAATTTTTGTAACCAAGGCCATAAAATTGCGTTAAAAGCCTTAATAAACATATAAGGAGCCTTTTTGGGCCCTTTTCGCACTCCGAAATCTGGCCTTTAAATTGGGATTTTCCCAGCTTCATTACAGCTGCTTGCGCAATTCTCCCCCCTCTGATTTCCGGAGACCAGATAATTGCAATCTGGCTACCGGAAAGGCTGATAAGGCTGTATGGGTACTGGGGTGCTAGCGGAGGGGGGGGGGGTTTCGCGTCGAAACCAATTTTTATTTTTCGCCTATACCTACTCGCTAAAAAAATAGAATGTATTTTTATAGCGTTTTTAGGACTTTTGACTATGAAAACTTCGATTCAAAAATTAACTTAAATTTTAAATTTATATAGCAAATTTACAAAAGCCATATGGAAAAATAAAGGCAGAATTTTAGTTGCCGCCGAAAAATAAGCTGCAACATTTCGCCTCCAGGAAAACCCCCGAAAAGGGCCACACTTACAGTAACGATCCTGTTATCCCAGCGTAATTTTTGAGTAGCAGTAGCAAATATTCAGTTGTATACAGCCAGCAATAATTCAGTGCTGCTGCTGTATCTTTGTCAGCAATTGTCCGTGTTTGTGGGTGCCCGGGGGTCGGGGGTCTGCTTTTTGTACACCCATCGAGAATGGCGGAAATATAATCCACCCCCTTGAATTATGCAGGACAGCGGGGGAAAACAAAACGACGACCGTTACACCTGCGGGGGAAATATGGCCCAGATTGGGTGGGTAGTAAAAAAGAAGGGGGTATTACAAAGGTTTAGTTATCCTAAGACCAGGCGATTCTGGAAAAAATTAGGGTGGATTGTAGATTTCAAAACGCGTTAAAAATAGTCATAAAAAATATTAGAAAGTAAATTTTCGCAGCACGTATCAAGCCAAAATCTATAAAAAAGTAGCGTACAGACAGATCCAAAAGAAAAACTAGAAAACCTCTAGAAAAAAAATTACGTTTTCAAGCGTACCTTGATTCGAGCAGTTCAAAAAGGTTTGTCGGCGTCAAAAGGCAAAAAACCTATAAAAATTATGAAAAGTCGATTTTTACAGCGCCTTAAACAAAAGTAGCTTTAAAAAAGGTAGCTTAAAAACCAAAACTAACTTCTAAAAATTCCCCAAAAAATCACTCCCTGCTTGAACTCCGGCGGAGCGGCAAAAAAAATTCTGAAAATGTAACTCAGCCCAGACTGAGCCTGGTCCTCGACCCGTCTCCCCTCGAATGGCCCGCATTTATACCAGGTTTGCCTAGTGGTGTCCACGCTGAGAAGCCCCCCCCCCCCCGCCCTTCTTTTCCGTTACTTTTTACTCTTTCCTCTACCATGTTGGCACACAGACGAGAACCGCTGCCCCGCGCCTCCCTTCTCTCCCCGTCCCTGCCCGGCCATCTTGTAACATTTTGTGCCGAGACCAGGGGGCCCTCCGTCGAAATTCTGATTTCTGTAGCGACCCTCTTGGGCACCTGCCGCCGCTCGTACTTGGGCGACTGGGATCTGTGGCCCCGTCACAAACTATGGCCAACCTGCGAAAAACGGCCAACGAAACGGCCGAAATCCGGTGATGTTATCACACCCTGGGTGCGAACGGTTGAATCTGAATATTTTTAACGGAGCAGCGGCACCCAGAGGCAAAATGTCGTTGACGAGAATGTTCTACCTTATGACGACCCCTAAAAAATTGGCCGCGCTAGGCAGCGGGGTTTATTTGGTCTTTCAACCCTACTGGAACACCCAATAGTGGTCGTATTTCTGCATGAAAGTAGTATATAAAAGACGAATATCAAGTTATGAACTGGAGAAGGATTCCCTAAAAAATTCCTAGCTTTTTAATCCAAAACCGTACTTTTAGACTTATGGAAACGCCCTCGATTTATCACCTTTTGTCCAGCTCAAATTTAGATTCATCATCTTTCGAAAATTCACGTTCCACACGTTTTCCAGAGTTGCAAAATTTTTTCAATGCCGTTTCAATTCACTACATTTCCATGGACGCCCCCGCAATACTGACCCATCATCCCGAACGGGGGAACTTTGCTTGAATGATACCTTCAACACCACCAGTGTATTTTTTCATTCTTCGTACCTGAATTGTACCCTACACCATCATCACTCTCCGCGTCTACAACATGGCTAAATATTGCACAACGCTTGAAATGCCACTGCCTCTTCAAAGAGGCGCACAAGTCACAAAATGCTGCCCGGGCCTCGCCTGTGTTATATTTGTCCAAACACCACGGCGACATGGGGGTCAGGGCCCACCGCGGGGGGGATGGCGTGAAACGGGCACATAGACTACATCGACATTTTTGAGCCGACCCAGCCGCACCTTTGAGCATCACAAATAGAGAATTATTAGGCGGGGCCGCGGCGATCAAACTGGCTAGCATACCACGGCAAACAGCAGGCCCTTTTATGGTGTTGACCGGGAGTTGTGCCAAAATGAGTTGCGTGGCCTTCTATGTCACCTTTCGACAGCTCAAATGTAACTACCGCGCAAAATGAAGCGGTTTGGTTTCGTATTTTTATGTACAAAACAGACAAATTTATTGCAACAAATCCAAACGAGACATACAAGCATGTTAATCACAACTGTTGAGAAAGAAACACCTAGGAATAAAAGCCAACATGTTTCAAAATCCATGCAAAATTTAGAGCTTCTATCGGCGAGGGCGGTCACGATCATCACGGTGGCGGTCGCGGCGATCTCGCGAAGATGGGCGGCGGCGACTCTCACGGGAGCGGCTAAAACACGAAATTAATGCGAAAAGAATCAAATACCTTCTGCGACGGTCACGGGAACGCGAACGGCTTCTACGGCGCTCGCGCTCTCGATCACGGCCATGGTCGCCGCGGTCACGCGTATCGGTAGACCGTCTGAAAAACATCGATTTAGGTAATAATAAGGGGAAAACCTCTTTTCTTTGTCCTCCTTGCGCCGCTGTTCGATCGTATCCTAAAAAAGAGCGTTGAAAAAACCTATACGAATAAATACCTTCAGTTCGGCCAGCCGGCTGCGCACTTCAACCATCGCCAAATGCAACCTTCCGCCGAAGTGGTCGGACACGCGAGTCTCATGGTCCATGATATTCAGCTGGGCAAAATTATATAGTTAGGAAGCTTCTCACACCTGGCTTCCACAATCTTCGCAGACGCGCATGCGCATCGTCATGTGGAACACCGGTCGAAGTGCCTCGCTCTATATATAAGGTGTCAACATAGAAAGTGAAAAAGGGTGAAACTCACCTCAACCATCGCTTTACGATCCTCCAACTCTTCGACCTGTCTCGCGCAAATCATTGCTTGCCCGACCCGGCCTTGCGCTCCTAGTTGTGCAGATTCGTCGAGCAGGCGGCTGATTTGCGCGTCAATGCCCCGGAGCTTTTGCGCCTACAACGGCTTTAAAATCTAGAATTGAAAACGATGCCTTATCCGACTCGAACATCTCGTTTTCCGAGCGGATCTGCTGATCCTGTCTGCGCCTCGTGACTGCCACATCACCATCGACCGCGCGCACTGCGCCCTCGAGCGCCTGATAGAGCTAAAATCGAGATTGGCACTTATCAAGTTGGGGGGGGGGGGGGGCCACTTTGGTTTTCGACTTTTTGAGTCTTTCTAGGCTAGTTTTTTGTGCTGGTTCCGAATATAACAAAATCAGAGTAGTAAAACACAATTATCTAAACGTTTTTAAGATTTAGAGATGCTTACACCCAATTTGAGCCTAAAAATAAGGCTTCGTGCCACCCGGGGCCTAGTCGCTTCGGATGGGTGCGAGCTCGTACAGGGTTTCGAAATCGGGGCGCCCGAGGCGCGCGAAGCGGCCAGGCGCCCCGATTTCGAAAGAGTGGAGCGGCAGCCCATCCGAAGCGACGGCCCGCCTTGCCTGACAATGCAGCAAGCCCTAAATTGTGCATAAGTACACCTTTATTAATAATTTTTTACACTGTTTTTCTGGATAAACCCAACCGTTTCGCATGCTGTTGCGACTCTATTCGCACTCAGCGTAAAAAACTACCCCAGAACGAGTCGAAAAACCGATAAAAAAGTGTCTCCTAACAGGTACCCAAAGTGGCCCCCCCCCAACTTGATAAGTACCTCGAGATTGAATTTAATGAAAAAACAAACTCACGTCTATATCATAAAAATGGTCTTTCTTGGCTTGCGCAGCTTCATAGTCTGCCCTATGCGCCGGCTCGTGCATCTTGCGACAAACGACGAGTGACTCCAGCCTAGGCGCAAAATCCCAGGTATTTTTGCGAGGCTCACTTCGTATCCAGCAAATTGTAGCCAGGGCAGCAGCCGAGGAGGTAAGCCCGGCAGACGGTGGGGCTGTCGTATGGTGGTAGGTTGCGACCTAGATGAGATAATTAGTTGAATATAAAAAAATTACCTTCTTCCCGGGCCCGTTGATCTCCCATCAGCCCAGCTATCATTTCGCGCATGGCATCCGTCATGGCGGCGGCCTGGATTGATCAAGCTCTAACGAATCTGAAAAGGAAAAAAAATTTTTTTTAGACTCGAATAGCTATCTTTTATTATGATAAAGGCAAACTTTCAAAATTAGTTCGAAAGAAAGTTTTTGGCGCGTTCCGCGTGGCACCACTTTACGGATCTTACCGTAGCTCCTTCCCCTGATTCAGGGAGGGTGGCTCCTGCTTTTTCTCGCATTTTCATTTTCCGTCGTTTTTGTCAATTTTGTTCTAGTAGTTCCTCTAACTTCATTAATTACTTACCCTTTTCATGGTTTCATTTTCTGCAATTTTGTTTCCTACAACGTTTTTGATGCCTTATCGTTCCTTCATTCCTTCCGCTAACTCCATCGATCCTGTTTTTTCAGGTTGACCTCCTCTCAGCTTTTGCTCGAAGATGCGCATGTCTCAGGATTCTTACGGCTTTCAACCTACCGACTACAGCCGGGCGGAAATGTCGAACGCGTTCTTCGGTTCACGCTATCCTCAGCAGGTATCCTAGTCGGATTTATTCAACTAGTTTTTTATAGCAATCTGGCCGCTCCGCGCGTCAGCTCAGCAATGAGGAGCTCGCTCTGCTCAACCAATGCCGCACCGAGCAACAGCGCACGAAGAGTTCTCAAGTCTTCCCCGCTCTGCGCACCGGTCCGGTCTCCATCGAGGAGCTGATGGGCGTCAACCTGCAGCCCCCCGCTGAGCCACCGAGGCAAAGCGCCTTTCTTCAGCAGCTGAAGCTAGCCTCCGGCCGCAACCCCACTTATGATGCGCTGGGCCCGTACATGCCCGCCTTCTCTGCCCAGCATAGTGCTCGTGGTACGTTTTGCTTTTGCCTAATTAGCTTTGTTGTTGTAATAGGCATATATACGTAGTTCTGTATTTTCGTTGCAGGAGCGGCTACGCCATCGCACAGCACTCGTTCCAATTCGTCGGTCTATCGCCCTGAGCCGTTCCAAACCTCTATGCAGGCGGCCTTTGGACCGCAAGGCGACACCGACATGCTTCGTCTTCTTCGTAAGAATTTTGGCGCGTGCGTGATTACTCTCGTTTAGACATGCTGCGTGATGCTGGCCGTAACGGCTACCAGCGCCAGGAACGTCGTCGTCCCTATGCTGAGCATAGCCCGTTCCAGCCGCTCGTGCCGTGGAAGTGGAATGGCCCGGGCCATGGTGATCCGTTCGCCAACCCCTCGCCGCCTCGATCTCCGAGTTCTGCCGAGCTGCTTTCAATCCCGCTCCAGGGCCCGAAGATTCGGTACACTATATTACCGGTGGCCGAAAACCAAGGTTTAGCGAGGGTAAGGGTCGTCCTGGCCATGTTGTTTCGAAGGCGCGCAAGCCTCAAGATGCCTACATGACCTCCAGTGCAGTCGATCGCGCACTCAAGGATCCGAAATCTATGTTGTGCAAGGTATCACAAATGGGTCATGGTGGTTTATGTTGGTTTAGGGCACGCTTCGCATCCAGGGCCCTAAGCTCGAGGAGGCCGTTCTTGAACAAGAGGACGGGGTGGAGAAGAAGGACATTGTCATCGTTGGCATTCCGGACAGGAACCGCGCCGCTGATGGCGATTTGGTCGTCGTGAAGATCAAGGAGCGCGATAATTGGCTGGTGAGCTTTGGGACTTCAGCTCAAAATTTCCTTGATCCAGATCCGTGGAAGCCCGTATCTGCTCTGGCGCCGACGCGGTGGAGCCAAGAACAAAAATAAGTTTGACAAAGCTATGGCTCTGGAGGGTTCTGGTGACGCCGGAAACACAAAGGACGGCCATCTACAATATAGCCGCGAAGACCTAATCAAGATTGGTGTGAAGGTAAGATGGTCCTGTTTTCTCAGATTTTGTTTCAGGCTACTAAGGGCTCGTCGAAAGATAAGCATTACCGACGCGCAATGGACGCTCAAAAGAAGGCCCTTGAAGCCGTGAAGGTCCTGCGCGCACCGGACAGCGAAGGCGTCGGCGAAACGCCTTTGGAGAAGCTCGTGGCCGCTGCGGATCGTCCTACCGCCCAACAACTGTTCCTCAAGGATGGCGTGCTGCCCCGTCGCATCACTCTCCGCGCTGCGACCGAGCTTTCCCACGACAAGCGACCGGTTCCTGACAATTGTTTGCAGATGACCGCCGAGGTGGGTTCTTGCTTTCCGAGAGCTTAATTTCTTGTTAGGTAGTCTTCGTTGCTGCCCCTGCCACTGTCAACAAGTTTCTCAACGCTGGCAAAGAACAGGAGGCAATTTTTTTAAAAAGTTTGTTGAATCTTGTTTCTTCTAGGTCCCTGCAAAGCCGTCGGGCGCGGCGAAGAGATCCGCTGCCGAGAAGGTCCCCAAGCAGCCAGTAGGCACGAAGCCATCCGGGGGGCCGGCCGTTGACCATTAGGGCTACCTGTGTCTGTTTCACTTGATCTCACCTAATTTGCAATGGTTGTCCTCGCCAGAATTACTTGCTTGGCCCCCGCTTACTTGTGCATCGTTGTATGTTGTTATTTCCGGGGCCCTATATCGTTCTTATCTTATTGCAATAAAATTTTAACACTTATGAACTCAACTATGTAAGCTGCCTACCACATCGCACGGGTAAAAGGAAGGCAAGAATTTGCTGTATGGAAAGTGCGCAGAGACGAAATTCAACTGTCCCGGAGGCTTTATTCACACAAAAGTGCTCGTGTTATATAAATCGGTTTTATAGGCGTAATTGTGTTTGCCGAGGTGACGCGGGCAGCGGCTCACTTCTTGTAAGCGTACGTCTTCTTGTAGGCGGCGGGCTTCTTGTACTCAATCTTCTTACTGGCTGGCGGAGGAGGAGGCGGCGGCGGGGGAGCGGCAACCGGGGGAGGCGGAGCGGCGGCGGGCTGTAATTTTCGACTTTGACGGTTTGATGAACATTTCTGACCTTCGCTGGGGCCTTGGCACCCTTGCCGAAGAGTTCATCGTCAATGTCGATGTCGAGCTCGTTCGGCTTGTTCGAGCCGCCACCGACGTCGACGGGCACGAAGGCGCTCTTGTCAGCCATTGCTGGGGATTCGGCTCGTCGACGAGGAAGTTCAACCACGCTGATATGGCCAGATGATAGGGCCGAGGTTTTTTTTATACGTCATATTGCATGCTAATTAATTACATCTGGTTCCGCTACTGACGATTCGAAGTTCTAGACAGGGAAATTAGTGAGTAGATTTTGACGTTTTGGATAACCTCCCTAACTTTGTCGCCATCTTTCTTTTAAGCTGTACCAGATAACTTCGAAACAACAATTTATGCTCCTCGCCTAAGAGTAATCAGTAACAAGTGTCTGGAGCAAGAATAAATAACTTTGGTAAACAACGGTAAAAGCTGCGGGGCAGGGAGACGAACAGTTTGAATTGCATAGTAGACTATTTGCTGATAATGTACCTGGAGCATTCGGGGGAGAAAGAGGGATAGGACTCGTTCGACAAATACTGGTCGATCACAGTGCAGTGACTATCACAACAAAACGGAATGTCTTTGTGCCGGGAACGGGAGGGGGACCCATAAGCTCGAAAGGAGTTGGGCTGGCAGCAAGGGGTTAGCGAGATAAAGAGAAAGCATCAAAGAAATGCAGAGCGTGCAATTTGGTTGCCTAATATTTGTGGATGACGATCTCCGAGTTGCCGCCAACCATGGTGATGCCCCAACGCCACCAGCCGATGGCCTAAAAAAGGAGGTGTATTTAAAAGGAGTAGCACTCACCTGTTGCGGGCCCTGACGACGGCTCTTGATCAACTCGCGGAGCTGCATCAGCGTCTCGGAGTGTTGGTGAGGACCTGAATCGAGATAACAGGTAAGAAATATAAAGGCAATTTTTCCCACACACGGATTTTCGAAAACTGCTGCCGAGAGCGCGAATTCCGGCAAACTCAGTTTCAAAAAATGATCGCGCGTGTCGGAAAACTTACCATGAGCATGATGTGAAGCCACTGCCAGCTCAAGACTCGGCTCCTTCTCGTGATCGGGCAGCGTGGCCGACTTGTTCTAAAAAGAAACAACACTGAATCAAAACCCGAAAACCGACATCCTCAAGCTCAATCCAGAACTTCCGAACTTCAGGGCGCTCGGCGCCGTACGTCATGAAGACGAAGTAGGTGGTGCGGCGCCCGAACGTCTCCAAATTCATCGGGGTGAACGACCAGGTGGACAGCTCGTAGTTGCCGAGCGGGGTCACGTGGAGCGACATCTTGTCGTAGCCGCCGCGAAGCTCAAAATAGAGGCGCAGCTTCGTGTCGCCGACTCGCTCGCGGTCCACCAGCTTCACATCGATAGGGTACGGGACCTTGGGGTAGGCGGGGACGGCGATCCAGCGGGAGTGACTAAAATGGGATCTTTTTTTTGTTAGTCATAAACGTAAAACCTTACACACTTTGTCTAATAATAAAAAATATAAATTTTTTGATACTTCAAAGCAATGAAAGTATTTTCTACCTTGGTGGGAACAGTTCATGGATGGCCGTATAATAGGGCAGCTGACAATATTCGTCCTTGGTATGATCGCAATTTGGAGGCTCGCTGCCCTAAAAATGGATCTAAAAAATAGAATAGTATGAACACAAACCGAGAGGAAAGAATGGGCTGGAAGGTCAGCCACACCGCGATAGTCCAAGGATTGGATGAAGAGCCCGGTGTCATGAGCAGTACGGGCACCCGAGAAGTCGTGGACGCTACGAGAGGCATGCTAAAGAGCCTGTAACAGCTTAATCAAGGCTAACTATACCAGCGCAATAATCCGGCGAAGTCTGGGGTTCTCATGGGAATACTTGTACGGGAAGCCGAGCGACGTCATCGACAGGCAGGCAAAGAACAACAAGAACCCGCACAGGGCCAGCTTGATCAGGTAGTTCATCTTGCGCGATATGTAGATCAAGTTAGACTACAAGGAATGTCAGCATATTCGGTAAAGCTTACCGTAAAGAGGATGAACGTGTAGGCGATGACGAGCGCGAGAGGGGCCATGACGAGCTCGGGGTTGACGGCGTTGCCGAGGCGGCCCATCACCGGCACGAAGAAGTCGACGCACTGCGAGATGGCATAGACGGCGAAGACTAAAAAATTTTGTATGGTAGGTACATTTTAAACTACCGATTATCGGCGCATAGCAGACCATTTGGGCGTAGAATACGACTTTTGGAGTGACGTCTAAAATCAAATCAGAAGAGACGAAAGGTGCAGCTTACGCTCAACAATGCCAAAGATGCCCAGCAGACAGATGAGCGGGTCTTTCAGAAGCGGGAAGAGCACGTAGTTGAAGATGAAGAAAGCCGACGCGATTTTCGAGGCAGTCATCACGAACAGGAGGAAGGCGAAGACCAGCAGCACCGAGTCGCAGTGGGCCATTTCAGCGGAGCGCATCTAAAATTAGCTCAATTCAATAATAAAGTAAAACGGCATACCTTGGTCGTCGACGCAAAATACGAATGCGTGGCAGCGCCGGCGATCAGCATGGGAAGCACGTAGAGACCGCCGATTGTCTCGGGCAGAGCGTACCTATAGCAAACAAATTATCGACAAGCACATCGGCTTTTTTCGTATTTATTATTTAACGTAATAAACGCACCAACACATCACCATGTCCAGGGAGATCACCGCCGTAACAACAGCAACCATCGTCAACACCATTGCGATCAAAGCCAGCAAGTGGTGGACCAGGGCCTCGAAGATGTCGGAGAAACCTAAATTAATTTATCCGGAAATGACGATAGACTACCGTAAGTTCCCTTCCTCAGTCGGAAAGCCACCAGGACCACGACGAAGAATGCGGCAGCGTAGTTGAAGCATTGAGCTGAAAAAAGCATATTATGCATCAATCAATTAACAAACCGGCCGCAACCGTGTAGTAGACGGTGAACAGGCCGATGACGTCGTAGAACACCCAGCGATTACCCTCATCGAAATCGGCGGCTTGGCGTAGGTAGGGGGAGGTGATGATTTTCCGAACCTAAATTTCGGATTTTGGGGTGGACGGGACGAGACGAACCACGGCCAGGATATTTTCTCCAGCGCGTTGGATGGCTCCAGGCTCGATACGCCACTCCTCGTCGAATTCGGTGTGGTAGACCCATCCATTTTTGGTGTAGGCTATGTCCAGTCCTAAATCAGGAATTCCACAAAAACTTTTAGTACGGACCGGAAACGCGGCCGTGATCGCGGAAGATACGGAAATCGGTGTCCGAGGGGATGATGCCCGATTGGAATACTTCTTGGGCAAGCACTAAAAAGTACATATAAAATTTTAAATGGCTTAGAACCTGAGCAAAATGGATGAGGGGCAGCCTCGAGGTAAGTTTGCAACAGCCATGAATTTCCTGGTCCAGCTTGGAACAGGATTTCGCGGCCTCCGGAACCGGTGCCCTCGAGGTTGATGAAGGCCTAAAAATCTAGGTTTTCACGGAAGTTTCAGCAAAACCTTGATAGAATGACGCCATGGGTGCTGTTCGATGAATCCATGAGCGCCTTGGAGGAAATTCTCTTCGGCTGGAAAAGAAAGTCTCGTAAAAGCGGGGTGCAATACCTCCGTTGAAGAGGAAAATAACATCATTTTCAAGCGGTTCCTTTGAATGGGCCAAAACGTTGAGAATCTCCATCATGATGGCGCAAGAGACCTAATTCAGAAATTTGCTAAAAACTGTCAGGTCGAACCCCATCATCAGTGGCTCCAGGCGTATCAGGCATCGTGTCGAAGTGGCAGTTCAACAACAGGGCGCTGTCAGATGGCTTTCCCTAAAAATAATGTTTTCAGACTCGATGACCTAAAAGTTTACCTTGCTTCCAATGCGCACAACCAGATTCGTCACCTTCTCATAACACAGCGTGAAGCTGGAGAGAAATTTCAGGTCGAAGCATCCGGTGGGGCGTTGCACGTCACGCTAGATTTGAGGTCAGGAAATATTCTGTAATGTACCTCGACGCGATTGACGCCGATCGCGGTGACATTGCTTTCAACGGCATCAAGCTGGCGTAGCAGTAGATTAAGGGCGGCACGCTGAAGGGAACGAGCATACATTTTTGTGCGAGATCTCACTTCAAGACTATCCGAACCGCTCGGGCGTGGACCGATGGCCGTCAGTTCCTTCAGCAGGGCTCTAGCGTGAGTCTCGGAAAACTGGTTGAAGTGAACGTCGTCAACGACCGGAGGCATGCGCCTAGAAATATGAAATACGATAAATTGATCAATCGAACCTGTGCAAATAGATGACACCGCCATAGATACCGGCGACAAAGACGACCAGCAGGAACCAATGACGGAAGCCGAGGTTTGTCTAATAAGAAAAAAATCCGACCATGGAAGTTTACACTACCACTTCAAGCTTTTCCGGCTCGAAATCGACCGTCTCGGTCTGGCTTGCATAAACAAGCTTCTCGCTCGCGGCATCGTAGCCGGCGGGCACCCGTCGGCGGATTTCCATGCAGCAAGCTTCAACAAACAACATTTAGAAAAACTAGCCAAGCTTTAACACCAAAAATAGCCATACCCGAAGCCAAGGAACTGTCGTTCAGTGTCGAAGACAAACAGGAAACATTCCTTTATTATTTCAACCACTCGGATCAATAAGTTAGATGCTCAACCCAATGACATTGGTAAGAGGGATAAGTTCATAAAGATTTTTGGCACTATACTGGTTAGGGGGGGCCACTTTGGGTACCTATTAGGAGAAACTTTTTTCTCGCTTTTTCGAGTCTTTCTGGGGTAGTTTTTTACACTGAGTGCGATTAGAGTCGCAACAGCATGCCATGCCGTTGGGTTTATCCAGAAAAACTTCGTAAAACTTTATTAATAAAAAGTGTACTTATGCACAATTTGAGGCTTGCCGCATTGTCAGGCAAGGCGGGCCGTCGCTTCGGATGGGCTGCCGCTCCACTCTTCCGAAATCGGGGCGCCTGGGCGCTTCGCGCTCCTCGGGCGCCCCTATTTCGAAACCCTGTACGAGCTCGCACCCATCCGAAGCGACTAGGCCCCGGGTGGCACGAAGCCTTATTTTTAGGTCAATACCGAATGTCTGCATCTCTAACGCTTAACAAACGTTTAGGTAATGATGTTTGACTACTCTGATTTTGTTATATTCGGAACCAGCACAAAAAACTAGCCTAGAAAGACTCAAAAAATCGAAAACCAAAGTGGCCCCCCCTAACCAGTATAGTGCCAGATTTTTATATGGACCAGGAAATAAATCGCGGGGTCAGGCGATACTTGGTGCAAGTTTTGAACATCAGAGAGAGAGAACTTTAAAGTTTTTGCAAAACAAAAAACGATTCCCTAACTATAGTAGAAAACTTAGCAGCAAATATCGCCATATTAACAGAAAATGGGGGATAGTCAACGATAACGATGTCACAAATTTATCGGCGGCGACGATCACGGTCCCGATCCCGCTCATCACGACGACGGTCCCGATCGCGACGGTCACGAGAAGTGGAGCGGCGACGGCGATCCCTCGAACGCGAACGACTAAACAGCGATTTTAAGTTACCATATTTTCTCAAAAAAATCACCCCGGAATTTTTTCCATCAACTTGGAGCTCAGATTTCCGATTACAAAAACAAGATATTGGTTTGAACTACCGAATCTTTGCAAAAATGAAGCTTTATTTCAAGGGCTTTTCATTTCATTTCAAAAAAGAATCAATTTCAACAAGGCTTAATCAGATTAGAAAAAAAAGGCAAAAATCAAAGGTTTTTTACCTGCGGCGACGGTCTCGGTCACGACGATCACGATCACGGTCCCGATCCCCTCGGTCGCCACGATCACGACGGTCGGGTGAGCGTCTAGGAAAACCAATTCAGGACTAATATCGAAATTTACCGGTCCCGTCCGACAGCCCCTTTCTCGTTTTGCTCCTTGCGACGCTGTTCAATCGTCTCCTAAAAAGGGGTCTCCATTAGAAGTGCCTGAGATCGCCAATGCAAAATTCAAAAACTGTCATACGGAATTTTGGGGAGCTACCATCTCCCAGGATATCACCGCTGTGCATCGACGCGCAGAGAGCCTCAAGGAATCGCAAAAGAAACTTGGACCAACCAAGCAACCACCGGGGGTTTTTATGAGGGGGACATGGGATGAGGGAGAGCGAGATGCGCGAAATATCTAAACCTCTTCAGGGCAACCCACGGATGGGAAAACAACAGCGGGGACCGGCTCAGGGCCGAGTACACTCTCTAGCAGGCCAGCAGGGTGGCTCCACGGTTTTCCTTAAAGAGGCGAGCAGTCGACAGTGCATTCGGAGGTGACGGTCGATAGGGGCAGCCGGAAAAACTTACTCCCATCTCGGTGAACCGCTCGCGGACTTCAACCATGCCGAGGTGCATCTTGCCGCCAAAGTGATCGGCCAGCCGAGTCTCGTGATCCATGATGTTCAGCTGAAACTGTCGGACGTCGATTTAGTGCACGAGAAAATTGATTTCAAACGCTCAGTTCCTTAGCACCCCAAAAATTATGCAAGCAAACCTGAGCTCCACAGTCCTCGCAGACACGAAGACGCTGGGCAGCGGAAGTTCCACCGGCGGCCCGAGCCTCCGACTAAACATAGGGATTATAAAAAACGGAAAAATTAATAGTAAATCCAAAGAAGTTCGAAAATTACCTTCAATTCTTCTTTGCGCTGCTCCAACTCTTCGATCCTCTTGGCGCAGTGCATAGCATCTTCAACGCGGCCTTGAGTGCCCAGTTCCTCGGATTCGGTGACAAGCTTGCGGATCTGTTCTTCGATCTCACCGATGCGCTTCATCTAGAACAATAGAAATTTACCAAAATAAAGCATATCCTAACCTTGACGATCTCGGCGCCCTCGCCAGCCTCGCGACTTTCACGGTCAAGCTTCATTTTGGTCTTGTCGATCTCAGAGTCGATAACTCGAATCGTGTCTTGCAGCGTGTTATAAAGCTGAAATTCGTATTCTGAGAAGCGCTCGAATATGATACCTCAACGTCGTAGAAATGATCATTTTTGGCCTGAGCGCCTTCGTAGTCAGCTTTATGGGTCGGTTCATGCATCTTGCGACAAGCCACCAGATTTTCAAGTCTAAAAATAACATAAAAAGTCAAGATGCGGGAAATAACCTGGTATCCTGTAACAATTCCGCAGGACAACACCCTAACAAGTAAGCACGGCAGACGGTGTGGTGACTGTAGGGCGGCAGATTACGACCTGGGAGGAAAAATGAGGCATGAAAATCAAAACATACCTTCTTCCTTTGCACGCTGATCCCCCATCAGCCCCGCAATCATTTCTCGCATGGCATCCGTCATGGCGACGGCTAAAAAGTTATTGAAAAAAAAGAAAACTTTTACAAGCGATGGAAAAAAGCCTCTAAGAAAACCAAATATTACAGCGACCATCGCCAAAAGGAATAAACCGAAAGTTGAACCGAAATTTTTATTCATCTCTGTCCTATCAACAATAAAATGTACACAACTACGAGATACTATATTCAACCCGAATAAATTAAGCCTTCTTGTTCTTTTCGGCTACTTTTCTTGCGATCAGACGTCCATATTGGGTGCCCAGAAAAATGATGATCAGCAGGCCAGCGATTAGTTGAAGTACTCTGTAAAAAGTAGTGTAAAAAGTTCTACTGTCCAAAACTTACTGTCCGGTGCTAAAAGTTTGCTGCAACTGTAGGTCAACACCTTGCTGGAGGGGAATGCCCATAGACGCTTCAACCTGCAAGAATACTAATGAAGCCAGCTTCAAAAGAGCGTACCCGTCTTATTTCCGCCCAGAATTCGGCAGGCGTTTGATTGGCGTTGATGGTTACAGTTTGTTTCCCGACCTAAACAAAAAGTAAAATATGGAGAGATGGGCGAACCAAGCGTCCGTCCACCACCGCGCCATCGTGAAGCACGGCAACGGCCTTCTGTTCGGCAGGCAAATAGACGATCTTGCGAACCTAAAAACAAATGTAGACCAGAAAATGGGCCCAACCTCGCCGCGCTTCAAGTACTTCAAGACGAATTCTTCTAGTGAGGTCCCAGGATCATTTATGGCATCTCGGGTTACTTCTAAAACAAAGTTAGATAAAAAAAATATACGGTACCTGGATTCTTCTCCGCTTCTAGCCGAACTTTTCGAGTCACCAGATAAATGGTTCCCGTTAGAGATATCGCCAGCATGGACATTAGGTAGATTCGCAGCCTTTTGACTAAAAAAAAACAATAAGAAAAGCGAGAAATCCCTTACTCATTTCCGGAGATGGCGGTGGCGGCATCTTCTTGTCATCAGAGTCCTTTTGCTCATTCGAGGATTCTTGATGTTGTTCTTCTTTTTCCGCGTGCTGGCCCTTGTTCTCATGGCCCTTTGTGCGTAACCCTCGCACAACTTAAAAAATTATGTAAACAAAAACAAGGGATCACATCGAAGTAATGCTAACCTACTTGTGAAGGACGTGGAGGGGGTGGTGTTGGCCAGAAGGGCGAGTGGAGTTGAAGGCGTGCGGCAGAGCTTTGTCGCACAGCATCTCGAAATCAATATGGCACGAAGTATTTTAGTCATGTTTTGAATGGTTGCTTTTTCGTCGGCAAGGCAACCGAAGTGGTGGGCGCGCGGGGTGGCGTCGTTCAGGGGAGCGTAGCGGAATGTGTCCGGGGCCGACTGTGGCTTGAAAATTGTTTATTTTTAGAAAAAATTATAGCAAAAGTAGGTATATTTATTTGTGCTTCTAAGATTGGGCATTTTTCTGTAGATAGCCGACTGCTATCGACATTTAGTTTTCGTCGGATAAGCATCAAAAAAAACCGGCATTCTAGATTTTGAAAACATTTATTTTGAAAAATCTATTAAACAGATAAAAATTTCAGTTAATTCGGAGGTGTGGAATGAAAATTCGTAACTATTCTGCAAATATTGAGCGGGATGATCAGTTTATTTGTTTTAAAAATAAGCACCAAAAGTTATGATTAATTTCAAGGCATGTATTCATCACATAGCAAGATATAACCCGTAAAATGATCAACCGGTAGCAGCAATTCTAAAACAAATTTCCGATGTCAAGCCTTCACCGAGGCATATATTTTGAGCGCCTTGTTCACCTTGAGGCTGACGCAGTTCTTCATTTTTGTCAAAAACCACAGGCCGTTGATAGCCTGGCGGGCCATCTGTAATGCAAGATTGTGGAAAAGTGTCAATTGTTTGCCTTATTTTCCACGCCTACGTAGTAGTTGTTATTGACGATGTAAGGATTGTAGCGTAGGCGTTCGTTTGTCGACATTTTGAACCTAGGAAGATAGATTTTATCATTACCTTTTTCTTGATTTTCAGGATTAGGTTAAATTTTAAAGTAGATTACGTTTTAAGCTACATAATATTACCACTTTCCGTCGGCCACTTCTTCCCAGGCGAATTGACGGCAGATTACGCCGTTGAATTGTGATTTGCACATTTCTTCGAGTAGATACTAAAGCGAAAAATGCTCCCGTTTTTCGATTAGCTCTACCTGATCATACAATTTCCGGTTAGCCACAAGCCGGCGTTCCATCTCCTTGAAAAGGGCCTGACTTCCAGAGGTCGGGTAGACGAGCATCGGGTCGAAGGCGTAAGTTTCGCCCTGAATTTTTTGGTTTTAACTTTCTTTTAAACCTGTTGTTTGTAACTTCTTCCTAACCACTTACCCGATGTGTATATCCCTTCGTTGGCACAATAATATCGGCATCTTCAATAGAATTTTGACTCGCAAAAAATTGAGCGGGGTCTTTAAACCAAACGGCGTCCGTTTCGAATAGTAGAAAAGTGATGCCGTCCTGGAATTTTAAGGTCTCGTTAAATCGAATAAATTACCTGAACGAGCTGCCTTAAAATCTGGGCTCGGATCGTTAGCAGATTTATATATTGCTGTAGACCCCATTCGAAGGCGCCCTCGTATTCATCGCCCAATTTTAGGTGTAGGCATGATACCTGTAATAGCGCTGGTTTTGGGGATTTCTTCGGGCCTTTGCGTTATCGGGGGGGGGACCAACTTTTTACGTAGTTTCCAATTGTTCTAATATTAAAATGGAAGTATTTCTAAACTCTTTTTACTATTCCTAAACGTAAAATCTTTGCTAATACGTATTAAATAATACAAAAAAGGTTTTTAGACCGAAAGTTCTGATTTTCGGACAAACTTTCAAAATTTGAAAACCTTTCAGATGAATTTCGCCTCCAATATAATTAAATTTTACCAAAAACGTTATTAAAACGCAATATATGTTGCTAGGCTCGCTAGACGTCTAGGGAAATTACCGCCCCCCCCGATAACGCAAAAGAACTTATTCTTTCCTGGTTACCTGTTTCCAGTCGTGTTTGATTTTTTTGCAAGTTAGGGCGCTGGTGGAGATGATGATCGTGCGGTCCAAGGTTTTCTAGGACGTCCAGATTACTTTTTTCTTTTTTTTTTTGGACTATGATTAAATTGTAATAGCTAGAAAAGTCGCTATAATTGATATAAATTATCTGTATTCCTTTGGCTAAAAAGCAAATATGGATCGATTCAATGGATAAATGATTAAAGTTAAGACTTTATTCTTGTTCTTTAGACACCCACATTCATCCCAGCCACATTGCACATCCAATTCAGCGTCAGATCCCGGTATGCCGAATTGATTAGGGTGACATACGGGAACCCTCCGGTTTTCTCAGCCACTTTTCGAGCGGTTGATACGAGGTTCTAAGAAATTAGATAAGCCTTTGAAAGGTTGAAATCACCTTCAAAAAGTCCCCAGAAAACTTGGGGAGCGGCGAGGAGGCGTTGAACGGCTTCAAAATGGGTTTGCCGATGGGCTGGTCGAAAGCTGCTTGTGCATTCACAACATAGACGCCGAACACGGTCTGAACGGAAGGAGCAACTTATTGAAGCTGTGAGCTGGTATGTTAGGAAAAGCTAGCGGCGGTACTGGTCTGTTAGCGGGGGGGGGGGGGTTAGCTAGGGGATCAATTTCCGGCAGTATGGTACTTGTCTGTTAGCGGAGGGGGCTAGCTAGGGGTGGAACCATTTTCCCCGATAATCCGGTAGGATACTATAATGAAATATAGACGGTTTTCATAGAATTTGACACAATTGGTTTGATGTAAAAGGCTCAAAAAATTATCGAAAATGTTGAGTTCTTGGTTCAAAACGCGCGAAAAATTACTTAAAAAGTAAAAATTTCAGTTTTTTTCAAGTATTTTGATCCTTTTTAGAAATCAAAGACTACTATAAAACGCCACAAAAATAAACATTATATTTGTAATAAGTATATCATGTTAATAGATATATGCGGAAAAGTAAAAAAAGCTCATCCCCCCGCTAATAGCTTAGTACCCTAACGGCAAATGGTTAGTGGCATAGCAAAGCTTGGTAGGATGATAGTATGAACTTAATTCTGTTAATACTTACCTTAACTCCCTTCCCTTCTGGAATATTGTATTTCCGTAACAGTGGCCCTTCGAAGAGATCCTTCTTCGTAAAGACACGTCTCGCATAGGGGATCGTGTATAAGTTGTAGAATAAGGACAACAGGTTCAGGGCTGCATATCCAAGGGCGAGGGAGACGAGCACGCGTCGCCACGATGGCAATTTCATCGGGGCATTGCTTCTGACTAGAGATGATTCAGATTGAAGATTTGGCGAGGGAGAGAGAGAAAGAGAGAGAGAGAGAGAGAGAGAGAGAGAGAGAGAGAGTGAGAGAAAGTATAGAAAAAGCGTTCGATACAGATCGGGGCCCGAATTGATTGACCCTCGAGCTGTCTTCCTGATCCCCGCCAGGGATAAGGGAAACCCACCGGAAGGGTAAACAATAATGACGGCTGGAGAATTTCCGCTTTTGATTCTTTTTCATTATCGGGGGGGGGGTATAATTGTTTTTCCTATAAGGGTAGATATTGCTATTAACATAATAATAAAAACCTTAATTCTGTTTTTAGCGAAGTTAAACTCTATTGAAAATGAAAAACTATCTAAAAACCCGTTTTTTGGTGAAAAATATATTTTTTGCATAGTTTAATAAAAACTTGTCGTTTTTACCTTCCAATGACCCTCAAAAATTTTTGAAACAGTTCTTCAATTTTTAGGGGAAAATTGATTAGAAAGAGAAAACGATAAGCTCCGCCCCCCCCCCCGCGATAACGCAGAAGCTCCCAGCTTTCAACAGACGTTATAAATAAAATAAAATTCCGATCCAGAGCGGTCAACAGAAAATCTTGAGCGAGATAGAGCGCCAAGGCTCGCAGAGTGTTCAGGCGGGATGAGCGTTGAGAACTAGTTTCGTCCGTGCTCGCACTCGTGCTCCAAAGGGGGCATTTAGAGGCGGAGGAATAGGGATTGGAAGGAGCAGGAGGATCGGGAGGTGCTGGAAATGCACAGGGAGTGGCATTAGCCCCCGTAAAGTGTATAAATCGGAGACTGTATGTGGGGTGCTTGAGGGGCTGGAGTTTTTAGAAAGGAGGGCGAATAGACGGGAGGTAGAAGACCGACTGTTCGGTTTTTTAAAGGCATCGGAAAGTATAGAGCGTGCTCGTATTTTAATCAACTTCGGCTTAACTTGGGCTTTGGCTCAGGCGTAGGCTTAGGCCTGGTCTAGGTATTGGGATTACTTCGCTGTCTTCCTAACCCCTTTAGAGAGTCAGGAAACCAGCGTAAACAGAATTTTCGCGGAATAACCTTGGGCGGCCCCCCATATGCATAGCGATTGGATGGGTGCGTGTGACCTATTTATTAGGGATCGACGGGTGGATCATCGTCATGACTAAATAGATATTAGAATAAGGTATAATATCCCCTTTAAAAATAAAAATTTTTGCGCAAATACAAAAACTAAAGCGAATGACACCGTTTGAAGGTGCAAACGGAAATCTCAAAAGTTTTTTCTTTTTTGAAATGTGAAAATATTTCTAAAAATCTTTATAAAAATAGCAAAAACGAGGGTTTTTTTATTGCTTTTACTCATGCAGATACTATACTTTACAAATTCGTTAAGAAGAGGGCAAACTTTCGATTTTTCGACCAAAATGGCGGATTTTGACCAAAAATTTCGAGGTTCAAATTCTTTAAAAGTTTGTAGATTGTTTTTCCAGTTGGAATATGGTTAAATTATACTAAAACACCATTAAAAATTTGCAATTACGTTACTAGACATTTATGGAATTATAGAAAAAAATTAGGTACCCCGAAAATGCGAAAGAACTAACAAAAATGTTTTCTGTAAAATTTTGTTTCGTCAGTTTGTTTATCCAGTGTGTTTTGTAATGTCATGTATTTCATATAATCAACGAAAAAAATCAATATTATTTATCCAAAAAACCATCGACACTAAACGTTCATCAAGGTCGAAAAATTTCCTGGAGACACTTTCCACACATAATTCAAAATGTAATTCATATCACAACGGGGGCGTGGGGGGACTGCATAGAAAAATGACGAATAGATTTGTTCGCTCGGGCAATTTCACAATTCATTAAATGGCTACAAAGTACAAAACGTAAACTGATCAATCGTTGAGCACATGGTCACACAAATATCGGAAACTAAAATAATAAAATTAATACAAAAAAAAAAATGCTTGGAAAAAAACGCGGGGGACAGCCCGTGGTGGAGGGATTGGATTGGTTGAGAAGACGAAAATTCCGGAAATGCAGGGGTATACTTGGGGTTAGGCTTACGTCTAGACTTAGACTTAGGCTTAGGTCCAGGCTTAGGCTTAGGTATCGCTTGGCTTAGGCTCAGGCTTGGGCTTAGGCTTGGCTTAGGCTCAGCCTAGGCTGGTTTTAGGTCTAGGCTTAGGTCTGGGCTTCAGCTTGGCTTAGGCTTAGGTTTACGCTTAAGCTTAGGCTTGGCCTTGAACCGCATTAACATGGTAGTACGGGGTATTTTTGGCAACATTTAGACACGAGTGGAAACTTGATCGTTGTGGCACTTTGTTGGGGGGTTGAATCACAGATGGGTTGTTCACGAAATAGACAGCGTTTCAATACGGAAAAAGCGGAAATGACAGTGTATATCGAATAGTATTATTAAAATTCAGTATTAGACGTTTTGCGTAGGTACAGCACACGGTATGGCGGCAGTGGAGGCGGCCGATTGGTTTTTGTTGTTAGCTCGGGACGCGGACACGATGGTTAGGGCGCGGAGCGATGGTAGTGATGGTGGTAGTAGTGCACTTTAGACGTCACTGAAATTGGTTGGGTGGTTAGAGAGGCGTTTAAGGTAAATTTTAGGATGGTTTAGGGGTATTATATAGCTTTCTAATGACACGAAAATAGACAATTTTTTGGAGGACAAAACATTTAAGTTGTTTTTGACGTCACAAAGCGCTTGTTATTTTTTTATTGAAGTTTTCATACATAAAAATACACAGTTTTTGGCGGTTACAAGTTTTTAATGGTTAAAATTGGTTCCTAAAGGTTATCTATCGTTTTTTTGCATAGATACCTCGACAAATAGCCCACGAATTCTCTTATAGATGCAATTTTTATAAAATCAGCGGATTTTGATGATTATTAAGCTTATTATTGCACACCCAAACCAGGACAACCCCCAAATTTAATTTCTCGTCAAGGAAATGAATTTTTGAAGAATAATATCGACGGTAATAACGGATAGGTTTCGAAAACGTATTAAAGGGATGACCAGCTTCAAATTTTTCTGTTTTTAGGCATACATAAAGTTACAAAATCTACTAAAACGTTATGAAAAAAAACAGCGAAATCACGAAGACGAGAGCCAGCCACCCCTTCAAAACATTGCAGTCAAGAGAAAGCGAGCATGAACTTGAGCAGGAAAAGCCTACGACGTCTCCAGCTTGTTGTCCATGATGAACTTGAGGAGCTGGTGCTCCGGCCCGATTCCCATGGCCATCTTTTGCGACACGGAGCAGGGCGGCCCCGTGGGCTGCGGCGGAAGCGTGGCTGGCAGGGGCGGGGACACCTGAAAAATTGGAGGTTGAGCTATAGAATTAACGCTTTAAGGGCGATTCAAGGACCGTAGTAGCCGGAATTTTTCACACAACAATTCCGGACCGCTACTAGCGACTGTAGAATTGTTGCTCGTGAAATTTGGCTGTTACAGCTCTGTGAGATCAAGCTCTAGAAGAATTAAGCGCTGGGGAAAATCATAAAACTAAAAAAATGAGAATAAAGTTAAGCACCAGCTAGGCCGAGTCGCCGTAGATGCACATGGTTCTTTTGAAACTTCTGAAATAGCAGCCAAATGTTAGTGAAGCACTATAAAGACCGCCAAAAAATTAGGATAAAGCCTAGATGATCTACAACTTTTTCTATGTAACTTTACAAAGTATCATGTAGAACCAATCTAAAATGATAGTTTTAATGAAATTAGAGAGGTGATAGTATAATTTTAACGCCTTTACCACTTACCAATGGCTCATGGATGATTGGAGGGGGTTGGAGAACGGGCTGATCGTCATCATCAGCAACAGGGGGTGTACAGACGATAGGCGGAGTATTTCGAGCAGTACAGCCATTAATAGACACTTCCGGTGGGTATTCGGGAAGTGTTTGAAGGGGCGAATCCAGCGATCCATTCAGCGTATCCGAGTCCTCGCCGATGCAGATGGTCGAGACGTGGGTTTTACCCTCATCGTCTCGTCCTCCATCCAAGTGGCTTCCGGTCGAAGATGAAATTCCGGATGTCGAAGACCCAAACGACTCCGAGGAAGCGGCGGTCGAGCTCTGGGAGTGGCGTCTGGAGTGCTGCTCTTGCATCCTGGAGCTGATCTTGCGGCTGCTGGCGCCGACGGCGGAGGAGACGTTCCAGGAGAAGCTGCAAGAATTCAATTTTTGACTTTTTTTCTATAGGAATTTCCTGATAAAATGTTACGAACTAGCCCTCAAAAATGCAAAATTTTTCGGGCTACAAACTGGTGTATGACAACGACTTAAAAATGGGCAGGAAAACCATCAAAATTGGCAAAAACAAAGTTGAACTAGCTTTTTGACCCGTGTTACTTGTTAGTGTCTTACCGTTTCAAGATCCCGGTCGGCATCGGTCCGCCCTTCGGCTTCAACACGTCGATCCCATCGGCCGTGTGGTAGCGCTTCTCAAAACGGCGACCACTCCCAGACGGCGTTTGATCGTCTTCCTCAGTCGAAGTGACGAGGAGGGCCGGGGATCCGGTGGAGCGGTCTTCGGGGCTGTTCGGTTGGGGTGATGAGGTTCTGAAAAAGGAGCATAAGCCTCAGGTGCTTCTAAGCCTACCTTGGTGTATCCCTCGGGGTATCCAGGCGCGAAGCTCTTGATGCCGATTTTTCGCGGGTAGGGGATGGGGTTCTGGATCTATCGTGGTCGTCGGGTAGTTCTGGGCCCGAGGAGTTGGAGCGGGATCTGGCTCTGGGTCGTTCGGGGCTTTGGGCGCGTCCTGGAAAGGTATAGGTAAGGTAAGGTATATGGATAGTTACGATAAGGTATAGTTAAGGTATAGGGAAGGCTTAGATAATGTCTAGGTATGGATATGTAAGAAATAGGCAAGGCTATGTAAGGTATAGGTACTCCACCTACCATTAGTATGCAAATCCACTGAGCTCTTGCTCTGCGAAATCGGCGCCGCGTGGCAGGACGCTACCGACAGCTTGTGAGCAGGAGGTTGCCGCCCGGCCCACTCTCCACCCATCCCTCTGTCGAGCTGCTCGGTTGATGAGATCGTGCCGGCTCTTCTCATGTCTGAAGCAAAAATGATACCTTAACTTTTTTCATTAATGTCGGACAATCAGCAAATCGTAACTGAAGCTAAGGGAATCGAAAAACGGTGGGTATCTTCATGAAATTCTAAAAACAACGGGAAATTCCTCTCTACTTACTCCGACCACGTTCCTGTTTGGGGCTGGCTAAAAAAAGGAAAAAGAGATCTATAACTTTTTGATACCTTAAACTTTCAGTATGCAAAAACTCACGCTGTAGATGAGCATGTGCGGCCGCGACGACCTGACTGTCCATGCTGCTGCTCTTGCGATGGACCACCGACTGCAGCGAGTGGGTCGGCGAGTCGAACGTCCGGAAGCTGTTGCTAAATTTTGAATTCTGGCTTTTTCAAAATGTGCTTACCCCCTGTAGAACTCGTCGAGCGGTGAGGCCTCTTTCTGAAGTTGGTACAGCTCATCCTTGGCGGTTCTGATCATCTCCTGGAATCGGCCGGTCTCCTCCATGCTGGCGGTGAACATTGTGTACATGGCGGCCGGGACGTCAAAGTCGCTCATCACAATCATGTAGAAGCTGCCTAAAAAGAGCTCGAGCTCAAAAACCCTGGACTTACACGCTTGATCCGGCAGCTGCTGGCACCAGATTTTCCCAATGTGAATTGGTGGCCGGGCGATTCTGAGCTTGTCGCCCTTCTTGTTCGGGTTCTTGCACATGAGCACCATGTCGGTGAAGATGATGCAGTGCATATCGGTCTTAAATAGATTTTTTTGGGGAAGTTATGATAATTTGGATACCTTCGCTCCTTGGCGTCCCTCCTTGACCTTGACGTCAGCACGCATGTGAACTCGTCGAAGTCGGTGTAAGCCGCCGCGAAGGGCCATCGGATGGACGAGGTTGGGTTGACCGCGGGGAGGGCCTTGTTTGGTGCAGAAGACCTGGAAAGGTGGCTTAGCGCAGGCTTGGTTTAGCTCGGCTTGTGCTTAAGCTTAGGCTTAGGCTAGGCTTGACTTAGGCTTAGCCTGGAGTTAGGCTTCGCTTCCAAAATCTCTCACCTTCTCGAACTCCTCGCTATCATAGTAATCCGCTCCATCTATACTCTTCATCACGTCGATGAGGTGCACCCGCAGGTCGTTGTTGTTCATCTCGAAGTTGAGCTGGTACGTCGCGGAGTCGGCGCTAAATTAAGCCATTAATAGGATGAACTTTCGTCTTACCGATCGATCATCAACTGGAGCATGGATTGCTCTTCGCTGTCCGTAGAGGTTCGGAGTACCGCCTAAGTTTTTTATAGACGAATTAAGTCTCTGCATACCTTTAGAAGAAGGCTATATCTCGTGATCCTCTGCATCGGGCACTTCAGCATGTCCAGCAGTTTTTGACGCCGCATCCCGTCTTGAGATTCGGCCCACTAAATCGGGGTATTGTTGCTTAAGGAAGGGCTTATCTACCGTCAAGAATTCTCTGAACAGCTCGTGCTCTTTCGCCTTTTTGCTGATGTAGGCATGGGCGACGTCGTGGCCAAGGTGGAATTCGATGTAGCACCGGGACCATTCTTGGATATCGATGAAGCCGCGCCACAGGTGGATCGGGTCGAGGGGACAGCGCTTTTTTCTGGAAGAAAGAAGCTTTAAGGTAACTATAGAGTAGAGAGCGCGTTCGTGCGCGTTGCCTGTCGTTCTCTAGAAGACATGCAACGCGATCGCGACGTGTGGATCTTTTTTGGGAATTTTGGGACTTTTAGGGGTCGCAAAATGTGACGTACCTCGCTTCTGATAGCATATGGAAGATGGCTCGATCCCAGAAGTCGGCATTGGCTTGGCAGAGCACGGTGTAGTTGAGGAAGACTCGGCGCGCATCGATATCTTTCAAAAATCCGTGTCGCTGGAGGTCGGTGAGGCTGCAGGAGAGCTCTTCCATCGTTCGTAGAAGCTGAAAAAGTTTATTGTTTGATACGCTCTTTAATGCGTCTCTCTCTCGCTCACACTGTCTCTCTCGCTCTCTCATTCACTCTCTCTTTCACTCTCTCGCTTTCTCTCGCCTTCTAAGTGTGTCTCTCCCTCTCCATCGCTCGCTCTTTCACTTTAGCTCTCCTTCGCTCCCAATCTCTGTCACTCTCGCTCTCTCTCGCTCTCCTCTATCTCGCTATCTCTCTCCCTCTCTCTTTCTCTCTCTATCTCTCTGTCTCTCTCTCTATATCTGTATCTTTGTATCTCTCTGTCTCTCTCTCTCTGTCTCTCACCCCCACCCGGAATTCCGTGCAACAATCCGTCCCCCCCCCTTTCAGACGAATATTTTCTGCAATAAATTGTGCCCCTGACCCGAGGGCCCACCGCCCAATGAATATTTCAAAAAACCCTTTGTCCGCCCGGTCCGGGAAATTGATACTCACTCCCCGGGCTTCATCGAATATTCTACTCCCGGTGGGGAAATTTTTTGGTGGCAGTTTAAAGGGACCGGGAAGCCAAAATTTCCTAATAATTTTTGAGTGCATAACCTGCACTTAATAAAAATAATACCCACCGAAATATAGTTGTACTCGGTGTTGACAATCTCCCAGATTGCCTCCTGCTGGTCGTGGGCTTTTCGGGAGAGGTTTTGCATCTAAAAAAGAATTCATAGGGATTTAAATGTTTATTTTCGATACGTTTGGCTTTTGCTTAAGCTTGGGTTTAAGCTTGGGCTTAGCCTTGGCACTTACCGTAGCCGGATCCACAATTGCCCTCCAGGATTCCTCAATGTCGAGCCGGGGGTCGGGGCGGTGGGTGGCTTCCCGGAACGAGTTCAGCCGGTTCAGCATTTCCGTCTTTTCCTGAAAAAAATACAGTCAACTGGCCATACCAAACATGATTTAGGTACTGTAATTTTTTTGGCAGCCGATCGGATTTTGCAAATTTTCGGACATTATGTTACGCTCCTATTTACATTCGGTTGAGCGTACGAATGTTCATTAAACCAATTAAGTAAAAATCCAGCATTTTTTACCTTTTACAAACGACGCTACGCTCCAAATGACGCACAGGTAAATATACTAATAGAATCGGCGCCATCGCGGGAGTATAAAAGTGAAAAATCACCCAACTAGCCTCATAAAACGCTACGTTAGGCTTCGAATGGCACTTGGACACTTAAAGTCACTTGGAAGCGCAAATCACGATGAGGTTTTTGAAGCAGTGCGTTACGCTCCTGATGACACTACATTTGATGTAATAACGACGGATTCACCGAGTTTGGAGACGCATTAAAGATAGCTAAAAGATTCTCCCCCCATTTCCACCAACCCAAAACGGGCTCTTCATCCCGGCCACCGTCTGCACCGAGTCATAGCGAAATCGACGGGCCCCACGACGTTGAATTTTTGACACAGCGTAACTCTGGGAATCAATACCCCAGGTGATGGAATATAGTAACAAAAGTGGGTTGCAGAGAAACAGAGGGCAGTTCGAGGTTCGATCGGGCCCTTATCAAGGTCTCGAAATAAACACCGAAGGCCCACAGCCTTTTTTGAGTGACGGGGGGTTGGAGGAGGGCAAAAAATTCTTGGCATTTTGGGGGTAAGATAAGGGGGATGAACCCCAGGTGCGATTACACCATCTTTTCCAAAATTGGTTGGGCTTCTGAGGGTAAGCTAGGAAAACCGCTCAAGAGAAAACAATTGTTTTTACGTTTCCTTGATTATGGCCTGTTTTAAAATATTTTAGAAAAGTTTTTTAAAAATTTAAATATAACGTAAATAGTTTTATTCCAGTTATTAATAGAAAAATGACTATAACCCAGCAAAATCTATCATTCTGAAACCAATAATTAATCTTTTTAGTGAATTCGAGCAAAAAGCAAAAAGTTTGTCGCGGCCAGGATTCGAACCCCGACCCTCAGATCGCTATTTCCAAGTTTTGACCATTAAGCCATGCCTTCTATGGTTAGCGCAGTCATTACAAAACATAACAGAAATTTTCGAAAGTTTAAAGCAAAAAGCAAAAGGTCCGTCAGTCCCAGGATTCGAACCCTCGATGCCATCTCATCAGTTCTGAACCCCAACCATTTAGCTATACCTTCTATGATAAGCACAATCCTTAAATTCATAATTTTCGCAAAATTCAAGCAAAAAGCAAAAAGTCTGTCAGCCATGGGGTTCGAACCCTTGACCCTCGGAACGTCAGTCCCAACTACTTACCATTAGACCACGAAAACCATACCCATTTTTTGTCAAAACCATACCGAGGCGGCCATTAACTCCGACAAGAATTCCGTGTAAATACACCAATTTCAGGAACTAGAAAGAATACGGTGGTCTACTAGAGGTGGGCGCGTGTGTTCTTCCTGCTGTGTTCAGGATGGGTGGGTGGAGGGGGGTTTGTCGTGCGGATCATCGGGGATGAGGCTTCACACCGCCCGGAGAAGTCGAGAAAGAAAGAACAAGAGGAAGAGAGGGACAAGACAAGAACAAGAATAAGACACAACCATCCTGAACCAACACCCGGCCTGGGTAGATGCAACATATGAATAGAATTTTGGCTTGGGTTAGGCTTGGGCTTCGGCTTAGGGATATGTATATGCTTAGGCTCAGGGTTAGGCTTAGTTTTGGGCTTGGCTTGGCCAGGCGTAAGCGTAGACTGAGGTTTGGTTTTTAGACCTAGGCTAGGCTTAGGCTTACGCTAGGCTTAGGCTTAGACTTAGGCTTAAGCTTAGACTAGACTTAGGCTTGGGCTTGGCTTAGGCTTGGGCTTGGCTTAGGCTTAGGCTTGACTTTGGCTTACCGTTAGGCTTGCGCTTATGCTTAGGTCTTATAACTAAAAGTCTACAAAGAGTTAAAGCTACCTTATCCCTACCTCATCCTCCTCCAACCTCATCGCCACCATAAAATTTGACTTCAGCACGACGGGGTCCAAATATAGCATAGCACAGGTTGACGGACCTTTTCAAGCCGTACAGCCCAGGTATTTTAGGGCGAAATTTCGAAACCAACGTCTCGGCTAGCAAATAAAAATAGACATCATGTCAATAAATATATTTTTGGGTTTTTGCGGGGGTGTTGGTTGGTTTGGAGGGTAAGTGGGTTGTACTACAAGGAGCAGTAGGTGGTCGAGGAGAACGAGGTGTTGCGGCTCAAGTGGTTTCTGCGCCGTTACAAGGTCAGGGTATGGTTCTTGGCATGAAAAGGCGAAAACGGAATTGTTTGGATAAAAAATTCTAGAGAAACCGAGCTTCTTGGAGCTGAGGATCAATTACGCACTATAAATATATAAATACCTCGGAAACTGCTAGCGTTTTAATACTGTTAAATATGATATTAAGCGTGGTAATTCTTCTTCTAGACGACCAATGACGCGGTGTAATTCCTACAGTTGTTAAAACGATACCTCACCAAAACCTTTAAAAAAAAATGCTGATATATTTGCCTCTATTTTCGAATCTCTTTTCCACACCCACTCAAAAACCCGATTCCCAGAAATCGCCCACTCCAACAATAATCATTATTTTTAAGCGGTTGGCCCGGGAAAATAACCACATTCTTCGGGGTATTGATTAATAAGCTGTGTAATTACGCTGTGTAATTACATACCTTTCCAAAGAACAGCGAGATACGTGAGGTCGATTGGGGGCGGATACGCTTCGACGAGAGCCCGTCGTCAATTTGGAGGCTTTCCGAGCATCCCGGCTCGTCGAGATGGGTCAGATCTCTGAAATTCGGATAAGGCATGAGCCATCGAATTAGATCATAAAATTAAAGGTATAGGCAAGTGAAGCATACGCTGTTATGGATTTTATACGGATTTTTCTGTGCCGCGAAATGCACGCGACGCCTTTACGTTGCGTCCTGGATTTTACGATCCATGGTTCTGTTTCATTGGCGAGTGGGACTGGCATTAGCCCCCCCCCGTTAACGAAACAGAACCAGATATACGTCGTAGATACGCAAGTAAATCCATAGCCTTTCCTTGCGAGCTAGTTCTCCCACTAGTTTTTGAGCTAGCGGAGATTTTTGAGGAAACTGCGGTAGGCAACTTGAAGTTGGCTGCGAAATTCGGTGTTAAAGAAATTTTCTACTTCCGCGCCATGTCATAAACCTTAATTTTTATGCGTAAATTTCTACGATATTCTGGATCCAAACTTCTATATTCTCAATCCTGATTTTGATGAATTTTGACGTGACTCCCGCTTCTACGCGCGGCCCCCCCGTCCCATTAGTCTCCCTTCTTGGCCTCCCCTTGTCATTTTTGGGTCCTACACGAGATGGGGAAGAGGCCCAGGAGGAAGAAGTGAACTAATTTGTCTTTATGTCTCTCTCTCTGGGTCTCTCTCTCCCGCTTTCTCTCTCTCTCTCTCTCTCTCTCGCTCTCTCTTTAGGGCACCGGCCGGTCAAAGAACTATGTAGGATACATTGCATCCCGCCGTCGCCTTATGACCCTTTTAACGTAATAAGCAGGGTCTCAAATTTTGCAGAAAATGAGAGAGAGACCGAGAGAGAGCGAGAGAGAGAAAGAGAGAGAGAGAGAGAGAGACAGAGCGCGAGAGCAAGCGAGAGAGGGACATTCAAACCGAGACAAATTAGCTCACTTCTTGGTCAGAACCGTTTAAACGTAAAGAACTTTTACAGCATTGTTGCCATCCACTCCCCCCAAAATTGATTTTTTAACTGATTTTAAATCCTTTTATCTATAGATCTTGATTTTCCGCCTTCTTTAAATAATAAAGACACGACAATTTTCCGCAAGGAGTCATTAAAAAAAAATTCGATTTTAAAACGAACCTGTGCGATGAATCGCGGCTCCTCGCCGAATCCAGCACCTCTTCCGATCCATTCGATCGGCTGCAATCCGACGTCTGCCTCGATTTGGCCAGCTGGAAAGACATCTTTTAGAATGCCGCGTAAGACTGCGGAAAACTGTAATTTATGTATGCCCCCCACATTCTCCTATTGCGTGCCCAAATCTGACTCTTGAGATGGCTAATCCCCGGTAGACAGCGTGCCCCCAGGCAAAGTCACTGTTTTCAGCGATCCCCAGAATGGTCTTCGGACGGAAAATCTCAAGAAAAGAAAATTCCATTTCGATCCGGGTGTGGATTAAAAGGAAATTGTTGTCATTGGTTCTAAAGGGTAGAGGATGGCTTTTTGGCCATGGATTACGATGGTCTGGCAGATTTCCTGGCTTGACACGCGACTCAAGACCCATTTTTCCTGCTTTTCGACCTGTATATGCAAAGCGGAAGCCGTCTTCCGCAACACGACGCTCTTCCGCACGAGTATCTCGGGAATCAGCGCATTTTGGGGAAGGGAGTGGCGATGCGCGCTCGACGCATCCGGACATTTCAACATTTGGACGCTGCCCTGCTCGGCCGCGGCACGCCGGCCTTTCTCTTTGCCCGACGGCAGATTGGCAGTGGCTGAACAAGGCAAGGGGTTTGGGCGCAAACATTGAAAAATGGAGAACGACTTATTGAAGGAGCTCAAAAAATTTTTGCGCCAGAAATAGACCACAAGGTATAGAAAGCGATGCGTATTCAGAACAATTTTTTAAATTCGATTAGCCTAAAGTTGAGCAAAACGTTCTTGGCGACGGCTTCAAGGAGTTCAGCTGTTTTTGGCAAAATAACCTAAAAATCAAATACTTAAATCGGCACTGCCTTACCGAATTTGTATTTATAGAAAGTGGCTCGGGATTTACAGGAGGACGAGCCGAGAAAAACTATGACGACTTCAAGGAGTTCAGATGTTTTGATTTACATTAGGAGGATCGATGATTCACACAGATTATTTGTAAATTGGAGTAGCAACTCGTTAATTAAAGGAGAACGAGCTAAAAAATTCCACAAATAAAGTGACGATTCCAAGAAGTTCAGGCTCCATTTCATCTTCCGAAATAATTACTGCCTCCTCGCCTGAACCCAAAATTGCCGGGTCTGAAAATGCGAAGGTGGAGAAGCCCCCCAAAAAACCCTCAAAAAATGGGATTAGAATAGATGCCGGGGTGATGGGGGCCCGAGCCGGAAATTGGGCACCGCTGGAAGGCGAAGATTTCTGGCCCACTAGGAGGGATGAAAACAATCTCGAGGAGTACCCAGACGTGTGCATAGGAGTCTAGCGGAACCGAAAAGATTGACTTCCCGGTCCCTTTAGCTTCAGCTACTTGCTCGTGAAATTTGGCCAATTTTGGGGCGAGTGCGCAGCTTTTGGCAGCCAGACAGTGGTGATTGGCCAATTTTTAGGGGGGTTCACGTCGAATCGAGACCTTTTTTGTAAGTGGATCTTCGCTATAGGGAGTTAATATGGAATTCCTAGTATTTCGTCTATAGTTTCGTACCCGGAATGTGAATTTCAAAAGCTTCGTTTTATAGAAATTTTGAGAGATTTTTCGTCAGTACGAGGCTTTACGTCTAAACGTCTAAACGTCTAAAAATCTAATAACAACCAGGGTTGAAAAGCCGCTTCGCGACTTTTCAACCCTGGCCCCGTCTTGGACCCCATACTATTCTGTCCTTTGCATAATTGTCCTCCATTCAGAAGACAAAAAAATGAAAAACAACTCCTGCTGCCTCTTTATATAGACGACTGCCCACTCCCGGTCTATGCTAATTATGCCTAACAAAGAGGTTTTTACAAAATCCTAAATTTAATAGCGAAAATGGCTAATTTTTAAAAATCTGATATGTGTGCAGTCATCCCTAGACCATTACGCACCTAATGACGTATCATACGTAGCCTAATACCCGTCCCTCCTTGAGATATCCTCCGGACAGACAGACGGAAGTGGATGCAAAGTGGCACACACACACAAACACACACACAGACACCATTTTTTTATATATAGTAGGATTCCGAGGACTTGTAGTTTTTGATGGTTTCTCAAAAAAGATGCAAATTTATTCAGGTTTAAACCACTTCAAAAAAATTCAAAAATACAAGGAACCGAAAGCGGCTAATTAGCATAAGGAATTTTTCATAAAAATTGCCCGACCGTTAAAAGACGCTTAAAACTAAACCAAAGATTTTCGCAGCCCTAATTAGCATATAGGTTATCCCTTAAAGATCATCTCTTTGTAGATAAATAAATTAACTCAAAAAGAATAGAAAACGGTAGAATTTTAGCAAATTGTAAAAACCCTGAAAAATCCAATTTTCACGCGCAAAGCCTAGCTCATTAAAAAAAAGGTGACCAACCCCGTGGCCTAGTTGCGATATTTGAATGAATTGCAAATCATGAGATTTTTCGATGGCTGTTCAAACGATAATTCGAATCCCGGGGAATCCCGAGGCCCAATTAGTATCAGAACGGAACGCGGAAGAATGTATTCAGACGGAATAGTGGTAGAGAGAAGGGGGGATAGGGGTGGTGCTGCTGGCTGGGTGGTTGGGTTGTGGGTTCTAATTGGAACGTTTGCATAGGAGCGGGGTGGGTGGCCGTCTATAGGATGGGGGCGGAACCAGCCGACCGGGGGGAACACAACCGCTACCCGGGTAAGGCTTTTCACTATAACGAAAACAAGCTGGTGTTAAGGGGTGTGTAGCGGAAATTGGGAGGTTAGGATGGCTAGACGCAATCTTAAATTAGGCTTAGGCTTGTTTTGGGTTAGCCTTCGCTTAGGCTTGGCTTAGGCTTTGCTTAGGCTCTGCTTAGGCCTGGCTTTGGCTTGGCTTAGGACTGGCTTTGTCTTGGCTTCGACTTTGCCTAGGCTTAGGCTTAGACGTAGATATTAGAATTCACGAGGTTTAAAGAGATAGTGACAGCCAGAATTTACTTTTTAAAGGGGCAGTGAGATTGTAGCTCGGCTAGCATTATGGATTGACTTTTTAAAGGGACACCTGGAATGACCCATTTCAAGATAATTTTTACAGCTTTTTTGTATTGACATTTTTTGGCCCCCTGAAAACCCGTTCCCATCCAATCAACCCACAAGAATAGCGACCCAGAACTCCCCGATCTCAAAAGAGATTAATTATCCCTCACAAAAACCCGCAATCTCCACGTATTTTCGGGAATCCCAAGTCAGGAATTTTGGGGGGCAAAAATTAGAATTTTGATTCCGTGCACGGGGGCTGGGGTGGGTGGTTGTAAAAATCAGGTTTTCGGACCGGGGTTGATGGTTGTAAACGGGTAAGCTTGGCTGGGAGGCTGGCGGCCCTATTCAGGGAGGGTTCCGTTTGATTCCGGCCTTGGTACTTGTCAACATTGTTCCGGCTAGCTTGATTAGGATAGAAAAAACAGATTAACCTGTCCTAATACCTTCAAAAGTTAATTTAGTGAATATCTGCTGCTTCAAAAATAAGCTGTGACGCAAAAAATAAGAACAGACTGGAATATTTGAAACTATAAAATTTAGCTTAAACTTAAACTGAAACTTAGAGCTCAATTTATCTAGGCAATCAAGCAGAGATTCTTTGAAAAGGTCAGAATTTGAAAACGCAAAAATTCAAAAATAAATTAAAATAGCAAATTTTAAAAAAACCGTAACTCGTGAAAATCTATTTCGACAGGCTAGCAGAGACCCTCAAGGAAAGGTGAAGTCCAGTTCGAGAATTTTTTGAGGGCAAGCTAGCAGAAACCATTTAAAAGCCAATTAAAATTTAAAGCCATTTAAAAACTGTCCAAAACTGTCCAAAGTACTGCATGGACCACGCGGGTTAGAATAGTTGAAGGGGTTCCTGGTGAGGGTGTGGATGGGTGTGAAGTGGTATTTGCCCGCTGGGGGACCCGCTTGACTCAAGGCCTTAGGGTCCACCCGCCCGGACCCCGGGTCGACCTTTTCTACACTGTCTCCGTCACTCTCACTCTCTCTCTCTCTCTCTCTCTCTCTCTCTCTCTCTTTCCCTCTGCCTTGAGGAATGCGCTGCAAACAACAACGAAGCCAATCAGAAGAATTAGCCGGAGGGTTGGGAAAGCTAAAAAATGGCCTTTATTTCTTGTAAGTGAGGCTTTTAAATCGACTGGAGGGGAGCTAGCAGAGATGATATAGGAAGAACTCGGTATTTTTAAGCGATTTGAACTTAGGCAAGCCAGCATAGACCATCGGAATTATCCAAAATCTGGGAAGCTAGCAAAAGTTTTTTTAGGCTTGAAAGGTAAGCTAGCAGAGATTCTTCAGAAAACGCAAGTTTTTGGGAATAATGATAAGATGATGACTAGCAGAGGTCCTTGTGGAATTAGAAGAAAGGCTAGCAGAGACCCTTGAGGAAGCCGATACTTTCGGGCAAATCGTAAAACGACCGGCAAACTAGCACATGTCCTTGCGGAAATTTAACGACTCTGGGCAAGCTAGCATGGGTTCCGTAGGCACCCTAATTTATCGGAAAAGGGGGCGAACTAGCAGAGATTCTTGGCGAATCGACAGGCTGGCTAGCAAGGATTTTTCTCGAACCCAAAATTTTTGGATTAAAACACAGGCCAAGCTGGCAGAGGCCCGATGTGGAATTGAGAAATATTTTGAGCTTTACATGCCAGGTTGCAAAAGCGATACCCCCGACATGCTTCTAGGACTAATTTGTTTCGGGTTCCGTGTTGTCCGGGGCTGCAGCCCCAACCCAGGCCAGGGCCATAATTAGACCCCCTAGCCACGCAGCAGCCAGACGATTTTGCCGCATTTTACCACCGTTTTTATTATTGTTTTGCTTTGCATAAAACCTTTGAACCTACAGTCTGTCAGTCAGGAATCTACAAAAAGCTGCTCGTATTGACGAAAAAAATAGCATTTCGAGTTGTTAGTTCTCTTAATCTAAGATAACCCTGAAAAGGCCAAAACTTGTCAAGAATTTTTCTAAAAAGCGTTCGTTGTTGCCAAAGAAAAGTCAAATTAATTTCAAAAATAAATGAGGTACTACCCAGTACAATGAATAACGAAATTCCGGCGTTCCTCTGAATTGAGGGTGGCTGGCAAAAAGCAAATGGGGGCTCCGGAATGGAGAGCAGCTCTTTCCATTCTCTCGATTCCATGCCTTTACGATGGACGCGAAGAGGGGAGATAGAGTATCTGGGTTTTCAAGGGAGTGTGACAGCTGCATTTTGAGTGGCCAGTAGCATCATTTGCATAAATTCAAGCTCTAAAATTCGGCGAATGAATCAAAAAATTTCTTTGGGAAAATAATGTAATAAAAATTCTATAAAGCGCTATCGTAAAAATGACAATATTGATTTGTAAAACGCCAAAACAGAATTTTGTAAAATAGAAATTTCAGTTGGAGTTGGTGCTGAAAAGAGTATGTCAGCATCTAATCCTCTGAGTATTATCCCCTGAGGAATCCATAAATGTTAAGGCGGCTCGGAAAAAGTACACTAGACGCCGTCAACAGGAAGTTGGCGGCCTGATTTGACTTGTGAGGGCAGCTTCTCCTAGTATCCGGCAGATGTGAAATCTCGGTACCTAAGCAGCTAGCATAGCCCCAACTACCGTATTGCTTCGCCAATCTCGAGGGTATAACACGATTTTTTGGCATTGCCCTGAGACCCTGCGGCTTGTCAAATCGGGTCTCACGAATTTGTAGCTGCAATTACCATTTTATTCAGGCATTTTCCCTGGTTTTTGGGGGCGTGGGGCTGGGAGGGCGTTAGGATTCCCGGAAGCTGGGCACGCTGCGTCAAAGCCATTTTTTGGAGGGTGGGATCGATTTAAAGAGACCATTTAAGTTGGCTAGGTTTGACAGCTACATGGTACACCAAAAGACACATGCATTCTTGTTTGTGCGAAGGGTCCTATAGCTATAGGAAGGGATTTAGGGTGCTGCATGGTGTATCGCGGAGCGGTCTAGACCTAGACCATCGAAGGAGTCGATTTTCCCGCTTCTAAACACCTTTAAAAGTCCCGAGGTGGATAAAAATCGAAACTCTTCCTTTCACTAAGTCTCGAAAGTTACGGCCCACATCAAAAATTTTTTTAATTATCGCGGCGGCGGCAAGTTCTATGAGCCATCAAAACATGGGCAATACGTAATTTGGTATATCGGGTAGCTGTCTAGGCCTAGTCGCTAGAAGGGGTCGATTGTTTCGTTGCCTAGTCCCTTTAAAAGGTCCGCGATAGGTGATACCCCAACTTCAACCCACCATCTTGGCGTTGACGAATGACGTCTTGCGGGAGATGGCGTCCTGTGACACCTTCCTGCCCCTCTCCACCGTCTCGTCCATCGACAGCGTCGTCCGCGCATTCCGCGACACGCGCATCGTCGAGCGACCTGGAAATTTGGAGATATTAAATACGTTTTAAAGAGTTACTCTGAGACGTGACCAGAAGTACGGATATTTAATGTTTTCAGGATTGAACCAATTCAGGGCAGACGAGCCAAGGTTCTTTGGGGATCGGAGGCGAACTAGCACAGTTCTTTTAAAAAAACACGCCGTTTTGACGAGAGGTTGAAATTGGGCGGCAAACTAGCAGAGATTCTTGTGGAAACGGGAGGCAAACGAGCCGAGTTCTTTTGGAAAACCTCGTCTGTTTGACATCAGCTTGCTAGCAGCAAGCCAGCAGCAAGCTAGCAGAGACAATTGTGGAATCAAAAGCCCGGTAAAAGCTAACCATTTTTCAGATTTCCGGGTAAGCTAGCAGAGGTTTTTGAAGAAACGGGGGCTAACTAGCAGAGATTTTTCGGGAAATCGCATGACATAGTTGTTTTTAGGTTTAAATTTGCTGTGATTTTTTATCCCATTTTTTAAATTATGGATAAAACGGAAATGATTAATACATCTGATACCGTATTCTGTAAATCTCGGAACATTTTGATCCATTTTTGAGTGATCTTTGGTGTTGAAAAATTCTGGACTCCTTTTGTCAAGGGCATATATCAATTTCCGGATATCTATGACGAATCGCTGCTATGTACGGTTCAATTTCGATTATGCCAACAACAGGGAAAAACAATTCCGTTCGACAACGCGACGTCACGATCGCCGAGGCGACGGCAGAAAATTGGACAGGTCTCTTGGATGGTATAGTAATTCACCCTACGCACTCAAGAAAGTGAAAACCCCCGAAAAGTGAAGGTCGGTTTTGTTGGTCTTACCGGGGGGTCAAAGGTAAATCGAGGCGTCTTTAGTAAGGCAAGAGAATCGGTGCAAAACTGGGGTGAAAGTCCTTCCCGGCCAAGGGGGGGGGACGATTAAAGAGTTTGGGAAGCCAAAGAATAGGGCAACCAGACACTCCGATTTGCAAGAGGTCAATAAACCTGGCGATCCGAGGGGTTTTGTGAAAAAATGTGGCGAGATGTAGGGTGAAATTCGGATATGAAAAAAGAAGTAAGAGCAAGTCAGAAGGAAAATTTTTTAGGAATATGTTTACAAAAAGTTTTGGAAATCACAGAAATCTCTGAAAACTGTATAAAAATAGCCGGAAAGCCGGAAGCCGGAAGGGTTAAGTCCGGCTGATTAGAAAAAATAGTATAAATCCGGAATAACTGAAAAATGGAATCCGAAAGAGCCAACAAGGATGCATCCGGAATGCATCCAAAAACCGGAAGCCCCCCTTTGAGGACCAGCTTACAATGTAAGCAATCCCCCCAATCCCCCGCAAAGACAAAAACCCTGGCCGTGGCAGGCGGTAAGGGCAAAAACTGGAATTTGTACTCCAGTGGGTAGGTGGTACCTGGAATTGCCAGAGACAATACGCAAAAAAGGCAAAAAAGGGCTTCATGTAGTGGGGGAGAGAAGCCAGTCTTCGGGCGGCAGTGGAAGGTGGTATTCCCTGGGTGCGCGTTGGAGGGTGTAGCATTTCGGAGGGGGGGGGGAGGGTATTGTCTTGGTCACAATAGGACGGGCCACAGGGATGCAATCGGCAAAACAGGACCCACAGGATGGGTAGGTCTCGAAGATCGGGCATCGTGCCAGCTTCGGAAAAAGTTGGGACTACTTAGATGATATAAGAATTAGGCGAAAGTGAACGAAGGAGCGAGAGAGAGAGAGAGAGAGAGAGAGAGGGAGAAAGAGAGAGAGAGAGCGAAAGAGCGAGAGAGAGATAGAGAGCGAGAGAGAGCAAGTTTACGTGAGGGCGGCTCTTTTCCGCTGAAGGAAAAACGAAATAAAAACCTATCGAAAAACGCCTAATATAAAAGGGGAATTGGGCGTACTGCTATTATGACAAACAGGCAAGTTTGGAACGCTACAGCTCCGTAATACGGTATCCGAGTCGTCGAACGGAAATGCGTTTAAGGCGAATTCACAGTACTGTAGCGGAGTCGCCTAGCGTCATGAGGAATGTTTCGGCGTAGGCATGAAGCATCGCAATGTATTAGAAGCGTCTACCGTAAACAGGAATGATTTGGAAGGGTTGACAGTGGATGAAAAATTGTCGCGACCGCCACAGCTAGCGTAAATAGGAATTTTTCGTAAATTTGGCAACCAAAACCGCGTAGTAGCGCAAAAAGGTATCAGCTGGATTTTTCGAGCACCTGTAAAAACCTTTAAACATGCTAGCCTCTATTTAAACTCAAAATCCCAAGCCGACTTCGAAAGGACACCCCAAAACTGAGTGTCAAAAAATTCAAGATCCACCAGACCGTTCTCGTAATGAGTCGGACTCGAGTGAGTAACGGTCCCCACCTGCTAATCCCATTCAATTCACAAAAACACGAGGTAAGGGGTGAGGGGGGCTTAAAATCGAGAATGAGGTGGGGAGAGGAGTGGATGGGAAGAAGGAAGGTGGGATTTGGGGGGGATCTGGGGTGGTCGGCTAGGGGGGTAATCCCTCGATTAGATGGCACAGAAAAACGGGGCGTTGTGATGATTTGCGAATTTCGGTACGAGAAGGGCGGGGCCCGAAAGGAGGTGAAGGAAAAACAAGATGAACTAGACGAAAATGATTGTATTTTTAAGGCCCCGGGCGCACCATGTCGTGCTGAAAACGTGCAGAAAACCGAATACGTTAATAACCGTCTATTCCAGGCGATTCCAGAAGTGTCCATAGGCGTGCCACGTAGTCAAAGCATAGTCGAATTCGAAATACAAAAAGATGCGACATTCTTCTCCAACCCATTCCATTCTATTCCAAATGACACGTCCCCGGGCACGTGACCCCGATTCTGCCCAAATTCTTTGCAATTTTGGGGCTAAAGCCCGTGGAGACGAGCTTCGCTTTGTTGACTTTGGCCCGGGAATCGGGAGGTTGGTCTTATAGGGGTGGAGGGCAATTTAGAATGGCCTGCAAAATTCTTTTGGGCCGTCAAGAGGAAGGAAAAAAGCTTAAAGCGGTTCTGAAAGACGAATATGACCAAAAATTCACCTAGTTTAAGAGACTTAGGCGGAAGCGTCGGCTTGGCTTAGACTTGGCTTAGACTTGGCTTAGGCTTGGCTGGGCTGGGATTCGCTTAGGCTTCGCTTAAGCTTGGCTTGGGCTTGGCTCAGGCTTGGCTTAGGCTTGGCTGGGCTTGGTTCAGGCTTGGCGTAGGCTTTGCTTAGGCTTCGGCATAGGCTTGGACTTAGGTTAGGCTTAGGTTTAGGCTTAGGCTTGCCTTAGGCTTAAAGGCATAAAAATCGTAGCTGACCAAGCCCCCCAGCCATCGGAAGTGATTCATCCCCCCTGGCCATTCTAGATGTGGGTGGGGGAGGGCATTGCGAAGCGATGGAGGGGACACTTTGACGAAATGGGATGAGGAAGGGCCCCGTCGGAATGACCCCGATCCAGGACGAGGGCCCTAAAAAGTCCGGGCGAGCCAGGGCCCTCTGTGGGCCCTAAGGGACACAAAACAGCCCAAGATCGCATTGCCATCCAGGTGGGGACATCTGGGGAAAGAGAGACCTCCTTCGACATTGGCACGTTTTTACACCCTAGAAATTCCGGGAGACTCGGCCGGAATTTCGGTTCCTCATTTTCATAGAATTTTGTGGATAGTGAAATTTACGGCTTTCAAAGATCTTATTATCCAAGCGGTACTTATGCATTATCGGGGGGTCCCTGTGGAAAAGCTTAGAAACTTAATCCAAGATATTCTAACAGTGTTTTGAGCAAAATTTACTATACTTCACGTAAAAATAACCAATAAAACTTTCAGATATTTCTAAAATAGCAATTATTATCAAAAAATGTTAGTTTAAAGTTTGGATGCCACGGAAAAAGCCGCCCCCCCCCCCCGATAATGCATAAGAACTTAGAAAGTTAATTTAATTCTGAAATATACTAAATTTGATCTTTGATATCTCCAGCCATCCGGATTCTGAATTTGCAAGACTTCCGTCTCTACTTCCGGTCTCTACACCAACGTCTAATCGGATTAGCTACAGTAGTAAAAAATAGAAAAATTCGTACTCGCCCCAAAAATACCCGGATAACTATCAGAAATCAGGAGTAGAATTGAGGACTACGGACAAAACGCACCACTGCCTACACTTTTGGGGGTTTCTGTAGACTTTTTGCCTCTCTCTCGCTCTCTCTCTCTCTCTCGCTCGCTCTCTCTCTCTCTTTCGCTTCAAAGGGCGCGGATTAGGGATTAACGAACACAAGACATTCGCAATTATTTACCAACAGAATTCCCCCAAAAAATGCCAACTACGACATTTTGACGGATTTAGCGGCGTGGGGGGGGGGGGCAATCCTCAATCACTTTTTTGGTAGATGAACTACGCCAATTCCGCATGCGTACGACTTTACGCCTTGGATTTGTGGTTTGATGGCGGGGGCTCGACAACAAGATCATGGGTTTTCTAGGCTTTTTGCTTTGCCAGGACTGCGTATGATTTTTGGAGTCATTCGGAAACATAAAGAGAGAGTGAGAGAGAGAGGGTGAGAGAGAGAAAGAGAGAAAGATAGAGAGAGAACGAGGGAGTTGGAGAGCCGCTTTCACGCTTCCTTATCCTTCCTGAGCATAAGCATAAGCCAAAGCTTAAGCCCGAATTCATCTATTTCATACAGGAAACATTCGCAAAAAAAAAAGTTAGGGTCGAAGGAACAGAATTGCAAAAGTTCCACATCCCCTCCAAAACCCCCGACTTCGCATTGTTCGCGACAGAATGGCCATCATGGGTCATATGGGCAGAAAAGGGGAGGTTTGTGCACCTCAAAAAATAGGACCCACCGGGCCTCCGACACACAAAGACCCGGGCCCAAAAATCGGCTGTCTCCCAGAGATCAAGCTTTCGGGTTGTAGAGGAAGAGAGCGAGAGGGAGAGAGAGAGAGAACTTTTGTGAGACCTGGAGAGTGTAGTATTTAAAAATTCTGACACTTCACGTCCAGCTAGGGGCAGCCGGGAACAGGGCTGGAAAATAGAGATGCTTTCGTCCAGGGATCTAAATTATGCCAAAATAACTCAAAATTACACTAAATCGTGATAGGAAATTATCGGATTTTTTTGGGGACCATTGGAAAGGTGTGAATCGGGTTAAGCTTCAAAAGCGGGTTTTCGTGTCGAAAATCGGGTGGGGAATTCTGTGATAAAGATGCGAGGAATCAAAAACCTGGCTTTCTCTCTGGTTATCTCGGGCTCCCTCTCTCTCTCTCTCATTCTCTCTCTCTCATTTTCTCTCTCTCTCGCTCGCCCTCCCTCTCTCTCGCTTTCTCCCTCTCTTCTTTTCTCTTCCTAAAAACAAAAGCCTATATAAAGAGTTACGATCTATAAATGTCATATTATTGCAAGGCCGGGTAGGGCCCTTAATAATCTAGCTCGACCTTTCTCGCGAGTCGTGCTGGATGGGGCCCAACATTGAGCATGAAAGACGAGTCAAGAGCTAGGAGCGAGAGAGTGATAGAGGAAGAGAGAGAGAGAGAGAGAGAGAGAGAGAGAAAGAGTAGTGCCATAATTGGATAAATTGCCATAAGCCTGCCCGGGTCAGCTTCCCCGTATCCAAAAAGTGAGCTTCCCGGGTCTCATATTCGAGTCAGGGTTTCTTTTTTGGATCCCGGAAAAGCGGTGGGGTTTCCGGGTCGTGGCCCCCATCCGGATGGCAGTTATTCTCAAATAAACGCACGCGCGGTCGAGAACAGATAATTGGACTCGGGGGTCGGGGAATCGTGTGTTCATGTTCCTTCTAGTTTGGTGCAGGGGGGATTAGCGGAGTTTGAGGTATTCTAGCGGAATATTTTGGCTTGTGCTATGAGGGGCGCATTAATGATAGATACCAAGCGCATTAATGGTAGGTTGCTATCGATTTGCAGATACGCAGAAAAATGCGACGAGCTCATGGGGCAAGGGTGTGCAAAGGAGCGTAGCGTAGTTAATCGCTAGTAAATTTCTTTGGTATTAGACTTAGGCTTAAGATTCGCCACAGTACTGCGCAAGAAACTCTGCAAGATATACTTATCAAAAACACCAGACGAAATCTTGAATATTCTAGTCTGAATCCTAAAAGATGCCCTCCTACCGCATCGCCACAAAAGACTAGAAATCTCGTATTCCATTTTACATCCTGGTTGGATGGAGGTGTGCTCAAGAAGACGAGCATTTGCAAATATTGGAGCGTTGAAGAGAGATAGAGAGAGAGAGAGAGAGAGAGAGAGAGAGAGAGAGAGAGAGAGAGAGAGAGAGAGATAGCACTACTGGTTTTCTAAAGGCTGCGATTTCTCTTGAGGGGGACTATGAAACCATCGAATCCATCCTCCTTGCCAGAGGGCATCTCCTCCCCCAAGGAAAATACCAGTTTTCTCGAGCTCCCCAGCGCGCGAAAACGCCTGGATCGTTTTGAGGAGCCAGAAAAACGCGGTGCTCGAGAGGCATCGGGGTGGGATTGGAAATTTGGACTTTTAAAGGGAGGGTGACAGTTCGTCTAGCCTATCAGCTTTCTCACTCTTTCTCTATATCCCTCGCGCGCGCTCTCTCTCTATCACTCCCTCTCTCTGCCTCTCTCTCTTTCTCTCTCTCTCTCTCTTTCTCTCTTTTTCTCTCTCCCTCTCTCTCTCTTTCTATTAAAAAGCGTAAGGTTTCAATTGAGCAATCGAGCAATTACGATTTCAATCCCAAAAAATTACTAAAAAAATCGGGTTCGCGATTTTGAAAATTCAAAAGGCGGATTAAATTTGCCGGGCAGCGAACCATAGTAAAACGCTGACTAATCGGAAAACAGCCGATTCAACGGAATTCTGAATTTTGATGCTTTCTCGCCCTCACTCTCTATCTATCTCTCTCTCGTTCCCCATCTCCCCTGATTTTGTCTAGTCGAGCCGAAGAAGGAGGAGAAGACGAAGATGAGCAAAACACACCATGAGCATCGCGCGCAATTAATGAGATTAAAAGGATAAACAGTGTTTGAGTGTCGTCAAAATATTCCTATTTTGAGCCCCAACCACCGTAATCCCCGGATGCGGACTCACTTCTGACGATGATTTTGTAGCCTTGTAGATTGCGCGCGTCGGCACCTTCAGGGAGTGGGGTGGTGGAGCCCTAAAAAGGTACGGTAAGAGCCTTAAAGGGAACGTGAGGTTAAAAAATTGACGGATTTTTCGATATTTGGCAAGCGGCCAGAGGTCTACAGTCGTAAAAAAATACTTTACTACAGTTTTACGGCCTTTGGCAAGTTGCCAAAGCTACAAAAACCTTCGAAAAATCTCTTTAGAAGCCAGTTTTGACGGCGAAATTTTTTTTGCAGCTGGAAATTTATAGAATTTTGAACTGGAAGTTTACAAAAATTACAAAATTCTCAAAGAAAATCTTAGAATTAACTTTTCGATAGATTTTAAACACAAGAAGCTTGGAAAGCAAGATTTCCTTTAATAAAAAAAATACATACCTCAACAAAGAACGACACGCCCTCGACGGACAGCCCGCGATCCCTCAGTCGACCTGCAAAAATGGGAGGTGTAAATTGTATGCGACCGGGAAATAGTTAGTGGTGCGACCGATACGGCTTATTTTTACCCGCCCGGCCCCCGGTAGCTTCTGACCCGGACCGGTTTTGATGTGGGGGTTTTTGGATAGTTAGCGGGGGAATATAGATGTCACGTCAAAGGTGTTAATTTAAAGGCAAAGTGGAGCGCAAATGCGCCTGAAAATCCATAGAAACGACAACAAAAGCCAATTTTAAAGGGCCGCTCAATTCAAGGGCCGTCTGGAATCCATAGAAAATGCACGAATCCACATATTCAAGGGCCGCTAAAGCCAATGACACGCCTCGAGAGCTTTAGTAACCAAAAGACAAGCTGATTTTAAAGGGTCACTGAAGGGACGAACATTCTAAATCTATGGAAAATTTACAAATACACGTTTTAAAGAGCCACTAAAGCCAGCCAGGCTTCAATCCGTTCAAATCTATCCTAAGCCTTTCTACCTCTCTTAATAAGCAACGCTTTGCATAAATCCATTTTGCGGCGCGTCGGCGAGTCCATTGCTTTCCAATTTTCGTTTTGGGGTTTTCAAGATTATTCGGAATAATTTAGAAAAATGGGGGCGTTGCAAGCAGCCGGGGAGGGCTGAAATTAACCCTATTCCTGGGCGGCGTGACGCTTCTGGGTGTGGGATTTTCTCAGATGGCCGGCCGGAGCGGGGCGAGAGTTACAAAAAGCCGGTGCGAATGAGCCACACCCCAGGTAAGGTATAGCGAGAGGGGGACCATCGATTCTGGCCGTCCATCCTTGAATTTCCGCTTGATTGTAGGGTGGACAGCTTGAAGGCGCCGGCTGACCTTTTCGATCAAGCCGAAAAAGTCGGAAAAAGCGGTCATGACAAGGCTGGGCAAAATTTGGGGTTAGATCAAATTTCGCACGTTTTTTGAGTATTTTGGCGCTGATTTCCGGAAAATGCACTTTGCAAGTGGGAAATTGTGGTCAGACTGATTTTGAGAATTGGTACTATGGTTTTGAACTGTTTGAAGGGTCTAGACGCTCAAAAAAATTTTACCAATAGGAAATTGAGACTTTACCGTGGCTTTAAAGAGACTTGTAAGGCAAATAAATAGCTGTAAAATGACTAATGAGCTAGAATTCAGGCTGCAAGGTCCTTTCAATCGTTTTAAAAACGCAAAAATCGGCGTCCATGGCCCTTTCAAGCAGTTTTTAGGCCAAAGCTAGCTTTCCGGTTCGCTTAAAGGGACAGGCAAGGCAAAACTACTGGTTTTCAGGCTAGATTTCTATAGATTCTATTTTATGCATCAGTTCTAAACTTTTTTACAATATTGAAGGACCGGTCCGAGTTCTGAAACCTAATCCTACTATATATAAAAAAATAGTGTCTGTGTGTGTGTGTGTCTGTGTGTGTGTGCCACTTTGCATCCATTTCCGTCTGTCTGTCCGGAGGATATCTCAAGAAGGGACGGGTATTAGGCTACGTATGATACGTCATTAGGTGCGCAATGGTCTAGGGATGACTGCACACATATCAGATTTTTAAAAATTAGCCATTTTGGCTATTAAATCTAGATTTTTGTAAAAACCTATTTGTTAGGGATAATTAGCATAGACCGGAAGTGGGTGGTCGACTATATAAAGAGGCAGAAAGGGTTGTTTTCATTTTTTTTGTCTTCTGAATGGAGGACAATTATGCAAAGGGAAGAATTATGGGGTCCGAGACGGGGCCAGGGTTGAAAAGTCGCGAAGCGGCTTTTCAACCCTGGTTTTCTATAAATTTTTAGCAAAAATAATCCGAGTTTGCGCTTTTTTAACCGAGATGGCATACTGTAGCCACCTGACCAATCATAAAACCCACAAAAAACCCCCAAAATAAGCCCGGTCACCGACTCGCCGAGCTGAAAACAGCTACAAAAATTGGCGATTCCAATGTTCCAAACCGCTTGGGGCTCAAAAACAAGAAAAATGCGAGTCAAAAGCCCCAGGCGTCAATCAGGCAATTGGTCAAAAAGGGATTTGGAAATTGATGAAAAGTGTTTTGCATGCTTTTAAAGAGCCATAAAGAGCCGATTGAAAGTTCAAGACCCAAAAAAGCTGATCAATAATGGACTGACTTTCAAGGGCTTCGTCGAGACTCTGGCCAGGCTTGAAGGGAACGTGTTCAGGATGCGGCTCGCCGGCGTCCGGATCCTGAAAAATTCGGATTCATGGGTGAAAATTGTAACTTATATTACGGCAAGAAAGGGCTAGCTAGCAGAGATCCTTGAGGAAAGATGCATGACGCAGAAATGGTAAGGCATGCTAGCAGATTGCATTGAGGATTTAAGACTCCAGAAAATTAAAAAATTGGCGTATTAGGCGTTTGAATTAAGGCGCAAGCTAGCAGAGATCCTTAGCGATTGAAAAAATCCTGATCGCGGAATTAGAAAAATTTCAATATTAAGCTGGGGCAATCTAGCAGGCAAAAACTCACCAAAAATTCGACGAGCACAACGTTGTCTTTGCCGATTATTCGCGGGTCATCCGCTTCCATGCTCTGGTAGCGGTTGTTCTGAAATAGATAAAAATTTGCATAACTAGCGAAAATGAATTGGTATTTTTATAAATTTCACGTTTTTGTGAGGATTTATGTATTGGTTTTGGACTTTTAATAGTTTTTACTCGGATTTTATCGTCTTTTCGGGATTTAAGAAGCAATTAATTTTGGCTTGGGTATGGGGGACAACGCCAAAATGCCGGCCGTAAAATACCGACAGCGCAAAAACTCGATAGCTAAAATGCCGACAGCCAAAACGGCGACAGCCCAAATGCCTGCAGCTAAAATCCCGACACCTAGAACCCCGACAGCCAAAATGCCGACAGAGGAAAATACCGATTTTCAAAACCCCGCTAGCCAAAATGTCGACAGGATCCCGACATGCAAAATAGCTGTTTACAAGGAATTTATATTAAAAATAGATTGTGTCGGGATTTTTGCCTGTCGCGATTAGAGCTGTCGGTATTTTGGCTTGTCGGGATTATCACTTGATTCGGATTCTGGGTATGCTCTTAGGCTTAACCCAAATATAAATATAAATTTTGCCCCCAGCTTGCCGAAAAATCATGAAAATTATTGCCGGGGGACTATCGGGGGGTGATCGTGTCGAAATGGGCATTGCATGGATGGGAATGAAGCCCTGGAGAAAGAGGTGGCTGTTGGAAATGCGCGAGCCGTGGGACCGGGGAGATTGGAATGCGAGATAAGGTAGCTTGCGAGCCATCGGCGCGGCTAGCTGAGCTACAGGTTCGCGTATGGTCCGGAAATTTGCATACGAAAAATATGACGTTGGAAAAGGCCCTTAAATCGACATATGGTACTTTAAAGGCACTATGAAGTCAGATGTCTAACCTGAAATTCGAGAAATGAAAGAGCCCGCCCTTTTCAAAAATCACCAAATGGCGGAAGTTTCTTTGCGTCGAACCGGAAAAGCATTAGCGCGCCCGCCGGTCCATTTTTCCACGCCTAATTCACCAGGGTGATTTTTGATTCTTAGTGGATAAATGGGAAAATGACGTAAATCAGGAAGATTTAGAAGCATATGCAAATTATATAGAATTTTGACCAAAAAATCTATTTCGAAAACTGCATACGGTGTATGTGGCTCATTAAATTTATGCAGGAAATTAGGACTGGAAAACGTTACAAATTACGCAAAACGACTGATATGCAAATTAAGGACTAAACTGGCGATGATGAAAGGGCAACATCGTATGCAAATCAGGGAAAATTTCACAAAAAAAAAAATCCTAATTTCGAGTTTTTACATTTTCAGAACCTTTCAGTACTAAAAACGAAATATGCAACTTCACGCAAATTCGAGAAAAAGGGTTAATATAAAAGTTAAAAGTTAATGGCTAAAATAGAGTAATATGCCAGCAATGGGCCCAGTCAGCGAGGTGTGGAATGCAAAATTGAAAGAGCCTTCGTGAGCCGGAGTCCTTAGATAGCGGCCCGGCGGAATTCTCGCGAATTCGGGGGGAGGGGGGGGTGAGATCGGAATTTGCATAAGCCGAGTGAGCATCTCTTGGCGGGGGTGTGACCTATTGAGAAATTAGTGAAAGGATCCGGTGTTCGAAGCCAGGGGGGAGCCCCAGGTGGGGAAGAGCCTTTTCCTTTTCGTTCCTTTTCCCGCCGAGATCCGACCTATTTTCGCGCGGCAAGAGAGAGAGGCAGAGAGCGAGAGAGCGAGAGAGGGAGAGACATCCGAATGATAGTGAACAATTAGTCGAGTCTCCGCTCTGGCTCAAATCGAGCCGTCCACCCCACCCGATAATCCCAAAGCCCATAAATTCTAGGGGCGGCTATAGGGAAATGGTATCAATTTGGTACCCCCTCACATCCAATCCAATCTACCGTTGATTTGAGCGCAAGATTACGATCGCCCCGCCGGGGAATTATGGGTGTAAACAGTTGTCGGGTGGAGCGATGGTACTTAAAACGGAGCTAACTATCCCCAAAGGTGTATAAAAATTCTAAATTCCTAAAGCTAATTTTCCTCGCTGTATCCTTGATGTCTCGAGCGAATTTTGATTCGTTTATTAATTGTATTCTATAGCCTACTCATAAAATTATGTAAATTTTCATCGACCTACGGGTGAAGACATTTTTGTTTGGTACTGTCGCATTATCGGGGGGAGCTTAATTTTTCTTTTTGCCCAAAAATTTATATAGGTGTTTTTATTAAAATTAATTTTATTTCAAGAGGCTTAGACTGAAAATTTAGAAAATGTAGAATTCCACCCGAAAATCGGCCATTTTTGGTCGAAAAATCTATACTACTTATTTATGTTGGAATTTTTTTAGGTTATTTATCTTTATTTGGTCCAAGCGGAACCCCCCCCCGATAACGAAACAGAACCCATTGGTCCTTCCAACACCTTGGCAAATATAAAAAGGTCGACTGATCCCTTACAAAGTGGAAAACCACCTCAACCATGCGATTTATATCGGCAACGGTTTGGGCGACGGATCGCATCACGATCGGTCGCGACATCGTGTCAATAGGAGTGTAACGGAATGTAATGCAAAATAACGGTGGGGGGGGCCGGAGTCCACCTGGAAAACGGGACACGAAATCGTGTTCGTCGACCCCGACCCGGGGGGTTGTCACACGGCAGAAGCAGCAGAAGCAAGAGAAGGACCCACCAAAACCGTTAGGGGGTAACAATTTTATTTTGTCTTTCGGCTGGAGTGGAAAGAGGACTGTTGCGGAATTCCTGGGCGAGAGGGTGACGCTGATTCATACCACAGTGCCGCCGCTACCGGCGCTGGCCCACCCCGAATTGCCATCTGACTTTTTGGTGACGACAAATGGAATTTGGAAGGAAGGGATTGATTTTGCAGGGGCATTTTAGAACACAGACTTCAAAATTCTAAAGTCCAAAATTGTGAAGTTAAATTTTGTATTGCTTAATTTATGTCTGTAAATATATGATTTGCTCAAAGATTTGAATATTCGAAACCTTTTAAAACTACTCTTAAATGAAAGTAAACCCCGATTTAACATAGGTTTTTAGGCGGGGTATCGATAGAATATCCCGCCTTAGTGATTTGCATACCGTATTTTTCAAAATATTATTCTCAAAAAAATTTATTGAAAGTTGAGTGGTTGTAGAAAGCATATAAAAATTAGAAAATGTTTTGAAATGCTTGATTTTGGGTCAGAAATTTACGAAAATGACCAGAAGTGGCAAAAAAAAATAAATTTTTTAAGCACAATATTTACATTTTACACATCCACGCATTTTCTGAATTTTTTGAGCCATCAAGACTGTTAGAAAACTATAACATACATTAAGGGTTTTATTACAAGCACAGGCGGAAAAAGATGAATTAAATGATCAAGCCCCCCGCTAACAGTCCGGTACCTTTAAAATCCAATGGTATTTAACCAACTGAAAAACTCTCAAAAACCAACGTCAAAGCCGGGATCCGGTTGCCGTACCGGACTAGTATTATTGTTCGAATCCCGTGAAGACAGCCGCTTGATCACCAATACTTTGGCCATAGTTCGGTGGTAATTTGGAATTTAGCGTACTCCGGCCGGTAAAGCCAAAATAATGAGAGTCGGTGTTGAGACAGTCCCGTTCCGGTCATGATTATCCACGGGATAGGGAACTGCCCCCAACAGCAAAAACACAGCCGATTTGCCCTAGAAAAGCGAATTTTCGGTCCGAGCCGCTATGGGGGGATCGCTTTCTCGAGAGGGAAGGACCCGGCAAAAAATGGGCATTGTCTCCAGGATTCGTGAACACTTTATAAGCAATTGAATTTCGGTTTTTCTAGTATTCAAGGGTTTGCATAAAAGTTGAAGGGTAGGTACTTGTGTATTCCCGGGGGGGAAAGAATTCGCGGGGGAAACCAACTTTTTTTTGTCGGGCCTGGTGGGGATAGTAATCAAATATAAAGTGTTTTTACATTGTTTTTAGCAAAATTTAAGCCTATTTGAATCGGAAAAACTTTTTAAAAAGTTAGAAAAACGCTTGAAAAAGTCGAAAATTTGGTCATTTTTGGACGGAAAAAATCGATTTTTCGACCTAAAATTAAATTTTTTAATTAAATTTTGTAAAGTTTTTATGTTTAGGAATAGCTATAAACAATTTAGAAACACTTCCACTATTTATATAAAAAATCTAGGCTTGGGCCAAAAAAAAAGTTCAGTTCCCCCGCGAATTCTTCCCCCCCGGGAATACACAAGAACCGAAGGGTAGGCTAGCAGTGATCATTGAGGAATCCAAGCCATGCATTCCTTGCTCTTTGGGCCAACTCGGAGAAACCATTGCAAAAATTGGTGCTTGTGTATTATCAGGGGGGGGGGGGTAGGGTCGGGGCTAGCTAGCAGAGATCCTTGAGGAATTTGACTCTCAGAAAACCCAGTGGGGTTCAAAACTTCAAAGAGCTAGATCGAGGTATCCACCAGGGCAGGCAAGCGGAGATCATTTAGGATTTTTTCGGTTTTTCCATAACAGATGATCAAAACCCATATAGGTAGGTTAGCAGAAATCACTAAGAAATCGTAGCTTTAGCTTGAGCGTGTTTATAGACGCTAGATAATGAACCTCGTGCTCAAAAGCAAAGCCGGAGGAACACCGGAACATTAGCTGACAAGACTTTGAGGGAGGACAAACGTGAGGAGCAAGGGTTTAGGATAAGGATGAGGACGAGGATGAGGCTGCACATCTTTGAGTGGGCGTTCGGGGTGACCTTGCCGAGGTTGGAACAGTTTTTGCCGAGGATTGAGTGCCTGCATTCAGCCAGGAACACGGAAACCAGGGGTTGGAAAAGAGGACTGTAGACTATGGAGGGCGAACTTTTGGGATGCTAATTTTTTAGGGAAGGCTTAAAAGGTTTAACGTTGGAATACCTTGAAAAATACAACTTCATACGGGAATCCTCTACAAGAAAAGGTGCACCCCTCGACCCAGTGGCGCGTGCATTTTATGGCCAGTCGCCCAGGCTTTGAGGAAAGCGCCCATTGGACTACTTTGGAAAGC